AATACACCGTATCCTATAATCTATAGAGAGTAGCTTAAATATTATATCCATAAAAATATATATACTTTAACCTATCTAATATACTTATAAGGCTAACTATAGTAAGATCTAGCCTAAATATACTATTAAAGACGCTAATTTATCTTACTTAGTTTCTATATAATCTATAAGCTAGACTAAGCTATTCTCTATTAGGAGTACTATATCTAGAAGTGGTAGTAATCTATTAAGCTAGTTAAGCTAGTATTATATACCTCTAGTTCTTAATTTTAATAGTAATAGCTCTTTAAGCAAGCTACTAGAAAGTATTCTATTACCTTTTACTAAAACTATAATTTTAAAGATCGCTAAACCACTACTAGTTGTTTCTATAATAGAAAAGTATAGATTGTTACTACTAGCTTTTACTAGACAACTAAAAAGAAAAAAGCACGAACTATACTTTATTAGAGAGAATACTAGATTAAGAAGTGTAAATTTCTTTTAGGTTTAGAAGACCTTTATAAATAGAGTATAAGGTAAAAGGTAGTAGTATATAATAGTGGGTTAAAGAGCTGCTATTATAATATAAGAGAATAAGTATAAAAGGTTCTAAAAGCATATATAGAACTTAACTAATAGTAAGGTGAATATCTAGAAGAATATAGAAGAGGAGTATATAAAGAATTAGTTAAGATTATATACTACTTTTTATTATACAAGATTCTAGTAGCTCTAATTTAGTAAGTATTTACTATATATAGTATAGCTACTCTATCTATTATACCTATACTACACGTAATACTATCTATAAAGTCTTTATAAGAAGCAATAATAAAGTGTTAAATATTAAATATATATAGGGTATTAACTCGAATTACTATACTATAAGTAGTTAGTTAATCTCAACTTAATAATATATATAAAAAGTTTACTACTATTATATAATAGCCCTATAATACTTATCTCGCTTGATGCTATTATATTATAAGTAATAGTATAAGTAATAAGTAGGCTAATCCCTATACCACTATTAATCGTGCGGATAATAAATAGAGCCTAGTAGTAGTTAGAAGGTTATTAATTATTTTATATTTATAATATAAAAGCATTATTATAAGTAACTTACATTCTATAACTAAACTATACTCTAAACTAAGTAATAATATTAAAGAAACTAGTCCTAGCAAAAACACTAATTATAGTAAGACTGCTTAGGGCGTTTAGAATACTTAAGTACTTAGGTGGTACTCTAAATATTTTGCCTACTCGCAAGCTACTCTAGAGCGAGTAGAGTTACTTAGAGGCTCTAAGCGCCGAATTTTTTCTTCTAATACTCTAGTTAGTAGTCTAATAAGCTATAAGCTTTTGCTTAGCTTAGTAGCTATTCTAGATTAGGAAATTAACTAAGTAGATATTAAAATAGTAATTTTAAATAGTTAACTACCCGAAATAATTTATGTAGAGTAACTGATTAGATTTAAGAATTCTAAAAAACTAAGCTCTATATATAGGCTAAATAGTATTTTATATATACTTAAATAAGCTATATATATATAGAATAAAACTCTGGAAGCTTATCTAAGTAGAATTAGTTTCAAATAGCCGGAGCTAGATAATAGAGTTTTTATTGATATAGAAACTAATATTATAATAGCAATTTACGTGGATAATCTACTTTTTTTTTAGATTAAAAAGAACTAAAATCGACTTAATTAAAATATAGTCAAATACCTATTTCTAAATAAGTAATTTAGAGCTATACTATTTCTACTCTAGTATTGAAATAATACACTAAAGGGCTAGGTGTATTATATACCTCTTCTAAAAAGCTTCTATAGATAAAATACTTAATAATTTCAAGTTCTAAGAACTTAAACTAGTTATGATGCTAATAGAGCTAAATAATAAGCTACTAAGAATAAGAACTAATAAGACTTAGTATTAATACTCGATTACTAAGTATAAATTAGAAGCCTTCTATAGCTTATCCAAGAGACTAGACCCGATTTAGTATCTTGTGTTAGTAAGCTATTATAATATATAAGTAGCCCTAAACCGATTTTTTTTTAGCTATTAAATAAGTCTTTAAATACCTTAGAAAGTGTAAAAATCTAGTACTAAAATACTTATCTAAGTATTTTAAAATACTAAGCTAGCTACTTAAAGCATCTAAAATAGCGAGGAATAATGACTCTAACTTCTTATTATATAACAATAAACTTAGTAAATTCGATAAAAAATTGCTATTATATAATAAAGAAAATAGAGAGTTCAAAAACTAAAGCCCTTTATAGAATAATAAGAAAATTCATTACATTGCATTTAAAGTAGGTACAGAACTAGTTCTAACTAGTTTTACTAACTCTAACTAGAGAAATAATAAGAATTACTATATCTTAATTACTAATTATAGTTTTTACTTTAGACTTAACTTAATTAGCTGGTACTCGAAAAAATAAGCTAGTGTAATACTATCTAGCTATAAGACTAAGTATATAGCCTTAGTTTATATAGCTAAGAAAGAGTTATAGTTAAGAGCTCTATTAGAGTATCTTAGTATTAGTTAGTAAAACGCCTTAGTATTACATTATAATAATACTACTAGTATAGCTATTATAGTTATAGAAGACCTAGTTAATTACTTACATATTAAGTATATTACTATACGTTGTTACTTTGTTTAAGAAGTAGTTAAAAGAGGTAAACTATAGACTCTTTTCCTAGAAGAAACTGATAAAATTATAAATAGATATACTAAGAGCTTACTAAAGCTAAAATTCTAGGAATTCTATAAGTAGATTAGGCTAGCTAAATACTACTAGTAGTAAAATATTATTACTAAATTATCAAAAATAGTAGAGCTACAATTTATAGAAAATTATAAGGAGTTAGTTGAAATAGTTAACTTATCGAAAATTACTATCTTATAATAGTAAGCTTAAGATCTTTAGACTTAAGAAAAGGGGTTAAAATTCAATTTATAAATGTCTTAGCTTAGTATTTTCTTAGTATTTCCTTAGTAAGAGTCTTACTATTAGTTGAATTGAAGTTTCATACTTTCTATTTTTAAAATAAAGCTTTTAGTTTAAAATAGAGTTTTAAGTTATATCTATTTCTAATAGAGTTTTTGTTTGCATTCATCTAAACGAAGCTATAAGTAAAACTTAATAAGTTTCACTTTAGAAGTAAGTGAAAAGAGTATATAGATAAGAGGTTTCTTCTACTAGATAAAAAATTAGGCTCTCCACTAATTTAGTTTCTACTATCTGTTAACCTGAAATTCTAATATAGGCTTAATTAGCTTAATAGAGATATAAGCTAAACATAGAGTAATACTTTTCTAATAAGAATTAGTAGATAAAATTTAGGGTAATTATACGCCTATAAAACTTGTAAATAAAGTACTTAGTATTAATATTACTACTATTAAGGTAGTAATAGCAAAATGTAGATAGAAAATAAAGTATACTAAATCTTAAAAAACTAGAAGAATGCGTAATATTTATATACTTACTAAGACTTATAATTTACTATTTATCTATCTTTATAAGCTTGTTTTATATTACAGTCTTATTTCTATTTAGTTCTATATTATCGATAGCAATGCAACGCTTTTATATATTATAAATAAATAGTATAATAGTAATAAATAGGTGTATTACTAGCTAAAAATAGCTATAAAAGAAGAGCGAGGTAGTTATAAAATATAAAAGAAAGACTTAGACTAGCTTTAGATTTTCTACTAGTAATATACTAGTTAAGTAAAAGTGTATAGTAGTTGCTTCTATATAATAAAAGCTTAGTAGAATTTGATCTTCTACTAAACAATTTATACTACTCTATCTATATATAACTTATTATTATATTACTAGATTAACTTTAAGAATCTATAATCTCTAATATAAACTAACTTTATTAATATCTAGTATTAATAAATATACTAAAAAGGTAAGAATAAATGAGTTTAGCTTTAATTTACTACTATAAATAGTATTTATATATACTATCTAACGAAGCTTTTAGCGAGAACTAAATAATAAAGATATATTAATAATATTAATACAAAAGTAGAAAGTAGACTAGTTTAGACTATCTATTAAATAACTAGAAAAGAAGTATTAGAATAAAATATATAATTATCTTTTTCTAATATATAGCTAAGATTACTACTCTATATAAAGAGAGAAGAGATAATAGTTCTAGAAGATATAGTCGCTACTATCTATTATAAATAAATTACTTATATCTAGAATAGTAAGAGACATAATCCTTACTCTTTACTAATAGAAAGCACTAATAGCCTAGAAGATATCTATAGCCTTTATAGTATACTAGCTAAGTATAACATCTTAACTAAGAGTATCTATAAGCGAGGAATAAAATATAATATATAGTTAAGCCTAGTCTAGTAGCGGATCTTCCTAAGTAGTAGTTTGAAGTTATTGAGGAATCTAGCTATTTAGTAATAACAGAATGCATTACTAAAATACTATAGCCGCATGACGCTTGCAACGCTAGATGTTGCTAGTGGGGAATCTTCGATCGTAAGTTCGACTACTACGGTCGCCTGCTTGCATGTCTACGTGTGGTGTAGGAGGTGAAGACGTGGAGTTTCAGGACTGCGCGTAATCTTGTTTCTATGCTTGCGGGAGCATCGCTCACAGCGGGGACTCTCGGGTCTGAGAAACGTCTCTTCGATACATTCGGTCCCTTGGGGGAGATCGCAGGTATGCGGTTGCGGCAAACGTTATGTAGAATGAAGGTCCCCTCGTCCATACCACGCTTGAAGGCAATGATTAACTGCCCCGTCAGTGTGTAAAGAGCGGAGCTAGACACGAACCTTGATGTCCAGTGGGGCATGTTGATGATGGAGACCGGTGCGAGGACGTCGTCGTATGGCTTGTAGTCTTCCCAAGTCGATTCATCATATTCACTCTGTGCGCCACCATCGTCGGTGGTGCCTGACCGGTATTAAACAAAATAATACACACGGATCGGCTCTTTGCATGTGCAAAATCTCAAAAAGCTATCCCCCGCCAACCATTAGCCCTATCGGTGCCGGACGTATCGAGACTAAAATATCCTGTCGACGCCAGCTTGAGCTGCACCTGTCTGAACTTATTAACGCTAGCTCTCTTCTCGAACAAGACATCCAGCTCTATGTACGTGAGGCCCATGGGCTCCGGCAGCCGGAAATAGCACCATATCAAGCAGAGAATACAGGTTCCCGCCCACAGAAAAGACGCCTTACCCCCCCAGTCCCACGCGGTAGGATTCAGCATCTTAGGCATCAGTACGTTGCTTATTATGGATACGATGTTGTATGCGACTCTTGCCAGAACCACGGTCTTGACGCGTAAGCGCGTCGACGGAATCTCAGCCACGAGGGCGAAACAGACGGGGCCGATAGTGATATCATAGATGAAGGTCAAAAGGAGAACTAAGGAGCCAAGCGCCCATGATACAGCTGAAGATTCGGGCCGCGTGCTCACGCCCCCGGTTACCAGCAAGGTGATGAAGCACCCCGCCAATCCCCAAATATACAGGGTTCTGCGGCCGACGACCCGCATGATGAACATGGCCATGATGCCACCGAGGATTGCCAAGCCGTACATGCCCGTCGAGAGATCGAAAGCTCTTTCTGGAGTAAGGCCTGCCTGGACGTAGAAATAGGCTGCATAGCCGGTCAGGGCTGAGCCGCTCCAAGCCTGCGTGATCCAGACTGCAGCGGCGATCTCGGTTCGACGCAGGTTTGTACCTTTAAAGCAGTCCCAATAGGATGTGCCGCCGTTGTGGTGCTTTTCCACTTCGTTGGTGTGCTTCATCATGGAGACTGTCTCGTGGGCGTTGAAACCTACTGCCCGCCTTGTAAGGCGTAGCAGCGACTTCTTCGCATCTCCTGGACGGTTATGGCGGATCAGCCACCAGGGCGACTCTGGCGCAAATGCCACTCCAATGAGGATTGGGATGGCCCACATCCATTGCAGTCCAAGAGGGATCCGGTATGACCACTCAGAGGTGTTGTTTATGAATGCTCGCACCACGCCGACACTGATAAGCTGGCCGATTAACCAGCACAGATTCACGGTGCTTGTCAAGTAAGCGCGTAACGCCACGGGCACGACTTCAGCGGCGTATGTTGTACTTAGAGTCTGAAACACGCCCCAGGACAACCCACAGAGGACTTGCGAGGCCAGCAGCATGCCGATGTTGACGGCGAAAAATGCCAGGAAGATAAAAAGCGACATTGCCGCCAGCGAGACCATCATCGTTTTCCTGTACCCGAAGCGGTCTGCCAGGTAGCCTTGGCCAAAAAGGCCTACGATTTCGGCAGACCGAGCACCATTTATAAGGCCAGATTGCCAGGCAGTCGGGATTTCGAAACTTTCATTGCCCGTGGGACGGCCATAAGACCTCCGAAATTCGGGAAAGGCGTAGAAGCTGTTGACCAGAGCTGTGTCGTAAGCTTCCATGATTATTGTCATGGAAAAGAGTATCGACCATCCAATCGCCTTGGGATATAGCTTCAACCCCTCCATGAAAGACATTCGATGCTCTGTCTGCGCCGCGGACTTTGCCGCAGTCGTGAGGTGGCTGAGACCCGGAACTGCGTGGGATAAGGCTGAAAACAAGTCATCGCTGGATTGGGTGCTATCGTTGTTTCCCTCAGTTGGAGTTCCAGAGGCACCATGGCCGTCTGCTGCTGTTGGAGTAGCGATGAATTCGAGGTGCACATCGTTTGCTAAAGCCGGGGTTGCAAATTCGAGAAGCTCTGAAGGGTGTGGTTTGGAGTCGCCCATCCGGACAAATCGCACCTTCTATTGAGTGCGACTCGAAATAGATTTGATCTCTAGGTACACCACCATCTGGGTTTGGAATTTTGATGTACTATATTGACACTTTGTTTGACGGAGTCTGATATTTCCGAAAGCAAGCATGCCATAGCGAGGAGGGGCAGGGACAAGTCGACTCGACTACAGGCGTTGTACGGATCGGCGCTTCTTTGCGAAAGAAACTCTGGGCTCCCAAATTTGCCAAACCCTTGCTCTTTCGCGGGGAACTTCATCACAGAGCTCTTTTAAACACGTTTAATCCGTAATACCACCACCATAATAAGCTATAAGCAAGCTGAGACTGCTAAAATATTATATTAGCATATAATATTATAATATGCGACCATAAAAAAGCGATATTTTAAAGATTATAATTAACGTGTTTAAAGGACGGCGAAATATTTTTTGCTCATGTTCAGCTGGGAAGAAGCGCCGATCCGTGCAACGCCTGTATCCGAGGCCTAGATTAAGAAAGTCAAGCGACTCCGCTTCCTCGCCTCTGGGCGTTTCTGGGCGGGAAGACCAGCAGCGGGAGTCGCATCACGTTCTTGATCCAGCCTCCATTCGGCTTGTGAGCTGAGTGAATAAAATTAGTCCGTGCATATAGCGGTCTTAGCACTACCATAGCGAGGTGTTGCGATGCAGTAGTTAGAGCTAACAAATCACTTTCTTGATACTATAGATAGAACTTGTATATCTAGTAACCTTGCCTCGATATGCTGCTAGAATATAGATAGTATCTAGCTGTAATAAACTACTAGACTAAGTGTAAGATACTTACTTATACTACTCTTAGACAGCTAGTAGTAAGGACGCTATATAGATAGAAAGTAAGAATTGATACTACTTAAAGAGAAGTAACTCTGCAAGAGCTTAGCTAACTATAGGAATAATGTTGCAAGAGTGCATCTTACAGTATTTAGAGAACAAAGGCCGCAGTTTCACAATCCTGCATTGTGTTTTTAAAGCTAGATCTTCGCTCCCTTTATTAAAATCCCAAATTCCCTGTCATCACAACTCAGATTCCTTTCACTTCCCTCAAAACAAACCCCTTCATCATAACACGGACGACTTCCCAGTATCTGAGTGTTCTTCAGTAACCCCACCACCATGGAAAGTCCGTACGTTATTCTCGGAGTGTCTCCAGACGCTTCCCCCGAGCAGATCAAGCTCGCATGGCGCAAGCTGTCCCTCAAACACCACCCCGATAAAGCTAAAGCTGAAGATCGCGAGGCGGCTAACAAGAAGATGCAGCAGATCAACGAAGCATACGACGCTGTCAAAGATGGTGGCCAGGCGAATAAACTTGAAGAAGATCTCCGCGAAGCCCAGGAACGCTTCGCTAATCTGCGTCGACAGCAGGAAGAAGAAGAGCGTCGACGATATCGTCCGGCACCCGAGTCGAAGTACAATGAGTATCACTCCCGCTCTGCTGGACAGAGCTACAGTGAGTCAACTTACACTTCAGGAGATCACCGCTCCACCAAGCAGGACCGTGGCCGCAGCTACAGGTACACTCCCGCAGACACGTATGCTGGGTATGAACAGAAGCCACGCTATGAAACTCATGCTCCTCGCCATCAAAGTGATAGGGAAGCTGGTTATGAACAGATGCCACACTACGAAACACATGCACCTCGATTCGAGGCTGACACAGAAGCCGGGTACGAACAGAGGCCTCGTTACGAGACACGTGCTCCTCGATTTGAGGCTGAATCAGAGTTCGACAGGCAAGACTCGGGGCACGGGTTTCGCTCCAAGTACGAAACGCATGCGCCTCGGTACGAATACCACGCTCCGAGATATGAGGAATGTAGACCTCGCTACGAGGAACGGAGGCCTAAGCATAACGAATCTCACTACGGTCAATCCGCTACAGCCGGCTCCGGTTGCGAACGGAAGGAACGTCGACCATCCCACGCAGAATCCAGACCCCGATATGAGGAGCACGGGCCCCGATATGAGGAACGCAAGCCCCGAAATGAAGAACATAAGCCGAGAGCCCAAGAGCGGACTCCGCAGCAGGACTCGTCGCGCTCTGCACCGAAAAAGAACAAGAGCCGGTTCGTATTTGTCAGGGCCCGTCCAAAAGATTCGGAATCGTTCAAATCCCGCTCTTCCGCGCAGTCGAGCCAGGAACGAACATGGTCCTCACGAGACGCGTACGAGAGGCTAAAGGATCTCCACAACGATGTTCTCCATCACTACGAAGACCTCACTGATCGGTATACAGATCTGTCGGAGGAAACGAAACTCGACCTTCGGGGCGGTGGCAAGATGGCTATAGCGTGTGTGGTCGCTCGCGCTGTGCTTTGTCCTTATTTGCCGAAGGCGCTTGATGTCATCAATGATGACTGGCTCAAGGAGAGCATCCGAGCCCAAAAGATGTTGGAGACCATCCAGATGCGCATGTCACGCAGTGAGGGCGTTGGTAAGCATCTGGAGCATGCGGAGAAGGCTCTCAATACAGCACGCGAGGAGGTTGAGAAAATGGAGAGAATCATCAGGAGTCTTAGAGACATCGAAGACCAACAAAGTAGAAGCGGAGAGTCGATGCGTGGTGGTCAAAGAGAGAGCCAGCTCGAAGCAATGGAGGAGATTTGGGATAAACTTATCGGCGAGCTAGGTCCGAGCCAGGACCTCGTAAAGGACCTACCGAGAGCCCTTGAGAGGGCGTTGAGGAGGAGTCGAAGATAAGCAGTGCGTGGAGAAGGATCGGGAGATCAGCTTTGGCTCGGTCTAAGCTAAACTCCGCTCCGGTTTCCTTCTGATCTACTAGCATAGAGACCTCTATATATATATATATAAGCTGTTCCGTAGACTATCTTTTTAAAGTCTTCCCGTGATGTTGCAATTTCCAGGCTGAGTTCTAAACTGACCTGGCAAACCACGCAGTGGCGTAGCTAGAGAAAGACTTCCGTTTCATAGCCGCATATCCTGCGCTTATGAGGTACGAGAAGAACTCAAGTCATGAGTGAGTGTGTGGCAAACGAAATGGACCGGGAACCCTCGCCAACCCGAAGCTGAAAAAGAACTCTCGAGGAATAAAGGAATAACTGCTTAAATGGACATGTCATGAACAAAGAATGACTCCCGGGGCAGGCTGGCCTCACTTCTTACGGAGTATGTGCAGCACACACCTAGAGGGCCTGAGGAATACTTGGTAGTTTCCATCATCCTTCACTGCGGAACGAATTGCAGTTCAGTCAAGGTAGATAGTTAAATCTTGACAATGTTATTCATTCCCTCGAGGCCGCGATCGGAGAGATGTCTCCGACTTATCCTGGCAGACGTCACGTGAGTGCGAACACTAATACCACTTGCGCCTTTGATTGAGTGAAGGGCACCTGCAACACATAACCGTAGAACCGGCCCCGCTCGCGAGAGACTTGACGTGTAAGTTACAGCGTGGAATCAAGTTTTGAATGATCTTCAAGCGCGTAGTGCCTGCCGAGGCAAGTTTCCCTCTACCATGCTGTAGCCACTGCCTTGGTTTCTACCGGGTTGGGTTCCTTCCGCTGCGCATCAACCGCGTTCTCTTCTTAGTCACTCTCTTACGCGACTGCGCGGACTGACGTAGACTAGGTCTCACAAGCGGCTTGCGGCAATCAATCCATTAACGCTGCTCAGGAACCTAAACCTGAACCCGCATGCTCAAGCATCTTATGTGCCTTGCGGGCACCCGATCTAGCATTCCTACGCTTCAGGGTCCAAAATTTTCTTCTCCGAGCTCATTAATTTCACTGTGTCGCCTTTGTGACGTCGCACGGAATCTTTCTGTCTGAAAGCATGGATGGATCGCAAGACTACAGTTCACCGTGATCAACGAATATGCCCCTGCTTTTCGATATCTTGGCAGCGGAGGTACCCCGCAAATCCGGGATTAACATCTGCACTCCAGCTAGCCGGCTGGGGATCTTCTAGTCAAAGCAACCGTGCTGCCTCGGCATCTCCATCCCAGTTACAGTCGTCATCTCAATATTTACTGTCTGCAGTACTGTTCCGAGCGTGGCAAGCGGCAGGACCGTCACAGCTAAACTCTTAAAATACTGCATAAATAGCTTTCAACAGCCTCTCAAAAATGGGCTCACGAGTCTTGATCTCCCTTCTCGTCTCCCAAGATGCGTTCCTGGCTCAGCGTGAACAGTTTTACCGCTCTAGTAGCACTCTGCAGTTTTCAAGTCAAGGCAGATGATGGTGCTTCTCCTACAGCCAGGTTAGACTCCGGGCCTATCGTGGGAACCACCACCGCGCTTCCTTCTGCAACCGCAGTTGTCAACAAGTTCCTTGGCGTGCCCTTCGCTGTTTCACCTCCGGAGCGATTCTCACCGCCGCAAAGAGCCCGGAGACACGGAGTTCTGAATACTACAGCGTGGAAGTCGGCATGTATCCAGCAGTTCAACTGTAAGCAAGATATTGTTCCGTTCAATACGCCATCAAGTATACTGACCGTCCGATCCAAGACCCTGAGGCAAGCCGGAACTTCACGATATCGACGTTCAACACCCCCGCTCCTGAGGAAAGCGAAGATTGTCTCTACTTGAATGTATATGCCCCAGCGGCTCCGGCACGAGGCGCTGGACGTGCAGTCATGGTCTGGATCTACGGTGGATCCCTGAGATTCGGAACTGCAGGACAACGAACATATGACGGCTCGTACTTCGCAGCATATGAGGACGTCATCGTGGTCACGGTTAACTACCGCACGAATGTCTTTGGGTTCCCCGCTTCCCCCGAGCTGCCTCTCATCGCCCGTAATCTGGGATTCCTCGATCAAAGGTTAGGCCTGGACTGGGTGCAACGTAATGCCAGAGCCTTCGGCGGAGACCCATCGCGGGTCACTATTTTCGGAGAGTCGGCTGGAGCTTTCTCTATCGACGCTCTACTCACAAGCTTTCCCAAGGGAAGCAAGCCACCCTTTCAAGCTGCTATACTCCAATCGGGGCAGTACAGCTACCGAACCACTCCTACAGTGAGCAGCTCGCCAGCATGGAACAATCTTACAGCAGCGCTCAATTGTACTGGACCAAGTGCCCTCGCCTGTGCAAGGGCTGCCCCCGCTAGTGTGATCAAGAACATTATAGAGCGAGGCGCTCTCCAGTTTGACCCCGTCCCTGACAATCTCACATTGGTGTCGCGACCCGCACAACGCCGCATCTCCGGAAACATTGCGGATGTGCCCGTCTTAAGCGGTACGACATCACAGGAGGGCCGTGTGTTCGTTGTTGGCCAGACCAACATCACCAACTATGTTCGAACAACGTTCCGCAGTGCTCCAGTAGCACTGCAGGACGCCATCCTCGCTGCGTACCCCGTGGGCGGCGAGTATCCAACAGGCTACGACGCCATCGCCCAGATATTCACCGAGTTTGTATTCCAATGCGTACGTCTCACCATCTCCCCAATTCCCCTTCATCTACCTCCCAGTCTCCGACCATCACACTAACATATCCTCAGCCCCAAGCCCTCTTCGCCAACGCCACAGCCGCCATCGGCATCCCAAGCTGGCGCTACTACTTCAACGCCACCTTCCCGAACCTGCAGCGCTTCCCTAATGCGGGTGTCTACCACGCCTCGGAGATCGCCATGGTCTTCCGCACCTACAACATGAGCACCGCGACCGCCGAGCAGGATGCCCTCGGCAAGTTCATGCAGGGCGTGTGGGCGCAGTTCGCCAAGAACCCGCATGGTGGACCGGGCTGGAATGCTGTGGGTACTGGTGATGAGTTCATTGGTGGAGCGGCCGATCTGGATCTTGGGGTAATTGGAGGTCAGGGGTGGGCCGGGGTGAAGGTTATTAGGGAGAGTGAGGTTGATGGTAGATGTGCGCTGTTTAGGCCGATTTATGAGGCTACTACTGGGCTCACGATTGGGGCTTGAGGGCGAGTAAGGAGGTATTGATGTTACGTGTAACGATCAGATAGAAGTCAGATGAAACTGTCAGCTGCACATCGCGTATTTATAAGTACAAGTGGCCAAAGCTGCAATTGAGACTTGTTTTGGTTGATTCGTGACTCCAGATCAAGCCCCCTAGTGAGCTCTCATATTAAGCTTGCCAACCATGCGCCAGAAACGCCTTTCCCCACGCCCCGTATCCCGAACTAAATGCCGCTGATGCACGCTCTGCCAAGTAAGTAACAAGCCCTTCAGTAACTAGATAAATCGGGCTACACCTATAACACCACCTTCCTCGCCTCACTCGGTCTACTCTCGCTCGGACAGTACGGACATTTGAACCGCGCGCCCTTGCTGATCCGATCCAGCGACTCTTTGGCGATGACATGGCCACAGGGCATCATCATGGGCGGATTTGCATCTGTAGCTTGCTCTTTGCTGACGGGACAGACGAAAATGGAGTGGAAGATGAGGTGGGGAGGTAGAGGTGTAGGTACCTAGAAATGACGTGTTAGCAGGATTGTACTGTGCGGAAGGAAGAGGACGATGAAAAAGGACGAAGATGGGTAAGGCACTTACTGGGAGTTCATGAACAGTAGTCCATTCCGTTCGCTTCTCTTTCATAATGTTTTGAAGTTTTACGAGGGTAGGTAGGGCTATCGCGCCCGCCGTGGCGGCGATATAGAGCGGCGAGTCTGCAGAAAGACCCAGCAGCGAGCAGAACTCCCGCGTGAAAGACGTGGCTACGTCCTCCCACGCGGAGTCAGTGTGGAAAGTGCGTCGATACGGCGAATCGGAGAGATTCTGGTGGAAGGCAAGAGCGCCCAGAAGCTGTTGTATCTCGCGGCCGTAGCGAGCCTGAAAAGGCGCAAAGTGCGTCTTGGCGTACTGCCATGCTTTTAGTGGACCGTTGCTGTCGTCTCCTGAAAAGCTGCTCTGCCCGTTGAGAGGCGCCACGCCGAGAAACAAGCAAACGAACTGCAGCCGGTGGAGCTCAAACTCCAAGTTGCTTCCTCTTGCCTCCAGTATCGCGCTGTGCCACCGCGCCCATACGATGGCGGGGCCAAGGTCATGGTGCTGGCGGAGCGAAGAAAGGATGTGGTACATCTCCCCGAACTGTCTCTGCAGGCTCTCAGACTTGAATGTGCCATCTGCGAAATCCTGCTCCCATCTAATTCCGTCTGACAAGCCGGATGAGGTATCCGGGATGGCTGCCGTGTGGGGAGGGTGGCTGTTCGCTTCTGCGATAAAGGTGCTTGCCACCCCGAACTGGCCTTCTCGCAGCAGATGCATCGCTATGGCGCGGTTGACGAGGGATGGGTGGGAGGAGAGCGCATCGTTCTCGGCGGTGGGAAAGGGTTTGTCTTTCGATGCCTGCGGAGCTTGTTAATGGATGCTGGCGCTGAGATCACAGGGCCGAAGTACCTTGGGGAGCGCTTTGCCATACTCGCTGAGTGCGGTGTGTATTTCCGAAAGGTCGGCTTTGACCCTGTCGAAGGACTTCTTGACGGGAGTTTGGAGGGTTGCTAGGGCTTTGCCGGCGGAGTCTGGGTCTGCGCAAAGCGGCCGGTGAGCTTCTGTCGCCTCGCAGATCTGGAGGAGCGGTGCTAGAGGAGCTTACTGGTTATTATGGCGTACCTCGCGTTCACCAAAAGGTCGATCGTCGCCTGCACATCGCCTATGGTCTTGTCCAGGCTTCCCCTTTGCTCAAGCTTCGCTTGCTCCTCAGATAGTGTCTCCATGGCTTCGGTTTGGAGTCAGGTCTCAGTAGCACGTTTCAAGGACAGAAGCCCCGGGATAGTTCTTGAACAGAGGTTGAGCTGTATGAAGCGACTGCTTGTACAGCCGCCGTAGTCACATGCGCCGCTTCCATGCTCACTATCAGGTCATGCTGGATGTTGAGGTTGGTGGTGGTGGTGGTGGTAGTGGTGGTAGTGGTAGTGGGGTGACGTCCCTCGGCACTACCGACTGTAGCGTGACAAGGTACTTGGGTACCTCCCTCTAAAATAGCCACTCGGTCTACTTTTTCGAGCATGTATGGTGTAGATGTAGAGGCATAACGGATTGTTTTATCAAGTAAACCCTTTATCCAACTTGCTGGCTCTAGCGTTGCTTCTATTTTAACAGTTGTTTGTATCACTACAAATTCTCTGGTCTAGTGGTAGTACTTGCTCGAGCATAATATACAAGACTAGAAGCAAGTGCTCAACGGCTTCTAGATAGTATATCAATTTAAGTCGAAGGGTACTTGCAGCGACTCAAGCACGTAGGCACACCTTGCGAAGTTGAAAGAATCTTGCCATGTCCCTTTCGCGCAGTCTGTCGCCGACATCCGCGAGAATGCAACACCGCGGCAGGACCTCGCATTGGGGTGTACGCTTTTACGCCGACAACACCGCAGCGGAGGCCCGTCCGGCAGAGTCGCTCCGTGTGCTGTGCCCAGCCTGTTGAGCCTGTTGATCGGACGAGGCATCTGCAGAGCTGGCCATCTGGTCTCTCTGCGCATGTCTGCACGCCGTCACCATGAGGAAAGCGCCGCAACACACACTGTTCGACAAGATCATCGGGAGGCCTGGTCGATAGTCTAGGCTGACGGAGGATAAAAAATGGCCAACACGGCGCGGAACGGCGTCAACGAGGGCGCAGAGCCCAGGCGGAGTACAGCTATTGAGCCATCCCAGGGAGGCCAGCCAAAGACAGCGTCCTCTTCGGATGAGCACGGGAAGCCTCGAAGCTATCAGCGCTTTGTCTTGACAGATCCTGTGGCTTTCAGGTATTTGCAGCTGAAACTCGACTCTAGTCTACTGCTGCTGACAGGACACGCAGATATCTCGAAGAAGACCCCTCCACTACCGTCCTTGCACGCCGCCGCTCCCTGCAAGGCTATGAATGCTATATCGTGGAGCAGTGGGCCTGCTCTCGCAGCCACCCAACCTTCGTCATAACCACCTTCACCGGCGACCCTTCGCATTCCGTAATCGTAAACGTCGTCAGCGTACCCACAGAGGAGGAAGCGTGGTCACCCGCACTTAAGGTGTACTTCAAGGCCTTGAACCAGTATCATGCAAAGAAGAGGGATACGCCGCTGGGTACACTGATGATCACAAACCTGAGTGGATTTCCGTCCAGCCTAACGGTCATTCCCGTACCCGGCGGCGATGTGAGGAAGTACCGTGAAGACTTCTTCGTCAACGAGAACTTGAAGAGGTTGGGCTGCTCAGGACGTGTGGGAATCCAGCTGGCGAAGCCAAGCGGAGCCACACAAGCAAAATTCCATCAGCTGTACCGGACGAGTGAGAAGATTGATTTTGCCAGTTCAGTTATCGAGCTTGTCAAGCTCTGTCAGATGGCGCTGATGCTGTTTGGAAAACTGGAAGTCGAGTATGCGGACGGGTTGCTCTGCGACGTTACGGAACAGTCAATCAACGACTGGTGGATCGAGCTCGGCTCGGAGCACTACAACATCGAGCCGCACGACGGGATACTTGGACCTACGACAGTCGCAGCTCTGCTGGGCATGCTTTTGGGCGCCCGGAATCGCCTCAATGCATATGGTGCGCCTGTATCCAAGGATGTGTTCGATATCGAAAGCACCAAGCGCGGCATTGCGTACTTCCAACGCGCTCAACGTATGACCAAATCTCGCCGACTCGATCGCCAAACACTCGAAAGACTTCATCGCTCCACTGCTAAAGCGGCCAACGGAGAGGAATGGGCGCTTCCTCGGGCTGTCAAGTCCACCATGGCCGAGCTGAGTGGCAAAGGCGGCGAGATGCTCATGGACGTTGTGGGTGCTCGAGGTAAAGCCGGTATAGCGGAAATCGAGACTACGGACATCGAGGTTTTCGTCGAGCTCTTATATGGCGAACGGTGCAAGTGGCTGTGGTATGGCAAGCCTAGAAAAACCGGGTCTGGCGACACATTCGACAAGCTGCCAACCGAGGAAGGCTTGGTGTTTCAGAAGGACGACCAGGGCGGTTACGCTTGGGCTGGAAGGAGAAAAGATTCGACTGCCGTGGGAACCCGTGAGGACTTTCTCTTACATCGAAGACAAATCTCAAACCAGCAAGGGCCGCCCGAAGCAGTCGAGAAAATCCAAGATCCCAAGAGGAAGCTCTTGAAGCGAGCAACAGGCAAAGTAGCCGCGTCCGGCCGTACGCTCAAGGACGCCGTTAACCTACGCGGTCACCAGCATAAGCACTCGAAAGATGACAATGCCTATGTTCCTGACAACGTGAAAAGGCCACTACCCCGACGGACCAGCACCGCTCCAAGCAGTCCGACTAGCCCACCTGTCGACCGCACTAGCTTCGAAGGCTCGGCTCATCGGTCGCCGACAAAGCGAAATGTTATCGCTGCACCTACCTTTACAAAGGTGTTCTCACAAACACCCACCGAGTCATATACGAACTTGCCTCCTGAGAAAACCGAGGACGACAGAACTGACAAGCAACCAGAGCGAAGAGGAGCCCTGGGTTCATCGCTTCGAGCTCTTTCCAACCCCTCTACCGCCAAGTCCTCTGTAGCTGGCTCTGTGTATCGCGGTGTCGATCTAGATGACCTGTTTGGCACGGCGGAAGAAACGTACCTACCACCAGTATCCCTTTTGCGCCGGACGCAAAGCATCACTGAGGGCATGCCACGCCACCTCAATAGCGTAGAGCTCGACCGCTGGCCCCGCCACCTCTCCTTCAGCGTTGCCGAGGACAGCGTCCTGACCTGGAACGATCGTCCGGGCGCCAATGACGAAGAAGACAACCACCCAACTGACCCAAAGAAACAGCTGATAATGGAGCTCTGCCTCGCCGAAGACGCTAAGCGCGCCGCTGCCAGCATGTCCCACGTCACTTCTAAGCTCGTCCCGTGGACACAGCGCCGCATCGACACTATCAGAGACCTGGACGCCCAAGCGGACCACAACCAGCAGGAGTTGGAAGACCTGTACTATCCGCTGTTGGACTCGTACAACAGTTTGTCTGAGGAATCGAAGGAGATTCTGGCGCGGGAGCGCAGCAGATTGCAGGCGGGTATCAAGGAGATCGAGACGTTGGGCTCGAAGCTGGAGTATGAGATTAATGTACTACGCTCCAAGGTCGAGGATGTGGAGACGGGGGTTGAGGAGCTGGGGAGGCAGGTTGGGTATATTGAAGGGAGGCTAAGGGAGGTGGATGGGGAGGGGGAAGGGAAGGGGTGGTGGAGGTGGGTGACTGGCGGGCTGGTTGGGATGATTGGGTTGGAGAAGTAGCGAGTGTTCTTATGCGCCAACAGTAACATCCGAAGGAAGCCTAAATGGAGGCAGAGCCTTCCTCTCTGCACTTTTGATGATACCCCTTTGCATCTCGGTATCCTAGTGTGTCGTGATAGTCATCCAATTTACTACGCGCTTGAGGCGGAGTTGAATCTCAAGCCAAGTCATGGGTTATGCTGCGCAGAGCGCTTTGTCGTAAGCGTACTTTTCGAACATCTCACCAACTTCAAGCTTGACAATCCCAAATTTGCAACCCCATGTTAGCTAGTAACGTGTCTTTGGAAAACCTTATATCAAACTCTGAGGCGCAGGCTTAAAGCCACCTTCCTCACGGTTGTTTCAGCTCAGTTGGACCCATTTGGGACAAAGCAACGCTTTGTATTTTTCTATTCTATAACTAAGCAAGAACGCCTTCGAAGCAACCCAATGCTATGCAGCCCCAACGCTAGCGAATGCATTTTTGGGGTCATCGTAGTATCGAGCGAATCGCAAGTCAAACCCCCAGCGCCTTCCTCCAAATCTCAGACCGAAGTCCTATCCCAATCAAGCGTCAATACTTCACGAATCCGACAGGCCCTCGTACAGATCGATGACTTCGTCAATCTCGAACATCAACTCACGGATAACATCCGTCCCCGTGTTTTCGATCTCGACGAAGGAGTCTGAGTCCTCGTCTGAGTCCTCGTCTGAGTCGACCTCTGTATAGTCCTCCAAGTCGTCCTCCGAGGATTCTCCGTTGCTTATCCCGTCAATACACTCCGGCGATGCAGTAAGATATTCCGCATAGACCGGGCCTTGTGGTTCAACTCTCGCTACGGCCTGCGGATGAGGGTCAACCGTCCCCCCAGCAAGGTCTTCGGGCCACATCGAGGCAACCAGTGCCGCGACGGGACCTCGGGAATGAGCTTGAAGAGCGGCGGGATGAGCGTTGACATTCGAAGCATATAACGCTTCGAACTGATTTCCGTGGCGACGGGTGTCGCGCACAGCTACTGCTCCGCCATCTTGAGTGGACTGCTGCATTCGGAATCTGGCACCAGGCATCCATGGCGAGGGCGGACCATCCGGCGACTCAGCAATCTCTTTCGGAAACCACCCCATACCGAATAGACATAGGGACAGTGACCCATCCTGCGGGATGGGTTTTCCTGACTTCGAGAACTTTGGGAGAGAAGGCTTAGTCGACAGTGCTTTGGAGCTGATGATCGTCCGGTCTGGCCCGTCTGCTGCACCTGAGATGCCCAGACCGTGGTATTGCTTCTTACTGTCGTCGTTTAGAGTTCTGTACGAGATGGCTTCTTCAGGCCGAGACAGTGGTCTGTCTATAGCAGCTTGGAGCGCTGCGGAGACATCGTCAACGAAAGTCTCGAAACGGACGCCCGTTTTGATGCTCTTGATGATGATAGGGAGGTTCATTCTTTCTCCTGTTGGCATAGCGATCTGCACAGATGCGAGCGGTGCTCTGCCCGGGCGACGTCGGGCGTAGAGTGAGCTCATCATTGCGTTCTCCACGATGCGCTTCGTATTGAGAGAAGGTTGATAGACTCAAGAGTTATTGGTTGCGAATAGAGACGGAATGCTTGAAAGAGTGTTCTACCGAAGAGTTTGGTATCAGCCGGAGTAGAACACCGGTTCAGCTACAGCTGGAGTGAAAAGAAGAGGAAAGCTCGCTCTTAAGTGGTTCCTGCTTCTCCCTCACCAAAAGCACAGCGCTGTGAGCATATAATTTCACCATTCGATGTTCGCTGGTGAGGGACCATACTGGTGAGGGACAACGTTGGTGGAGGACCTCGCTGATAGGCAACAATGTCGTTGTGTTGTAACATGCGAAGCATTGTATAGAAAGCGCTACAGTGTCGTTCCGGACAAAGCAGGCAAAAAGTTGTCCTACACTTTTCAGTGAACGGAGCATCCGCACTGCCATGCAGGTCGATACTCGACGTTTTTGGATTGGCTCAGCGCTGCAGTGTCTGTCGAAGCGCAAAGGTATGGAACTGTTATACAGAACCCAGTATCTGTGTTTGTGTCAGCGCGGTGCGTTCGACTTAAGCGGCAGACGGAATCGGGAGACTGAACGGACGAAGTCAGTTGAGCGCGTGTAAAACGTTTGTCCTGTAGGTACTAGGTTATCTCCTGGTTGTTGGATTATACGGCTGCGTAGACTTGAATACAACTGATGACATCCCATTTCCGCCACCCAAGCCGAACCGGCGCATGAGTGACCAAGGGCGTCGGGACAAGCGAAAACCTGCTGCGGCATGTTCTCCTTCTTTCTAATTTTGCGTCTCTTAGTCCTCGGGGGTTGGGAGACCAGAAGTATACATACCTATAGAGGCGCCGCCTCGCCGTTTGTGAGTCTTATACAGCCAATCACTGATAAAAGGCGGACAACGAGTTCTGGGATTAGAGCAAACCGTTCCAGATGGCCAGTCTTACACCGCCGGATATCTTCAAACCCAGAAGGTCAATTCTGAGAACCATCGTCATGCGGTAGCGGCTCACTACCGTCTCAGTCTTGCAACCTTTTTCATCTCCTTCTCACGCGCTCGCGGAACCATATCCTACAAGACTTGCCGACCTGCGTAGAATGCTTGCATGTGTATTTGGCATGTACGGCATAGCGTTCTTAGGTGCTGAGGGAGAGATGTATCGCTCCTTTTCCGTGAGATACTTCGTTTCCGAGGACCCAGAGTCCATGCCCGTCAGACCGCCTCCGTCGTACCATCGAAGCGGTAGCCGGTTCATGGAATGTTCATTCAGTCTAGAACAGGATCCCGGCGGCGTTCAGCGGGCCCCCGTTTAGAGCTCTTTTAATGGCTTCATGGACCCGCGCGCAGCAAGCTCTCGATAGTCATGAAGCTAAGCTTTTAGCTGCTGACGAGCGGATGTAACGCGAGAAACATGTATTTAAGATTAGTGTGCAGTATTTAGAACGAGTAAAACTTTTCGAGCGAGATGTATATCGAATAGATACTGGAAAAATACAATAGCGCCTAGTGTGAGGCGCAGGCAACAGGCATCTGTAAAATAGACAACGAGGAAGATGTTACTCTAAATCCACGGCCGGAATACCGTGATGAGATATGGCTCACAGGCACTATCGTTTCTCACTTGGGAGAAGCTAGGGCACAAGGTTGCTCCACAAAAGGATGTCCCATCGTCGCGGATGTGTTCATCCAAGCTATTGACGGATATTCATCTTAGTAGACACATCAATTTGCACATCCCTCGGCATAAAGAGACAAGAAATTGAGGTGACGCTCTGCTTGGTGGCTGACAGTCGTCTTGGCTGACACGGGAAGCCAAAAATAGGCATCCGGAACTTCCCGACTGCTCATTGAGACGAATCTACTCATCGAAGTCACTCGTACTCAATCAGTCGTATCCAAATATGTACCTCAGCCCTGCTGACGCCTGAACCGAACAGTTAGTGGCGCGTGCTTAGATCGCATGTCCCTTCTGTTCAGGGAGCCTCGCTAGCACGTGGTAGTATTATCACTTCGTATAAGTTCTACCTAGTGGTTGAATACTGTTGCATTTCCTCTCGATGAGCATCCCCAACTGCACTATGATTGGTAATACGAGACTCTTGTCGGTAGGTGTTATGGTACGAACACACTATATAAGTGTCGATGTGCCGTCGTCTTAGTCCCGTTTGTATACCTCAACGATACATTCGCTACTGATCTCCGTTTCCTACAGTCGGTCGCTATTCTGTTCAAGTTATACATTGTCCTCGATTGTTTACAGTCCGATATTGCACTCAATCTTTGATCTTGTCATTCACGTCCATATCCATTCCAAGATCTCTATTACCATCACTCAGGATGCGCGCACCCATCACACTCCTCTTCGCAGCATTGCTCGGCTCTGCCGCTGCTACCCAGTCATACACTCCGCTCTGGCCGACAGTAGGTGCTCCACATCCGACCGGTGGCTCGTCAACTGGAAGCACTTCTCTAGCGCCGAAGCCAACACAATCTACATCCCACCCACAACCGAAGCCTACAGGAACCGGGGACGATAAGCCTCCAGCAGGGAGCACGGAGACTCTGACTACCTACACCACCGTAACTACATGCCCGATCACGTACACGCAGACACGTAGCTCATCGATCCACATCACGACGAGCTTGACGACGAAGACACTCACCATCACATCCTGCAAAGCCAACTGCCATGGCCGACCCACCGACTCGCCGAAGCCACCCTTTCCCTCAAACTCAACTCAATCTTCCAAGCAGACCTGGGCCACAGGCACCGAGGCGCAGACCATCACTTCCGTCTACCCCACCACGATCACAAAGGCATACACAACCTTCGTCCCCTGCTCCACAGAAGTAGGCACATCCACGTCCGGCGGTAAAACAATCACGTACTACTCCTCTTGGGTAACCCCATCAAGATCCACAACCATCTACACCAGTCTCTGCACGACTACCTACACCCTCTCGCCTCATCCGCCAGCCGCCACGATCGGTGCCAGCAATCCCATCCTGACCGTTCCCGCTCCAACCATCTGCCCACCACCAACGACAGTCTACACAACCATCTACGTCACGCCGTCCGCGCCGCCCAGGGACTGCCAAAGCTGCTACGAGATCATCACTGCGACGATCAGCGGCACGAAAACAACTACGCTGACTATAACGCGCCATCCCGAGACCGAGAAGCCGGAGGAGCACAAGCCGACCGGCACAGATGGTTCGAGCAAGCCTAGGACAAGTGGGACGGGGAAGGGGACGTGGAGTTGGACCACGCTTAAGCCGACAGGTGTGGGGTATTATCACTGGTAGAGAAAGGGAGGAAAGAAGAAGTTGATGGGATGTAATTTCTAGATTTTAAACGACGCTCCTTTAGACTTAGAAGTGTATTGCGTGGGTGTTCGGTACGGAGGAGCTGCATCTTGTATAGGGTGACTGCTTCAATCTAATTTGGCGGTTCGAACGCGCTTTGTAGCATCGGTATTGGCTCACAGAGTCATAGGCTGAAGTATTCAGTAACTAGTCATTCATTCTATCTAGCATATGTGTCCACAGTAACGAGCTACTCTCGAACAAAGAGAATATAGATTTCTACATGAAGTGAAAGAAGCAAAGCTCGAAGCATGCAAAAATTACTCGTCCTTCTCTTCCTTGATAGACACAGGGATATGACGAACCCCTGTATCAGTTGTCATTTTTCTCAGTTGGAGAGCCCACCCCACTGGTGGGGACACCGCCCTCGAACCCAGGCCCGAGGGCTGGGGCTCTGCGCCTTCTAGTGCCGGACAGGATTGAAAGAAGTTGGCGATGGCGGCTTCATTCTCATCGATCCGCTGTTGCAGCTGGCTTGAGAGCTGCTGGAGCTGCTGGAGCTGTTGGCCAGTCTGCAGGACCGATTGCAGGAGCGACTGCAGAGTGGGGGGAGCGTTGAGAACGGAGGTGAAGCCGGAAGCCGGTGGTGCGGTGAAGGGAGTCGGAGGAATCGCGGAGTGGGCCTGGGGGGCCGCCAAGAAGGACGGAGAAGCCGAAGGGTTCGGTAAACCCATTAAGAGAGCCGAGGGTGTAGCAAAGAGGGGCGGTAAAGCGCGCTGGGGCTGATCCTGGGGTGGGGGTTGTTGCTGGTGCTGTGCATCCTTTAAGCGTTGTGCAGCACGCAAATGCTGCTCCCGTCGACGGCGGGTCCGGTCGGACTGGAGATGGCTAGATTAGCGTCCCGTAGCAAGGAGATGAGATGAACACGAGGATACATACTCCTCGTCCTCCACGTTCTTGATCTCTGCGCCCACGATCCCCTCCTTGTTTCTGGTCTTCTTCCCGTTTACCATGGCCGCCACGGCCGGCGCCACGCTCGTCATACTAGAATCATATCAGTATGCTTATAAATAAAAAGAGACGACAATACATACAGTGAATATGATGTTCTGCACTTGTGCGTTGAATGTTACCATTCTGATACTTGTTAGCACATATCCTGCATTCGATGCGATAACGAGTGGGTAAGCGGTAAGAGCGGTCCCCGGGAAAGACAGGTTGTGCGCAGATGAGGTATTGCGGAGAAGAGATGGTGAGGATGAGGGAAGGTGACAGTAAGAGGTCAGGAGGGCCAAGGCTGCGAATGCTGTGCTGAGATGTGACCAAGGAAGACTGACCGGAGGGTGATTGACGGAAGGGTGGCGACAACTGCATAAAGTCAGCTTCTCTGCTCGTTGAAAGACGTACGACCTCCATGGCACAGCGAGAAGGTTGAAATGGATATGGAGTTGAATGCGGTCGGGGTGCAGTCTGCTTCATACCACGAAGTAGCCTGTGGTGCGCCAGAGAGAGGACTAAACGTGCAGCTTGTAGGATGAGACGTGCGGTTGAGTCACCTTACTTGAGTGTACGGTTGCTGAGAGAGAGGAAAGGGAAGCAGAACATCTTTAAGACTTCTCACTTACTCAGACTCGGCCTCGGCCTCCGGAGGGCCTCCGTCGGCGCGGTGTGCCCATATTAAACCTCCACAACCAGCTGCATGGTCATCAATCAATCTGTCAGCCGTTCAAGATTGGATTGAGATGTGAAAACAGTAAGAAGAAGATGAAGGGCAAGGACACGAGTGGTATGCTGAAGTGAATGCGTTGGAGCAGATATCACAGAACCCTCGAAGCCGGAACATCCATGATGGCCTGGAGGAAGCTTTCAGTGGAATATATTGAACGGACCTGGACCGTACATGGATGTTGCAACAAGCTGTGAAGCACAACGTGGGATCTGTTGCGTGACGAAGACAAGGCCGTGGCCTATGTGGCATGAGAGCTGGACGCGAAGCCCACCACAAAATATGGGCTCATTCGTTAGACAATTCTCTGCGATCGATCAGCGCTTTACCATGCGAAGCCAGATCAAAAGCCTTACCGTGTGCAATATCTTCTAGAGACTTATATATTCCGACACCACTTCGATATCTTTAGGGAAATGTCACAACGTTTAGCCACAAGTCCTCACGTTGCGAAACGAGCCACGTCAGCCGCCGGCAGTGACTTGAACACATCCTACACCCATCATTGTGGTCCGAGAACCGCTCTCTAAGCCCGAAAAAGTACCCAAGTTACGTGACCAACTCGGCGCTTCGAAACTGAACGCCTCATCGACGAATATTGCGATTGCTTGAGCTGAAGAGCTCTGAGGACGGGACCATGAGCGCTTGAGGAGGGTGCGAGTAGACCCTCGCCACCTCACACACAAAAATGGAAGCATGAGAGACTGAAAGATTCAGCACTCGGCTTGCGGACCATAAGGGGGCGCAGGGGCCTGATTCAGGGTCGTCTGAGGTAGAAAAGGCTCAGATGGTGATAAAATCGATTAGGAGTCGAAGCTGAAGAAGTGTAGAGTGGATAAATCGAACCTGTCAACCCCAATGGTCTCCCCTGACAGCCGTAAGGCAGATGATAATGAATGCGTATAGATACACATGGCCCCTGTATTCGCGCCAGTGGTATCAATGCCGCCGCCCAACCTCCAGATTTTCCGCTCAAGGGAAACTGATTCCGCACGCTTCAAGATCCTCGAGCCATAGCCATAACGCCGCCAGAAGATGCTCACCATGCCACCGCACTACTACCAGATATACAGGTATATGAACGCCACCAAATGCATCCCTTTTCTGCCGCAAGCATTCCCATCCCACCGAAACGCCCTGATACATGCAACCAGGAATATTGCCCCGCGACTCACTTCGCGCCACTCCCCAGCTCCGCCTCCAAGTGCGCCCACTCCGGCACCTCCCTGACCCTTCCCCACATGAACTTCTCCAAGCGATTTGCCGCCTTCGCATACGGGGTACTCTCGCTATTATACTTCCTACAGTTATCAAACACGAGCTTCGCATCCCTCAAAAACTCCTCCGCCGTCTCATACTGGTCCTTCTCGAGCTTCTCCTCCATGGTGCTCAGATCCATCGGATTCGTAATGACGTCGTAGTAGTCCTGGACCTCGTCCTTGTTGACAGGCTGGATAAAGGGCCACGCGTTGCTGTTGTTCTGGAGGGAGTTGAGGAGGTGCAGCAGCTGGTTGTAGTTCGGGCCGTGGCGGGGCGCGCGGGCTAGCTCGTCCATAGAGGGGGACCAGCCGGAGGCCTTGATCGCGGGGATGGTGAGGGGGTCGATTGGATGGACGCCGTTTTTCCACTGTGAGGGCGGGGGGTGGACTTTGTAGGAGTTGGAGATTGCTTTTATCTTCTTGTCGACGCAGCATTTCTGCTTGGTGAGCATGCGCTGCGACTCGAGGTAGCGGATCTTGGGTACCATGCTGCATTGCATGATGGTGCCGCCTTCGTAGTCTTTGATGTAGCCCATCCAGCGCGGCTTGCTGAGGGTTATCTCTTTGGTGAAACCTTGCTTTTTGAAGTAGCCGATTGCGTAGTTGTCCGCGTAGGTGAGGAAGTGCATTACGTCGGAGGTTGCTTTGACGTAATCTTTGAGATGCGACATCAGATGTGCGCCGTAGCCTTTGACTTGTTGGTCCGAGGAGATGGCGCAGAAGACGATTTCGGCGAACTGACGACCTTTGAAGGGGCGGTAGGTTATGCCGCTGCGAGGGTGTCAGTTGGAATGAGCTTCCTGAAATCGGAGGTGATACATACCCAACGACTTCAAGCGGCTTCTTGACTATGGCCATGGATAAATGTGTCCGGTCATACACAAGCCGCGCAATGTAATCCTTCGGCATCTTCGGCAGCTGCTTCTGGAAGATACACTTCAGACCCGTGAGAATTATGATGCTCTCCCTGCTGCCATCGTTGTTGACCACCCTGAACTCGATCTCGCCATTGCGCTCTTCAATGACGGCGGGCTTCTCCTGCAGCTGTCCGATCGAGGCCTTCGAAACCTGTCTGGCATTCTCGGGGGAGTCGTCGGTCTGCTTTGGCCGTTTCGAGGGACTGGCGGCGTCGAGAGATTCGTCTGCCTTTCGCTTCACTGTGCTTCGGTTAGAGGGTCTTTTGCTTTTGCGCGCAGTCTCGATAGGAGGGCTGGGCGTCGGAGAAGACCGTTCAGGCTCGAACGGTGAAGCAAAAGAGAGTGTGCCCCTTGAGGAGGGTGAAGTAGACGAAATGTCCGCCGGAGGAGACGACCCGGGGGGGAACGAGGACAGCAAAGGCAGGTCGTCGAGCTCCGGAGACAAGACTTCAAGTGCGGTCGCCCCTCCTAACGGGGAGCTCCTGGTGCCTGTTCGCAAGCCTATGCGTCTCCCCCGGGTCGGTTGGACCTTTGACGGTGAAGAGCGCACGGCTACGGTAGAGCCGGTGCTGGAGGTGCTGGATGCGCTGGATGCGCCGGATGATGTGCTCCGAGCCATGGTGCCTGGAAGTGGCCTTCGAGGCGTACGAAAGGGAAATGCAACTCACCGTCTTCCTTCAGGATAGGAGCCATGGCGGTTTGTACTGCTGCTGACACTCAGCGCGGGCAGGCGCCAAACACACAACCTTGGAAGTCGACGCTTTCGGAAAGTGACGATGGGCGGATGCGGGAGCGCGGGAGCGAACGAGGCGGCTCAGTGCAAGCGGTGGCAGAAACAGGGGACGATCTGACACGTGCTTGGAATCTTTGCTGACATAAGCTTAACCTCCGCCAAAGGATAGCCTGTATCTTCCATCCCACCGCGAAAGGTCGAGCCTTCAACCGGCAGTCTCTCTACTCCTACAGAGCAGGCATCACTCCAGTGTTATCGTGCAGCCGTTATGATGCCTTAGAGCTGCTAAGCGATGTCTCATGGATACACATGCAGCGGTCGCGGTTCCAAACGGACTGTAGAGTCATTACCTCGCTCAGGGTGGTGTATATCAAGAAAGGCTACCCGCCCTCACTAGAGCATGGCTCAGGCCTTAGATAGGTGCTCAAGTATCTGCCACTATAGTTCAAATGCTTTCTCTTAGCTCTCTCTTTCCCTTCCCTTCTTCAACAGATCACTATCCTATTCTTGGGTCATCAACACGCTTGGAAAGGTATCTTTCCAACTCCCTCTTATTCTCTACTTCAACAAACCACTATCCATCTCTCAACTGCTGCTCGCAAAAGTCAACTCGTAGAAGATCCAGCTACTCTATCGCTCCATTCCCGCCAAGCCTTACGCGCAGCAGCTCCTGCAAGCACTCTACCACCGACCATTGCGCGCACCTTAAGCCAGACATTCTCTCCACCGTCATCGCCTACATCACTAGTAAGAGTTACTGAGTGTAGTCCTACTAAAAGCCGTGCTTTACGCGTGCGTTCTGCTATATTTGACTCCGACTCCGACGCAATGCCACCTTGTGCAGATTTATTACTGAAGCCGCTTGTATCGCTACATCCCCGCCGGCAGATATGCGAGACAACTCCAACGAGCACTCACGAACCAAATATCGCACACACCTCGGCACTTGGCCGAGCATCCGTAGGCCTGAGGGTGCAGATTCATGCCTGCCAAGCTACACGCAAGAGCGGCAACATTGGAACCTGCATTCTGCATCGGTGTTCCGGCGGAAAGAAAGGTTTAGGCTCGATGAGTATGATCTATAGCGCCGTATTGACTGATCATTGGAGCCTTGGAGTGAAGCCGTTGGCGGAGGCGGCAAAGTTGCCCTGGCATGATCGTCTTAGTTGACCATTATAGTAACCACTTCTCCCTCACCCTTGGTAGCTTCGAAGAAGAGCTTAACGGCGGTGGCGCGCCTAGTACGAAGGTATAGATCTACACCCACTCTAAGGACGCGTTCCGAGCGTCAGCGACGAAGAGGAAAACCCCTTTCTTAGCAAGAACATTAAGCTGCATGCTCTCAAGGCTAAGACTAGCATTATTGAGCGCTGTAAGAGCGCTAAGGAGCGGGTAGAGGAGATGGAGAAACAGCACGTAATAGTGAGAGCATGATACATACTTCGTGAGTCGATGCCAGCTCCTTTACACCCCTTATACACCTTATATTGTCTGCTAACACTCGTCCAGCCGCGGCAAATTTTTTTTACCTACCCCACCTCTCGGTCTGCCCTTTGATTCCTACAAAGCGTACTCTCCTAGAAGATCCATCCGGGTAGCTGCTCAAAGTCATCTTTCAGATCTAGCTATGTCATCGCTATATCATCCCCGCAGGCAGGTACGCTTACGCGCTCAACTGTCAAATCGCGCCTCCTATCCTCGAACGAGTCGTAGCGCCGTGACCGCTCGCATCCTCCAATTCAAGGAAAAAGCTCCGGTCGGCCTACAACCGCCCGCTCAAGGCCTCACCCCAGAGACAAGCAAGCCGAAACACTGATTTACCGCTGAACCTCCATCGGCAGTAGCAATGGCAACCCTGGGCATCTCCACTCCGCACAAGTGATACGGAAGCCCCATTTTCTCGACCAGGAGGTTGAAGGACGCACTGAGTGAGTGACCAGATCCACACCAAGAAGATAGTTGCATGCTTTATAGGTAGACTGAAGCAGCGTCCGGACTTAGAGCGCTACACTGCTTAACATCCCAATTGAACTACGTTGGATGATTCTCAACAATGTCTACATTAAACATAACGACGAAGTTCTATCAACCCACGCTTGTTGCAGGCAGATACGATACGAGGTCATCGATATGTTGTTCTGCGAGGATGCCTTCCACTTCCGTGTCGACCGATGGGGTGTCACGCAGCTTGGTGGTCCTCTTCCGGTAGAAGTGTTCTCGGGTTGCGTTGTAAGTAAGTCTCGGCTCTCCTGTACCCCTCATGACCTTGGACTGTCTACTAACACCTGACCAGCTGCGGCAAGAGAACCTTCCCCCGCTCCGATCCCCGATATCTGATCTGAGCCGTCAGCGACGATTCTGCCCGTCGCAAAGCCGGCGCATCATCCCGCCGCCCGTTCACCCGTTCGCTCGGTCGCATGGGAAGCAATACCCACGTCCCTATTCATGCGTCCATGTGCATTCGCCACCTCCCTCGAACCCCAGACCGCGGCGAAGCATAGTCACCGCCTCCCCCCGCCAGGCAGACAGGGCGGGGATGCGTACCATCTGCAGTCCCTAGGCGACAAGCTTCTCCCTCAGGCTCTCTTCCAAGTTCATACTCCAACCCATTGTCGGACTTAGTGGCGTAGATCGGGGTCTATAAAGACACGAAATCCCAGCTCAAGTATGGCCTAGGGAGGTCTCTTGGAAGAGAATTCCGGTACGGTATAAACCGCGGTGAGGCGGGTTAGCAGAAGGCAACATCCTATTATATATCTAGGTGAACACATAGTGTATACTAACCGTCCCTCACTTCAATCAATCAACTAGATAATCACAATCTTATCGTCCATTGCATTTCCAAACGTGATAGATTTGCATCAGCTGCGCTACAATATTGACAGAAACTTAGATGGACACAGCTTATCAACCTACTAGCGGAGTAGTAAAGTGTCTATGCCTTGATCGTTAACAAGACGCGAGGCAAGTGGCTTAGCGGTGTAGTAAATCGACCTACATCCACGCATGGGCATGGGCAGGCATGAGGGTCGTGTGAGGTTGTCAGGGCATCATGTGATCTAGCTGACTGCTTGTGGGTTGCAAGACAGAGCAAGAAAATTCACAAGTTGAAGCTTCCAAGGTTCCATCAACATGTCATCCGAGAAAGAATGGAGGTCCGGAATCCACAAACTCTCGTTGAAAGGCTCATCTGAGCCCTGAAGATCAGGGTCCAGCTTTCACATGCAAGTGTCCAAATGCTACAGCTGTTACTCCGTAGATAGATGTCTTCCAACATCGGGTGTAGCATTGTAGCAGAAGTACTCTTTCTTCACAGATTCGGCTCTCGAAAAGAGGGGAATGGTCATTGCTGGATGGCAGTGGTCTCCAACAAGCTTGAAAGTAAGTTTGCGCTGAAGACCGCTCGGGCAGAGTCGGTTTGCTATTGGAGCGATGACGCAACTTGAACATGTTCCTTGGCTTGAAGCTGAAACGTAACACGTGACAATAGCCCCTCCACCGCATACACAAATCGCTGTCCACAAACTTGCTCCCTGAACATACTCTGTTACTCTACCACAACCAGTACCTATTGGAAGACACGAATTGACACGGCTCAATCCAACGACCACCCATCATGCCGTCCTTTCGGTCATCTACACCACTCCTCCTAGCCACCGTCATCCTACTCATCTGCTATGCCCGCCCAACCCACGCTTTCGGCGCCGGCAACATTGCCTCCTTCTCCAAGATTGAGGGCCAGAATTGGCGTCATGGAGACCTCGAAGATACCCTGCTTACTCTTCTCATGACCAGCGCTCAGGGGGGAAAGAAGTTCTCGAAGCTCGACGTCAAGCGGGTCTATTTTGGCAATTGGTTGAGGGACTATTCTCAGGCTGTCGATGTGAGCGAGAATGAGCAATACAGCGTTAGCGTGAACCTGACGAGTGTTGTAGGTTGGCACCGTCAAGAGCGTCAGCGCTGAAGCTATCCGCCTTATGCTCTGGATTCTTGGCTTCTTGAGCTTTGGATTCGGCACTGGAGAGTTTGAGGTCACTCGGGAAAGACTTGGATGCTATCGGTACGTTGACAGGATCTCTACCGTGACTGAGCTGACAAGAGGCCCTGCAGTCCCGAGGAGCACATCGACAACCCAAAAGACTACGCTGACAACATCGACGCCCGCCAGTATGACCGCAGACTCCGCGGCCCGGTCGACGAGGAACGCGAACTCAGTGTCGACGAGCGCACCGGAATGAAGAATTACATTGCCTCTGAGGACCTTGGTATCGTGACATCGGCTGGCCTGGTCCGTAAACTCTTTAGGCGCTCCGTAGACCTCGCTCGGCGGTCCAACAGAGGAGGTAGCAAAGCCGATATGTACGAAGCATTGAGACTGTTGGGCACGGGATGCCATTGCTTGGAAGGTCCTGTTACGACATCTTCGACGACGGTAACAGGCAGCTGACGCTATCAACAGACTTCTCCGCTCACTCGAACTACACCGAGCTCGCACTCATCGAGATGGGCGAACGCAACGTTTTCCCTCACGTCGGCCGGCGTACCCAGATTCAACTTCGCGGCGCGCGCGGGCCTGTATATCCTCTGGTAACAGGTACCTTTGGAGGCGTCGACTTTCTGCACTCGGTCATGGGAGAGCTGTCAGACAAGGCTACACAGTCAGAGATTCAAGAACTTGAGGGCACAATGACCGCATCTCAAAGCCAGGAGAACAAGTCCATGGTGCAGGATCTACTGAAGCAGCTTCCGGATGGACTCTTTGGCGGCAAAGATGAGGCAAGCAAAGTGGACGAGCTCTCCGCCAACAGCGCTGCGGCTCAGATGCAAGGCATGCATATCACGCCAAAGGAGCCAGAAGCCTTCATTGAGCAAGTGAATGAGATTGCGAAGCAAATATACCCCATCATGGAATTCCACGACGAGATTATGAAGTCTATCACCGAGACCATCGACAACATCCCCATCCTGCCGGATCTGTTGGAACAGGTACAAGAACAGATGAACATCTTCGTGTTCTCCCTCCTGGCACCTTACGTGCTCCCAATCATCCGACAAGTCAAGACCGAGCTCGCAACCGGCTCCTCCGAGATCATCCAGTCCTCGAGGGAGAAGCAACTTATAGTCTTCCACGACGACCACTCCACCGATCCTACCCACTCCATGCTATCCAAAGATCACTTCTCCAACGTGCTCAACGAGCCCGCCGGCAAAGTTGCCCAGCAGATTCTCAGGTGGGCCGTCCCACAGCTCGTCGAGTGCTGGGACGACCCCCAGATCGACGCCGACAGGACCATCGACCGCATTATCGACGGCGTATTTCACCACCCTGCCCTCCGCGGCGATGGTAACGACGGCGTCAGCGAGGGCCGCGTGCTCCTTTTTGGAGTTGTCGCGCAGTGGTGGGAGGAGCAGAGCGAGCGCGCGAGAGCCGACCTGCGTGACAAACTGTCCCGCGAAGGTGTCGAGCGCGGCCGAAACCACAAGGAGGGTGTCCATGACAAGGGCCATGGCTGTGGCAAACCCCTCGGTATGCCGGGCCTCGGCACCGCGTTGTCGTCCGGCGCGCCTGGCGGGAGAAACACGCGGCCGGAGCAGGCGGCTATGCATCAGGTCGGCAAGGCGGCTGGCGAGGCTGTCGGTGGTGGCGCCCTGGGCGGTCTCGTTGGTGGAATCGTCGGCGGTGTCGGCGCGAGCTTGCTTGGTGATGCGCTGGGCGGCGACGCGGACGAGAAGAAGACGTACAAGAAGGAGGGATACGGCCGGGACGGGTCCCATACGCAGTCGTATATCGAGACCGGTCGACGCGGCCCTGGTGCCGAAGGCAGGGAGGGATATGCGCAGGCGGGGTACAAGACTACGACTTATCCGGGCGGTGGCCAGCGCGAGGAGTACTCCCGGTATGAGCAGGATGGACCGGGAGGGAGGGGCCAGGGGTATGGCTTCACGCAGGCGGCGGAGACGAGATATACGGCGTCGGGCGGGTATGAAAGGACGGAGGAGAAGCGGTACGAACGCAATGAGGAGTGGAGGACTGAGGTGAAGCGCGAAGGTGTTGACAGTCGGGGAGAATATTATACGGAGACCAAGAGGTATAACTTACCCCTATCCTTTGATCAGCGGTCAGATTTGGCTGACGCGACAAATCCAGGCACTCCGGCAAGTACGGCAAAAAGGCCTCCGACGATGATGATGACGATGACGACGACGACTACGAGAAAAAACAGCGCAAGCGTGAGAAGAAGGAGCGGGAGCGCCGCGAGAAGGAGGAGAAGAAGATGCGCAAGAAGCAGTATGGCGGCGGTCGCTCAGACGATGACGACGACGATGATGATGACGAAAAGAAGAAACGTCGTTCTGGGGGCTACGGCGGCGGCTACGGCCAGGAATCCGGCCACGGTCGCCGCAGTTCGAGAGAACGCAAGCGCTCGGGATCGAGGGAACGGCGCCGGTCGAAGTCGAGAGATAGGAATGAAGGCGGGTATGGGCGTCAGGAGCAGTCGTCGTATGGCGGTGGTTATGAGGCGAAGTCTTCTGGATATGGGAGGCAGGAAGAGCCTGCGTATGGCGGCGGGTATGAAGAGCGCTCGTCGGGCTACGGCCGAACTGAGCAACCTGGCTATGGCGGACGTCAGCGAGGCGGGGATGACACTGAGAGAAGTTATGGCGGTGGTCAGGAGTATGGCAGCGGAGGTTATGGAAGAGAGGAGCAGCCGGGCTACGGCGGAGGCTACCAGCAGCGGGAAGAGGGATATGGCAGGCGCGAGGAGCCGTCGGAGGGGATGCCTGGAGCTTTCGGTGGTGGTGATGAGGAAGAGTACGGCGAGCGGAGGCGAGGATATGGACAAGGTGGTGGGTATGGTGGTGGATACTAGAAGGGCACAGGATGTATGTTCATCAAGGGTGATGCTGGGACACTGGAAGAGACATGCGGTATGGCGGACGACCTAGGAGTTGGCTTGGAGCAAGAGTAGCCGGTTGTCCCGAAAGAGCTCTTTGAGTTTCCACAAATGGACCTTGTGGAATGACTTTGCGGGAATGGGCGTGCCAAATGCAACAAATAATCCACTGCTCGATAGCAACTCGCTTCACGTCTTCAATTGAGCATGCGGAAGGTGATTTCCTGTTATGTATCTAGCTAGACAGTTTGGTGCCTACCAACCGACTATTCCTTACTTGGTGAGATAATCAGAGAACCATGATCTTTCAGTCCATTGCATCACCAAACGCGATAGATTCACCCCTTGGCCTGATGAGCTTGCACACGCGGGCGGGTTCCTGCCAAGCCTCGCTTCCTACTAGCGCGAAAAGTTGGGTATATCAGAACGCCTCTCTCACACTCTCTTCTCTCATCACGACAAGTCCGTTATCCCACCCCATATCTTGTAGAGCGTGTTACTGACCCTCTCGCAGTACTTCATAGAATCATTTCTATAGTATATGTCCTCTTCTGAGCTCCTTACCAGAGCCACAGAATCTCCAACCTGGCTGATGAGACGTATCCTCGGCGCCCTGGAGTGAGAACTTTACTCCCGCTTCGGCGGGAGTGGCGATGATCTCGACCACACTTGGCTTTGGTTTCGGCCTGGCTGGTGGGGTGGGCGTTGATGGACTTCTGACAGGCTTTCTGCGCTTTTGATGTTTGGGGCGCAATGTGAGTCTCTTGGACATTCGTGGACCGGTCTTTGGAGAACATCATGTAGCGTTCAGAAGAATACGATCGAGCGACCCTATTCACAAACAGCTTGCTGTGAGACCTTTGAATGCCTCGAATCAAACTCCACTTAGACACCACGTCATGGCAGATTGCCGATATTTGATGATGAGGCTGAACTGACGATCAAGCTTTGGTCAAGCTATGCGGCTCTGCTCCCCAGATCGCAACATTCGAGAGCCAATTTTCTGGATGGATCGTTGCAGAGCTCCGCCCTCATAAAGACTCCGGATGCCGCTGCACCGCAAACAGCAGACTTGAATAGTCTGGCTATCTAAAATGCTCTGTCGTATACTCAGCGTTAGCAGTTTGCTGCTCACCGCAGCCACAGCATGGAATACAGATGTGCACAACCAGATTGGTTTCATGGCGGAGACGTTTCTCACGCCTTCGACCACCTCCGTTCTGCAGCATGTACTCGGGCCACAATACAGCGGCTCGATAGGCCGGGCGGCAGACTGGGCAGATGCATACGCCCACACGGCTGAAGGCAGTTTCTCATACCAGTGGCATTGGATTGACTCAGCGGACGAGGTGAGTGGAAACGTCCTGCTTGGAAGGGGCTGTCACTCACCGGCCCATTAGCCGCCTACATCCTGTAATCTTTGCTACGACCGCGACTGCTCAAAAGGCGGCTGTGTTGTGTCAGCCATTGCGAACCAGACCGAGATTCTACGCGACTGCATCGCGGATGTCAAGCATGGTATTTTGACTGACGGCAGCAACATCACCTGCTCGTATGCCCTCAAATGGCTCACGCATTTCGTCGGAGATGTTTCACAACCCTTACATGCCTCGGGCACCGCAGCTGGCGGGAACCTCTTCAACGTGACCTTCAACAACATCTCCACTGAGCTTCATGCTGTCAGTATACAGCACTACCTTTAGTCGATAGCCACCTCACTCTGACACACATTTCTAGGTCTGGGACGGCTACATAATCTACAGGGACGCTGGACTCTCTCAATTCTCCCACCAGTCCATCTCGCCCTTCATGAGCTCTCTCGTTTCGCGCATCAAGGCGGATGACTTCTCCCAGCCCACTGCAGAATGGCTAGCCTGTATCGATCCAGCTACACCCCGTAAGTGCGCGCTCAGCTGGGCGCGTGAGAGCAACCGCTGGACCTGCGATTACGTCTACAATCAGACGTACAACGATACAGACCTCGCAACAAGCGGGTATGCTGAGGGCGCCTACCCGATCGTAGAGTTGCAGATCAGCAAGGCGGCTCTTAGATTGGCGACGTTGTTGAACAGGCTGGTAGCCAGTGGTTGTAAGACGGGCCATGAGGTAGTGCTGCAGACGAATCACAACCGGCAGGACAGCCCTAAGGAGGCGGATGATGTGTTTACATAGAGCTGCGACGAAGCTGAATCTATAATCATCTCAAAGGTAAGGATACCAGATTTGTTTTCTTTCCCTACTTTGTGTCATACTTCATATTCGTTGTCCTCGAGGATAGATTCGCGACGAGGATTACTAGTGTGGTTGATGCACGAAGCATTACGCTGCCGATGGCCGCAGTTCCAGCTGTCGCAGCTTCATGTTGGAAGAATTAAATTTCTAATGTCATCTCTTCGGCACTTGCGCTCCTCCGCAAAGCCGCAGTCCCTGCATAAGGTGTTCGGCGAACCCCACATCGGACTCCGTCCCCAAGCCAGCCCCACATCATTCTTCTACTACTCCTTCCATACTTCGCGGCCATGTAGATACTACTACCGCAAGCTTTGCAGCTTACTTTCGCACCATTGGCAAGACTGTCGCAATGACCTTCGAGGATCTCAAAGAAAAGCTCACTGACGTGGGTATACCGCCTCTCCTTTCGACTTCAGTGCTGACTCGATGCCAATAACAGGGAGCTAGCCGCGAGGTTTCACCAAATCGCGGATCTTCTGTCCCTCAAGATGCCGCAATCCCTCTCGAGCGCACGAGCATAGCCGACTGGCGAAGAGCGAATGACATCGACCCATCGAAGCAGATCCGCATCACCAAAGTCAGCCACATGCGCTACCAGCACGAGGACCTGGACGAGATAACACGGTTTCTGCGCGACTTCGGGATGAGCGTTGCGAAGAAGACGGATAGCCAGCGCTGGTACCGCGGCTACGGCTCCGACCAGTACGTCTACTACGCCGAGCAAGGCCCGAACAAGTTCCTCGGCGGCACCTTCGAGGTCGAATCGTATGCCGACCTCGAGAAGGCCTCGTTGCTTCCAAACGCCGGTCGGATAGAGAAGCTCGACGATGCGCCGGGAGGAGGCTATCTCCTTACTCTCACAGATCCCGAAGGGTTTCCCGTCAACCTCATCTACGGCCAGGAGGCCGCGCAACCGGGCAGCATGCCCGAGATCCTCACGACGAACTACGAAGCCGAGAAGCCGAGAGTAGCGCGGTTCCAGCGGTTCAAGCCCGGGCCGGCCGCCGTGCACAAGCTGGGCCACTTTGGCCTTTGCGTGCAGAACTTCGAGGCGCAAGTCGAATTCTACACCAGAAACTTCAACCTCGTTCCCTCGGACTTCCTCTATGTGCCGGATGAGAGCAGCGAGAAGGGACGGAAAGACGTCGCGCTCTTCGCGCACATTGATCGTGGCAGCGACTATGTCGACCACCATACCTTCTTCATGTCGACGAACACGTCGAGCCATGTGCACCATTGTTCTTTCGAGGTCCACGACTTCGATACGCAGAATCTGGGGCATGAGTGGTTGGCGAGCAAGGGCTACAAGAACGTGTGGGGTGTCGGCAGGCATATACTAGGGAGCCAGTTGTTTGACTACTGGTGGGATACCAGCGGGAACATGATTGAGCATTACGCGGATGGCGATCTGGTTAATGATGAGACGCCCGTTGGATGGGGGGCGGCGGGGGATGAGAGTCTGGCCGTTTGGGGCCCGGAGGTGCCGAAGTGGTTCTTGGACTAGATGCAGTTTACCATTTTGGAAAAGATGTCAGGAAGCGTGGTAACATAGTCATGGGCTACTCACGGTGAAACTACCTTGTCTCTGTTCATTGCACGGTCTCCGTATTTAAGCGTCACCATGGGTTCTCTAGAATGGATGGGTAGACGGACCTAGAAACGATCTCATGAACTAGGTATGGCTCTCGGACTGCCAACGTGGTTGCTAAGAGGGACGTTGTGCTGGCACTGGCAGCACGACGTCGAAGCACATTCACAAACAGAGCGCCCGAAAAGTCAGGCGAGAGTCAAGATGAAGCAGATCCCCAAGGAGGAAATCCTATGTATTCAGTTCCAGTTTTTGAAGCTGTGGTGTGTCTAAGCAAAGACCCCACCATGTCAAGCCGCTTCCCCAGCCATGCCAGTATGTATGCCGAAGACCGACCGCTAGGTTCTCCTCACCGAAGACCTCTGCACCGTAGCCAAGGACGAGGACCCATCACCTTTTTGATTCGAGTCTGGCCGTGACGACCCCATCCGAGATGAGATCTAGCCGCAGCGGTCATAGCAGGCGAGGCAGCCATCCTGCTGCATAGACAAGATCTCAGATTAGCGTCCACAGATGACGGTCTCCCTTGGGATGAAACTTACACGGCAGGTAGCATGTTCGCAGATGTCGAGGCAGGGGAAGCCGAGGATGCAGCTCTGTGCGCGGCCGCTATGTCAGCCTGTAGTTCTTGCGATACGAAGATTGTAGAGTAGCAGGGACTGCGGCAGAAAGGGTGAGGCACGCACAGTCAGGCAGTTGTTGTAGTAGTCGTTGCACTTCTTGTAGCAGTCGATCTGGATGCCGCCGGCTGCGTTGGCGCCGTCGCCGGTGTTGGGGATCGTGGCGGCGAAGGCGGTGGCCATGAGGGCCGTGAGCACGGTCGTGAGGATCTGCATGATATGCATGTTGCCGCTGTAGTGAGGTTGACTGTCTTTATTGAAACGGTTGTTGACTGAGTGTAGTGATGTTGAGCTGGAGTGAAGATCGAATTGGAACGGAAGTATTTGGTGGGCAGGATGGGAGGTTGTTGGAGGAAAGATGGAGGAATGAAGGAGGTATGAAGGTCGGGGCGGTGTTTGTTCTTATGGTAGCGAAAGAGGCAAAAGGTCGATGCGGGTGAAGTGAAGCGATGAGCAAGTTATCGGGCCCACGCGAGAAAAGCCCAGTGATGACATTAAAACTGTTACATGACAGACTAGCAGGGCGCGAAGCCTCAGCCCGCGTCGGTGAAATTGAATGTTCTGAGCTTCTTCTCCTGCCTAAGTTCTTTGTTGTGCCTCTCACAATCCGCGAGCCTGGCCTTCAGATGGTCGTTCTCAGTCCTTAACTTCCTTAGCTCGGCCTTGACTCTGATGAGCTCTCGGAGTTGAGCTTGAGGATCTAATGGTGAGTCAACATCTTCCTGTTCGCTACCGATGGAGATCATCTGCTGCTCTGTCGCCTCCGCGCTAGGAAGTGGCTGAAGGGTAAGGGACAGCCGTGACTTGGGTTCTGAGTAAGAGGACTTCCTTCTTTCCTCAATGAATCCTTCAAGCAGCGAATTGCGTGCTCTGATTCTGCTGGTTCGGCAGTCGTTGTAGTTTCCAGGCTGCGGCGACTGCTGGTTCTGTCCTAAGCCAGACAAGGGTTGCTGCAAATCGGGAGGCGGTATCGGGTCGTTCTGTGCAGTTTGGAGGGGCGACTGTGGGCTCAAAGGACTCTGGCCACCATCCACAGGGCTTTCAGATCCTCGAGGCACCTCTATCCTCGGGCCCCAGATGTGATGTCGTTGCTTCTTCCTTGGTGGACCAGATTCTTTATCAATGCCCACCTCAGCCACATTGTCACCATCGCTTCGTCTCTCGCTGCACTCGTTAGTGCTCGTACGCTCTTTGCGTGCCGTGCCAGGCTGAACCATTTCCAAGCCAGCAGGCTCTCGGGCGGATTCTCCCTTTCCCTCGCAGCGTAGCGGCTGCTCCCCCGCGTCGTACTTCTTATGAATAGGAAGGTGTTTGTATGTGAAGGCCAGCGACTTTTTGGGCGCTGAAAACTTGACAATCAGTCCCCCTCGACAGTCGTACACGGCCTTTGCCCCTCTTTTGCCAACTGTACTTGCATGGGGCTTCCTGTTCGCTACCCGATCCTTATTCGACAGCGAGTCGTTGCAGATGAACGAGAAACGCCATGCGCCGGGAGACTCTTTGCTGTTCCAGTCGTTGCGAAAGGTATAGCGGTAGCCATCGACCCTTTGAGCTGCATCTACGACTGCTCGTGCTATTGCACGTTGCTTTGTCCTGTTCCACTTGGTGTCCATTGCGTCGTTGAGAGTCATGGCCTCCAGTATACTCATTGACCGCTGGACAGTCGATTGACAATTGGCGTCTCTGTTGGTTGCAGTAGCTGGATCTCGGTGCAGATCCGCATCATTGGTGTGCGTTGAGCCCGTGCCATTCTTCTCAAGATTCGCTGGCTTACCGTCCGGCAGTACCTGTGAGGGCTGCGAGCTATCGTCCGGAATGGAGACCACGAAAGACGCGCCGGGCCAGAAGGAGATGTCGCAAGCGGAATGTTCAGGGATCTCAGGTGGAGGATACAGGTAACTGCTCAGCGATGCCTCGAATTCACCCAGTGAGGAAACATAGTAATGGGTAGTGTGAACATGTGGATCGTTCGAAGGTCGGCCCCTTCTTCGCCGCAGGAGGCTGAGGGTCCCGCTGCTATTGGGCTGCTCCCTATCCGCCTGGCGTTGTAGAGCTTTTGGCTCCTCTTCTTGCCGTTGCTCCTCCTCCTCCTCCTTCCAATACCCTGGGTCCTCGTGTTCTTCCTGATCATCTTCTTCCTCTTGTTCGTCCTGTTCTACCTCGGGCCGGTCTTCTTCTCGCCGAAGCTGCAGCAGCTGCTGCGGTCCCGCGGTCGCCGCACTCGCACTAGGAGGCGGAGTAGGGAAGCCTGAACCAGGTCGATGTTGGGTATCGACAAAGTACTGCGAATGCGCCTTCATCCACCGTCTAGACCACTGTTGTCCGACTTTTGGCGGCGGCGCCCGAGGATCCGGGTTGTGTAGGGCCAGGATGGAGTTTGCGCCATCTTCGACCAGCTTGCTCCACGTTGTCGAAACGCCAATGCTGTCCAAACCAGCTAGCCAGCTGCAAAGCATCTGCTCCTGCTCATCGTTGAGTTTTCTGTTCGCGGCAGGTCGACCGGATCTCGATTGGCGGCCTTTGGCGCGTTCGCGCAGGCGTTGGTAGGGGACATTGTATACTTCGGCGAGATGGCGGAGATTGGGCTTCGCGCCGTCGGGTATCGTGCTAATGGCCTGGTGGATACGAGCCTGGACGACTCGGTAAGTGTCTGACATGGTTGGAAGTAGATGAGTATAGAATAATGTCCGCTGTCATCACCAGCACCCACCGATACAGTGAGTGGTACATGTACTTGGGGACTATCTAATCTTGATCGCTCAAAAATCTAATCGATAAGTACCTACATAGCAGAGCTCCAGCCAGAGCTCCAGGCCAGAGCTCCAGCCAGAGCTCCAGGCCAGAGCTCCAGCCAGAGCTCCAACCAAAGCTCCGCTTGAACCTCACGAACCTCTATCCACCCACCACACAAACACCCCACTCCCGCAATCATGGAGCAAACACGCGCCCTCAACGCCCTCGAGCCCTTCCTCGCCCTCTCCAAATCCGCCAACTCCCCCCGCGCAGCCGCCGATCTGGTCACGCAAGCAACATCCGCACCAAACACCTACGTCTTCGCCGAGCTGCTCCAAACGGCAAACATCCAAGCATTGCGCCAGTCACCTGACCACTGCTCCTACCTGACCCTCCTCGAGATCTTCGCCTGGGGCACCTGGGAAGATTATCAATGTACCTCCCCCTTCCCTGGCCCCCCTTCCCCGAAACCCGCCCCGCCCCGCCCCGCCCAGCAAGCCGACTGACACACAACCCCCAGCGAATCCCACCCTCCCCCAGCTATCCGAAGCCCAGCAAACCAAACTCCGCCTGCTCTCCCTCCTCCCCCTCGCCTCAACCCCGTCCCGCCTGACCTACACCGCCCTGCAAACCGCGCTCTCCCTGCCCTCCGCCCGCTCCCTCGAAGCCCTCATCACAGCCGCCATCTACGCCGGCCTGGTGACCTGCACCCTCGACCCGGCCCACAACAGCATCGCCATCACCTCCGTCGCGCCGCTGCGGGATCTCGCGCCCGGTTCGGTCCCCGCCCTGTCAGCGACGCTCGACGCCTGGGCCGCCAGGTGCGAGGACGCGCTCACGGCGCTCGAGGCGGAGAATGAGGGCGCGAGGAGGGGCGCGAGGGAGAGGGCGAGGCGGACGAGACGGGAGGAGGAGGCGGTTGAGGCGGCGGAGAGGGAAGTTGAGAGGGGTGGGGGTGGGGGTGGGGAGAAACGAGCGGCTGGGCCGGGGGAGGAGGGGGAGGGGGAGGAGATGGATGTTGATGAGGTGGGAGGGTTTGGTGGTGGGCAGGGGGCGAATCAGGCGAGGAGGACCACCAAGAGGGGCCCGGGTGTGGGGTATGGGCGGAGGTTGGGCGGTTGAGTGCGGGAAGGAGACGTGGGAAGGGCGAATGAGAGGCTCCAATGTCAGAAACGGAAGACTAAACGGTGCTGCACCATGGGCGTTTGATGGCGTTGGCTGGCGGTACGAATCGAGCGCATGGCACGAAGATAACGAGAACCATTGTAAGGCGTGCTTAGATTGATACGAAGACTCATGAACAACCTCCTCCTGATAGATCCTAGAGCAGGGCTGGACATGGGATAGCATAGCAGCTGCGACAAGCTTGAAAACAACTTTGTTCAAGCCACCAGAAATCGGCGCTCCGTGATTTTATTCCAACCGCTTTCCTGACAGGCCGCTCAACCTGGACTTCGTTGCAGGCGTAAATCCCATGGGCTTGTAGCTCTGCAATGGAGACGACCCACCTCCGCTTGTATGACTGAATTCGCGTCATCACACTCGAAAGCAAACTTTGGCAACTTATTGACTTATGTAGGTGAAATAGGGTGCGTTGTCATTTCAGAGTGCAGCATCCTAGCACGTCCAAGCGTGTTCGGTTTGACCGGACACAAGTGACATGCATAGCTGCTGTCGACGAGTAGGAAAGTTTGTCTTTGAGATTCTTCAAGGGGCAGACATTCTATCAGCAGACTGGTGACGCGGGGCCGATCTGGGGTTTCCAGTCGCAACGTTGTGAAAAGGGTCGGTTGAAGGATCAATGAAGGTGTCACACAAGAGGCGAGAACAAAGACTTGAGGCCTGGCGAAGGAGGGAGTGAGGGACGAAAATAGGCATGCCGGATCTCTTCGGAGCAGTCACATCACTTAGCTACATCCATTCCCCGCGAGTCTCACAGGTACGCACAAGTTCCGCTGTAAACCGCAAAGCAGCCATTCTAATTAACCGAACTCATCACACGAGTCCCCATAGTCCAGCAACGGCTGGATCAACTCCTCGCTTGTGAGGCCAACTACCTCCTCAACTCCACAAGTCCCAGACAAGGTATCCCCAGTTTTCTACCAGCCAATCATAGAAGAGGTATTCACAGCAAAGCCAACTTTTGTGCGCTGAAAGAGGGAATCTTTTGGAAGAGAAAGCTAAAGGCAAAAAGTGAAAGCAGAGTAGACCAGTCTCCCATATGAACGTTGGTGAAGAAAACGAACAGAAGCGAAAGAGGAAAGAAAGGGGAGGCGTCTTCTATAAGCACCGTCTCGTGTAATTAGGCCGTTGAGCATGTAGCGACATCAGTGGTAGCCAGGAAGGTCGGCTCTGCGATCCGCAAGCCAACCTTTCGCTGGAATGGCCCGGAATGGGACAAAGCGACCAAGCGAAGTAGCCAACAGCCGTAGCCCCTATAACCCAGCATATCCCCGGTTCTAATCACAGGACGCCGGGGTGGAACAACTCGAAGACCCAAGAATCGCAATGTTCAAAGTCTTCACAAAACTCCACGATCACGCACGGCTCATAACCCCATACCGGGCAGGCCCGAGCCAGCAACATTAACATTCATGCCGCCCAAATTGACAGGCATGACCGGCCCACCAGTCGGATTGATCCTAAGCTCCGGATTGCAAGGCGGCGAATGCTGGCGATGATACTTAAGCCCGTTAAGGTTCTTGTACCGCTTCCCACACACCTCGCAGCGGTACGGTTTCTCCTTCTCCATGCCGACGGTGCCCGGATACGGCACCGAGGTAATCGGGTCGACAATCGAGTACGAGCCGTCCTCGTTTGCTTGGAGTTGCTGGTTTCGATGGCCGTGCTGTGTAAGCCGTTAGTATGTGGCTAATCACGTGAACCACAGGGTTGTTGGATTTCTCGGGTCGAGACTTACGACTTTGTGGTACTTCAGCCCGTTCTGGTTCTTGTAGGCCTTCTCGCACCCATGCACGGGACATTTGAATGGCTTCTCCTCTTCGGCTGGGAAGCCGAGCGCCGCGCCGTTTAGGCCGGTGGTTTGTTGCGTGTTGCCGCCCATCTGCGCTATGCGTAGGGCTTGCAGTTGCTGCTGGTTGTAACCGCCTTGCTTGCTGTAGAGACGTTTGGCCGGGTCGTCGATGAATTGGCTCGGGGCGTCATTGCCCATCGCGTTGATCTTGCTCCAGTCGAGGTCGTTGCCGGTGGCCATGGGCGGGCCGAGCGGCATGCCGGCAGCGTAGTTCTGCGCGAAGTCGGGGTCGAGTTCTCCGGGAGTGCCGGGTTGTGATGTGTACGGAGAGATTTGGCTTTGTGCGTTCTGCAGCGCTTGATTGCCGAAGGTAGGTGTGTTCACGGAGGAGACAGTGGGGTTGTTTTGAAGTCCGAACGCTTGATGACCGGCATTTGGCGTTGTTGGACTTGACTTTTTTAGCCCGCGATGTTGTTGCATAGTGTTCGCAACATTCACATTGAGCGGTGGCATTCCGTTGTTCATGTGGCCGAATGGCGATGGCTGAGAGTTGCTCGTCGTCTGTTGCGGCTGGTCGAGCTGAAATGGAGCGTCGTCCATGTCCATGCTGTCTAGAGGGTCGACATCAGGTACAGTGGCCAACGGCGTCCGGCTGAAAGTGCTGTTCCCGAGTCCACTGGACTGGTATGACTGCATGTTGTTCATCTGAATGTTCTGATTCGACTCGAAGCCGTGGTATTGACTTGATGGCTGCATACTCGACCTTGACTGATGAAACCCAATACTGCCATTCCTTCCGTTCTGATAGTACCCGCCTTGTCCGGATATCGAAGGGCGGTTGTTGACTTGGGCATTCGGCTCCGCGTGGGCCGTCTCGTAGTGCTGTAGGAGGTCGTGTAGCGAGTCGAGGGTCAGACCACAGCACGCAAAGTCTCTCATGAAATTGGCCTCTAGTTTTGGTAGATACGATGAAGAGTGGAAGGAGGGCGATTGTTGAAAGGCGTAAGGAGAGGTTCCGGTCATGATGCTGTAGAGTCACCAGTCAGTACCGCTGCAAGTAGTTTATGTAGAGACCCGGCTAAGAAGGGGGACTGCGCTTCTCCTTCGATGCACTGCTGCGTGGATTGACGACGATAGAGGCAGGAGATTGGAGCGCACTTACTCGTCTCGAATCCAACTCCCTACCGAGATTCCACCCCAGCTCATGCCATTGGAGAGACTCCCGGCCTGGCTTTCTCTCCGCTGCCTATCCTTGACCGAGATCGGCCTGGCGCCGGATCCACCGAAATAAGAACCCATGCCGTTGTTCAAGGAGTTTTGTCGCGCTCCTATACTCATGCGACCGTCGCTGGGGTTCTTGCCTCCAATATTTATAGCGTCTGATTGCTGGCCTGACAAAACCGCGTTCTGCAGCGCAGACGTGAGATTCGAGGTGCGAGGTGATTGTGAATTGAACCTCGGGGGAGTGGCAATCTGTATGGGCGACGCGGGCCTTCCGCCATTGTAGTGTCCGGCCATAGTGTACGATCTCCGCCTCGGAGGCGAATCTGGGAACAGAGGAAAGCTGCCCTCACCCGTATCTGCGAACAAAAGGTCGTCCGCTCCCAGGTGTGAGCTCGCGTGAGTGGCGCTGCCGTCCTGTGGTTTCTTGTGCCAGGAGAAGTAGAGGTCAGGGCCCCTCTTTGGACGGTTGAATTGGGGAGATGCGACGGCAGTGACCGGAGTGCTGATTGGGGTGCTCTCTACAGTTGACTCGCGCCCACGGTCACTGGTGTTGGGCGAGTAAGAGAGAGGTGGTGGTGTCTCGGATGAATCCAGCTTCACGGCTTGGCTGATGTACCGGGCTGCGTGACTTAGTTAAAGTGGGCTGCGGCAACGTCCGCAAAACGGGTTCGGCGATCTGCGGTCTTTCGGAAAAGAACAGTAGAAGGTTCTCGGATTGTGTATGCGATCGATGCACTGGGAAGCAACAATTATTGTAGGAGGTGAGGTTAGAGGAGATCGGGGGCTGCGGCAGCGACTTTAGCGGCGACGCGAGGTGATGTCGCGGACTACAGGACGTAACTACCAGCCCGGATGCGCCACAACCTTTCTTCGAGGACGCGGCTCGCTCGGATAGCACTGCTTAGGTCAGGTTGCAATAGAGGCGAAGAGGCGAAGAGGCGCATGTGAAGGAGAGTTCAAGTGCAACATGAGATGAGGGAGCTGTAGGAGCCCCGGGGGGGCGTACAGTACAGTACAGTACTCGCAACTGGAAGCTATGGGCCGCTTTGGCGGTGGACCCTGACGGTCAACTACCTAGGTAGCCAACTATTGGGGAGGGATCATTAGAGATGCGTGACAGATGGCTCCCCCCGAGCGCAACGGCAGCTGAGTAACGTAATCGGGCCTCACTCCCACTGTCACCGCCGAGATCCACGGTTGACTCGAGCGCGGCGCCACCAAAAGGCCATGGCCTTCCAGAAGCTGAAGATGGTAGGGAGTAGGGTTTAACGGCCCAGCGCTGTGTGCTCGGCACAACTGCCGGCTCGCTGTTTGCACGTGGCAGCCGAACGTTGTGCGCCTGTTCTTCAGCCTTCTAGCCTTCTAGTCTTCTAGTCTTCTAGTCTTGCAAGCATTCCGTTGACACAGCTGACAAAGAGTTTCCACGTTCCTCGACACAAACCATGCTCCATCTCGAAGATGCCGTCCAATGCACGCAACATGCCTGCTAACGCCGCCGATTGGACGCGCGCTTGGAACCGAAGCCCTAATTCGATCTAAGCGCATCTGCTGTCGGAGCCAGCCATTTCGTCAAAGGCGTGCAAGAACGTCCATGGGTTTCCCGCTCCATGCAGTTGTGCATCTTGCCGCGTGCTCCGTGAAGACCATCCCGCCTCTCGCGCCGAGGATGTTGAAAGTCGCCGCATCGCTGTCCCCGAGCATTGCGCGTACTGGAAATCTCCGAGGCCAGCATGGCCTCTCCCAACGAGCTGGTCTCCGGATACAAGCAAGGGGGCGCCTCGGCCATGGTGCCCCTTGGGGAAACCCGGGCTAGGGCGACTGGCCTTTGCGTAAACCTGAGACTTGCCTGGTATTTGGGATGTGTCTCGTGCGCACTCTAGCAGCTACATAAGGTACCTATTCGCACTGGCTAGAAGATGCTCACCGCTACGGGTAGAAGTATCAGTAGGGTACATGGCTTCGGCCAGTACCACGGATATGTTTCGGAGAGCAGGTCCGAATCGATGGTGCCCGCCTCATGAATGGTACCCTAGTGCTCTCGTCCCATTGATCACATGCTAGGACGTTTCAAGCGCACGGCACGCACTGTCATGAAGCAGGCAGTTGCATAGCGTCTAATGGTTTGGGGTGAAACTTGGCGTTAGACTTGCGTTCACGATGATGAAGGGCTGCAGATGTAGTTCAAGTGAGAGAGTCCAATCGAAAGCAGGTCTGACGACCAAGTGTTCTTGTTTGATATTCTGAACACGTAAACGGTCCGTCGCTATTCTGGCTTTGCTAGCTTAGAAAGGTGTTATAGTAGCCAGCGTGGACTTTGCAAGCTTCACTCGTCGGGAATTGGCCCATGGGATCGAAGCTACATCAACACAAGCTCACATGCTATGTTAATCAGTCCCCCTTCAAGGCTACCTAGTAGCCGACGCATCTCGGACGGCCGGTATGCAATACCTCATACCAAAGCTGCGGAAGGAGCTTCAATTGTACTGATTATACGTCTCACGAAGCGAAGTTATTAACCTTCCGCTTCGATCTCATAACTGTTCGACTTGTGCTTCGGTTCGAATTTGAAGTCCGGATGTGCTGGGCCCAAGAACATCTCACTGAGATCTCATTAGCGTGTTACTCACAATAAGAACACGTGTACCTGGGGAGCTCTTACCTGATCTTGATCCAGTCCCGGTAGTTATCACTCGCCAGCAGCGTCTCCAGATCGTCACGTCCCCTGTAGGCAGGTGGCCTGTCGTGGATATGCGGAGGCATATGCTCCAACAGCCCAATAGGTACGTAGCGGCATGAGAAGCTGAGCCACTCCAGCAAGAACCTCCTTGTGGTGCCCACACCAATCTCGTCAGAGCCCCATGCCTCAAGCCCGTACTTGGCGAACTTCTCGATGTAGGCCAGGCGTTCGGACGCAGATTTGTCGAGGTACTGGCCCTTCTCGATCTCCTCGAAGATCCATGGCTTGATCAGAGCGCCGCGGCCGATCATGACTGAGTCGACCTTGTCGTCCTGGATGTGGCCGAAGTAGTCGAGATGCGAGTAGCAGTCGCCGTTACCCAGGAAATAGACCTTTCCTGAGCTGACAAGCTGGCTTGGATCAGGTTCCGCAGCAGTGTCCGCTGCTTTGTCCGTGTCTTTGTTTAAGCGGTTGATGAGGGCAGCAATGTCAGAAATGTATTTCCAGTCAGCCTGCCTGGTGTAGCGCTGTTGTCTGCTTCGGCCATGGAGTGTAATGGCCGCAACACCTGCTGCGCCTTGACCTGCCTCATAAGCCTCTTGCCCGCCTAAGATCAGTCGCTTAACAAGCTTGTGGGCGGTGGGATCATTGTCTTTCGTGCCCATGCGAATCTTGACGCTGATTGGGACCTCATCCGAAACGGCGTTCATGCCTCTCAGGATCTTCTCCAACTTGCCAGGGGTATCCAGAAGCGCAGACCCAGCGCCCGCACGGTACACCAGGTCAATGGGGCAGCCGCAGTTGAGATCGATGGCACGAAGATTCGGACATAGCGATGTGAGAATCTCTGTCGTCTTCAGGGCCAGCCAGGGCTTGTTCGCAGCGATCTGTGCGCCGAACTTGAGATCTTTGGTATTGTCATAGCCTGCGACAACAGTGTTCTTGCCGGAGAACTTAGGTGGCTGGATTTCGGTTTGGTGGGCTTTCATCAACGCCCACTCGCCCTTGTCTCCTTGGATGAGGGGAAGTCCCATAGCCATCTCTGACCACGTGACTTGCGCGCCGAGTTCTACGCAGAGGCGTCGAAACGGCATGTTGCCTTGAGTTGTAAGAGGAGCCAGCACTGGTGTTTCTGGCCCGTAGTAAAGGCGACGCTTCTCTGATGGTAAGAAGGGTGGCTCAATATACTGAGCTCGGTTGTTCTCCCTCGCTTCTTTCGAGTCTATGTCCATCGACTCGTCATCTTTGTTTGACCTACCATTCGCTGGGTGTACGGCGTTCTCTCCCCAAGTCTTGCTGAGAAACTCGGTGTATGCATCTGCCTTCGGCGTCTTCGTCCTCTTGCGATTGAGATCGATCTTACGCTCCGTGCTCACAACGTTGACCACTCCCACCTCGTCTTCGGTGATCCCTAGCTTTTCGGCTTCTGCCTTGCGCACAGGGTCTTCCGTAAGGACGAGCTCTTTGCGACCATCGTCTGTTTCCCGCTCTTCCGAATGAGATCCTGCAAACCGGCACTTCCAGCCGGCGTTGCAGAGCCCCCGTACGTTCCAGACTGGGCATACTCCACCGAAAGTCTTGAGATCATCCCGTTTCCCTTCTTTCAAATACTTACGTAGATCATGCTCAAACTTGCACTTCGGGCCGAACTTGCATTCTCGTGGAGAAAATTCAGGAAATAAGGCGCGGGAGCTGCAAAGCTGAAGGGTGTCTCGAGAGCTGCCGAAAGTACGGCCCGTGTTCTGTCCCTTCTGCTTCGACTTTTTCTTGTCGCGCTTGTCACCAGCCGACCCATTCGCCTCATATCGCGGGCCTGATGCTTCTGCGGCATCGTCATCAACGGCTGCAGACGGCGCGCTTGACCTGCTAATGAGGTATCTGAGAAGGGTCAGCTTTCGAAAAGTCAACCCTGCGACGCTTCCAAGCTGCACTTACTCGGACTTGATAGGAGCAACGCCTCTCCTCCTCTCACTCGCTGAAGGAGCACCTGGGGATGACTATGAGCATAATGCAAAGATATGTAATTCTCGAGAGGAGTTTGTTCTTCCCCATAGCGACGCAACAACGCAACATGTAAAAGCCATATGAGCAGTTCTGTTTTGATGCTCCGTATGGGATCTGATTCCACGGACGTACAAGCCTCGTGAAGAATAAGAAATCATCAACTGAAGAGTGAACGATGAGACGATGGGATGATTGAACGCAAGCATGTGATGAATAATTTTATACTAAACTTACCGGATGCATTCAAGCTTGAAGTGCCTGAGGGGTGAGAGTTGTCATGGCTCAGCTTCGTCCTCTTTGCTGGAGAGTCGATGAAATCACCCACAGTTGCATCTGTGACTGGGAAGCCATGGCGTTCTACCTTCTCCGCCTTGGTGGTAGCAGAATCGCCTGGCAAGATAGGCTGTGCTGGGTGCGCTTCCTCCGTTGATTTGACATCTGGTGGAGGCTGCTTCAGGGGTGATGAGGGTTCAAGTGGGTTCTCCGTAGGGACAGGCACGTCGCCTTCTTCCCCAATCGCGCTGTCTCTGTCCATTTCAAGCTGAGTGAGCTGCCAACTGGACGGCGCGGCTAGACCGAGCAGGCACGATGAACTCACGACACGAATTCCTACTCGTGACTGGCAGTGTGGAATTTTGGCGTTGACGGCTGAAGCCGCTACGTTTCTGTGGCCGGTGACGTCAATCGCTTGGCAGTGGTTACGTTGCGATTTCCGTCCCCTCGCACATGCTGCACGTTGCCTCGCTGCCAGCCGTGCCAGTTTCCAAGCTTGATTTCTCACTGTTTCCCCACCGCGTTGGTTTTGACACACATCAAAAACGCCCTCTCTCAAACATCCACCTCCATCACCTTGACAATCCTCCCTTACACACAATTCCGCATCGGCACCCAAGCAATTCAGCTACAGCGTGCCTCCTGGTAACCTACAACCCTCAGCAACCCTTGCATTGCATCAGAGCACATTGCAGCCATGACGCTCTACTACAGCCTCGTAAGTCCTGTCCGCCGTCTACATACACCGATCTATCATATCTCGGCTCTGAAAACACTGTCCTCTCGTTGAGCACTCTCAATGGCCCTTATTAGCTCTCTGGTGTAGCCCCTCGACTCATCGCGTGACCATGCCTAGAGACCCTATACTAACACAACCTGTCAGGTCTTCCTGATCCTGGTGACGGAGATGGTTATCTTCATGTCCCTCATCGTGCCCTTGCCGTTCACCTGGCGCCGCAAGCTCTTCACTTTCATATCAGAAAGTCCGCTGGTAGCAAAATTACAATATGGGATGAAGGTAACCCTGCACAACACCTGCCGCCCTGTTAGACAGAGACTTACTCTTCTCCAGATTACCTTCATCTTCATCCTTATTCTCTTCATCGACAGTGTGAACCGCGTATACCGCGTTCAGGTCGAACTTGCGGCAGCAGCGGAAAGCCCCGCCGGTCGTGGAGGGTATGTGCTCCGCTACCTGAGCCTCTTTCGTACACACTAACACATGTCACAGTGCCGCTGTTCTTGGTGGCTCCGAGCGCATGGAAGTTCAAGCACGCAAGTTTTACTCGCAGCGCAACATGTACCTCTGCGGATTCACGCTCTTCCTCTCGCTCATCCTTAACCGCACCTACGTCATGATTCTTGATGTTCTCCGCCTGGAAGAGGAGAACAAGCGAATGAAGGGGGACCCAGCCGCCAAGGGCAAGGACGCCGCTGCTCTCGGCAATGCGGGCGATGCAGGTGAGATCGGAAGGCTGAAGAAGGAACTGGCCGCTCGCGAGCGTGATCTGGAGGCTTTGAAGAACCAAACAGCTAGCCAGCAGCGGGAGTACAACCGCATGGGTGACCAGATCTCCCCTGCCGACAGCATGCCAAAGAAGGACCGGTAAGCGTCCATGGGGGAGGCACAAGACTGTACCAAGCATTCCAGGAATGCGAAAGCCGTCCGTCAAGTGGCTCGTATTCAGAATTGGACGACATAAACTCAGCACAACGACTGTTGGAGGGAGTATTGGCCAAAAGTTCATGGCGGCGTCGCTGGAAGATCGTAAAGGCAGGGACGTGGGCTGTTCCTAGACTGGATGGCGTGAGGATGAGGGATTTCCGCTTTGCATGAAACACTTCCATGTAGCAATAAAATAGCATGACCTACAGAAGTGTACGGCCTTATCAGACTTTCATGTGGTTATCATGATGCTAGTGAAGTAGACCACGCTGCCCTCAGAACTTCTTCCGGACTGTGGAACCATCAAAAATGGCCGAGTCCTCCACCCCAAGGTTCTACAATTACCCGACAGCAAAGGCGACAGAGGTGCCCTACAAGGAGCCTCCGCCAGCGTCTAATCCAGTTGTTCGAGGCCTAGCACTGCATTACGGTGCATCAGTGTAACAAAGTCCTCATTTCAGCTCCCGACGCGGCTAACTTCCTCCAGTATCTCATCGGTAGGCGCTATACAGAGCTTCCTCTACAATAATGCCGGCTTCAGCAAACTACGCAAGCTCACCGAGCTCGAAGATGTCGCCTGTCGCTACGATCCCGCCGTCGTTCCTATCGCCGAACCTTCGTCGACTCAACAATACACGCAGACCGGCTCCCTTCGAGCACCCGCCCAGGACGTATCTGGACGCTTCCACTCGGTCCAGGACTTTCACGATGCGTATAACTCGGGGCGACTGACGCCGGGTGATGTAGTCGAGGCATTGCTGCCTCTGATACGGAGGGATGTGGAGAAGCCGTCGGAGCACTCCATAGCTTTCCTGGACACAAAAGTGGAGCTTGTCAGACAAGCAGCGGAGGCCTCGACGCGGCGGTACAAGGAGGGTGCATCGCTGGGTTGCCTGGACGGCGTTCCCGTTGCCGTCAAAGATGAGGTGGATCTGAACGGCTACAAGAAGTGCTTGGGGTCCAGGAAAGACTTCACGAACAAGCTGGATGAGACGAGCTGGTGCGTGACGAAGTGGGAAGAGCAGGGAGCGATCGTGCTGGGTAAGCTGAACATGCACGAGCTGGGTTTGGGTAAGTTTTTCTGAAGCCATTGGAAATCGGTCACTGATGGGTCGGCAGACACGACGAACAACAATCCCAACTACGGCACCCCTCGGAATCCATTCAACGAGCACTACTACACTGGAGGCTCGTCCGGTGGCAGCGGGTATGCTGTCGGTGCCGGCCTGATACCCTTTGCCCTCGGTGCAGATGGAGGAGGCAGCATCCGCATACCGTCGAACTACTGCGGTATATTCGGTCTCAAGACCTCTCACGGCCGCATATCAGGAAGGCCAACACCAAGCCTGGCAGGCACAACAGGCGTACTAGGTCCAATGGCTGCCAACATGGTCGACCTAGAGATGGCATACCGCGTAATGGCAACCCCGGACCCTGATGATCCAACGTCAGCCCTATTCGCACCCCCACGTCCTCACAACGGTGACCGCACGAAGCTGCTCGGCGTCTACAAACCATGGTTCGACCGCGCCGACCCACCTGTCCGTGACGCCTGCGAGAAAGCACTCGACTACCTCATCACCAAGCTCGGCTACTCGATCATCGACATCACGATCCCCCTGGTCCACGAAGGCCAGATCGCCCACGCCCTGACAATCCTCTCCGAGATCGCCTCCTCGTTCCCTGACGTCACGGGCCTGACGGCACCGAACAAGGTACTTATCAGCGTCGGCTCAAAGTGCCCGAGCATCGACTTCCTGCAGGCGCAGAAGCTGCGGAATTTGCTTATGGAGCATCTTGCGTATTTGTTTAAGATGCATCCGGGGCTGGTGATTGTGACGCCGACGACTCCGGGTGCGGGATGGCATATCCAGGGCGGGCAGGGGGATTTGAAGTATGGTGTCAGCGATGCGAACATGTCGGTTAGGTCGATGGAGTATGTGTGGATGGCGAACTTTTGCGGCGTCCCGGCTCTCACGTGTCCGGTTGGATATGTTGATCCGGTGGAGGGCGAGGGCAAGATACCTGTCGGTCTCATGGGCATGGGCGAATGGGGGAGTGAAGATGCTTTGATTGAGTGGGGATATGATGGAGAAGCTTGGTTGAACGAGGGACTCCCTGGTGGGAGGAAGAGGCCTGCGAGTTGGGTTGATGTCCTGGATGTTGCAAGAGGTAGGGAGTGAACAGTGGCATTTTAGGCTGACTCGAGGGTTTGGGTAGGTCCAGAGTTGAAATCGGACCCCGGAAAAATGCTGCACGATGAACAAATCAACATAGCTTTCGGGTCTTGTGTGTAGTTTGTAAACCTGATGTGAGCTTGCTAACAACGAGCCCTTCATACTGAGCGTACTGTTCGTAGACATCGATCCCCCTTTCGTCTTCAATCTTAAGTCATTGCCCAGGGCTTTTCACCGGCCCCGTCCGTTTCGAATTGGTAGAGGTACAGCATGGATTGATCATGGGTGGCATCAAGAAAGTTTTATATCAAAAACGCTTGATTACGCTGTGTCAAACTCCTTGCAGGATCCAGCTCTTAGCCTTAAACCCTCACTCAGGTCAACGCGGCAACGCCGTCACAGGCCGTCTCGGGATGCACCTCCCGGGATGCCAGATATTAAAGAGAAACACGGCAACAACCACAGGCGCAAACTCCAAACACCCAAAGAACACCTCGTGAGTCGACAAATACCCCATGACCCCCTCCGCCGTCTCCGCCAACCTAAAGCACGTCCTCAGATAGATCGCCAAAGTCGCAACAACCAACGCGATGATAAAACTCCGCTTCACAGTCATCATCGTCACCTTCCTGCTCCGCCACAAAAACAGAGCAAGCAGAATGATAAACACAAGGAACGCGAAGACCTGGAATGCCAGCCCCGCGAGCAGGATGTTATTCGCGGTCGTCGGGTCTCTGCGATTGCTTTCCGCGACACCGATGAGCGCTGCGCCCGCAACCTGCACGATTGTCGCCACAACGTCGCTCGTGATGAAGATGGCCAGGATGAGTCGAGGCCCCATTGGGGCGTACTCGCGGCCCACGACGCTGATGAGCACGCTGATGATGGTGTAGATAGCCGCGGAGAAAAAGACGGGCGCAACGACGATGAAGAAGTACTGCACAACGAAGTATATCACGTTGTACGGGCTGATCTCTGTGTAGTCTGTTAGCAACTCTGATCACATGATTGCGAAAGGAGGTGAGAAAGCGTACTGTTGGATAGGATTCGGAACGCGTAGCCTACTATCTCCATGGCGCACCCGACGATTACGGGCGTGAAGTACCAGCATGGTCGGTGCCGGAAGAAGAGCTGGTAGCTGTGCCATGCGGTTGAGATGGCGAAAAGGACGACGCCTAGGATGCCGACTGCGAAGGAGGGAGTATAGCCGTAGATGATGATGCGAGCGTCATTGGGACCCATGGGGTTAGGGAAGTTGGGATCGATGTAGTAGCCATCCAGAGAGCGATCTCCTTCCATGTTTGGCGAAGTTGAGGCCTGATACTGGTTGGGCCTTGATAGTCTCCGATGGAACGGGGATAGAAGGAATTATTGAGGAATTAAGAAGATAGCAACCAGAAGGAATTAATTAGAAGCAATGATGAGAAGTAGACGGTGAAGAGGGTATCGATTATTCTCGTATCTCTATGCTGCTTCCAATTGACAGCTCTTAAACAACTCAAACGCTTGGCTTAATTCTGACCACGAGGTTATGTTAAGCTTTCTCAGGTACGGCGAGCAGTGCGCCTTTTGACAGCTGCAGGATCCTGCGCCGTTTTATTCTTCAGCGCCTACTGTGACGCTCGTATTACTGGCGATCTGTGTCCGACATCGAGCCATGCGAAATTGCACGAGGCTGTCGATGGCCACTATTGTCCAAGGTGTTAGCGAAAGGAGCGTCATAGACTCTGTCGCGTACGAGTCTTGGCAACGTCTCGGCCGTAAGCGCAATTACCGATGTTTATTAGTATTTTGTAGACTTCAGCTGCCAGAATATGGAAGATAAACTTCATATCGAAGGTGAACTCGACACAGTTGTTGTTGCAACCACGGATGTGAGCCTCGAGACAAGTCGCTTGCAAGATTTGGTCGCACCGCGCGGAGAGACTAACATCTCGGCTCGTCACTCCTGATGCCATCTCCACAACCACTTAGTCGTGGCGAGATGGTTGTTACAGCTGTGGCGAAGGAGATACCAGATCTTTGTCGGCATCAGAGATCTAATCCAGCGGCTGGAGCAGCAGTTCAAAAGTCAATAATTCCAACTCGAGCCATACCGTACTGCCTCGCAACCGGCATCGCACGTGTAGATGTGGCTCGCCGGAACAGCAAAAACTGCCAGTCCCCATGAGCGTTAAATTAAGAATCAATCATCAAGTTTACCACCGCCAGCATCACAGAATCTCTGTTGTTGTCCCTGCCTGCAGTAATCTCACGGCGCTCCTACCGTCTCTATACATTGAAGTCTTACAGTTGATCTACTTTCAGCATCTCCTGAAGCCTTAAATCGCTGGCAAGCCAGATGTCGCAATTTATGAGACCTTGCCGTTTCTAGCGGTTTCCGGCGCTCTGGTGGGTCTTCGTGATGCAAAAGATGGCTGTTGAAACGCGCAGGGCGTCATGCCTTCCATCGTCCGCATTCCTCACCCTTTCATGCCCAAGAGCCATTGAGCTTCACGCGTACTCACACTTAGCCACCCATTTCTCTCCACATACTCTTTGATGGTGATCGCTCTGATTTTTCGGGCGGGTTTGCCTGGAACTTTCATGCCTTGCTCCCGCCGCTGTTCCATTCTTTTCCAATCTCCTCTGTCCCGCTGTCAATATTATAAGTAGACTTTGTAGAGCATTGTATGGTCTCAGCACGTCACCATCGCACTATGTTCCTCCATAACAGATACTCAGCCTCTCTTCTTCTGTCATTGCTAGTACTTAGCCAATGTCATACTGTTGCGGGCTTAGTACACGGACATAGGCATAACCATATCCATATCAAGCGGCATGCTCATGGCCCACATATCCATCAAACTGACGAAGCTCCCCAAAGGAGGGAAGTGCCTGTGGAGAAAAGGTCAGAAGAAGGCCTGCACATGCTGCAGGGAGGTTCCGAGAGACCTCCGCACAGTTCGCTGAGATTCTTGAACGATCTTCGACAGCTGCCTGACGATATCGAGGACAACTTCCGAGAGGTGAAGGATATCCTTGGGGAGCTCCTCCAGATCAACCAGGAATTGAAAGAAAAAATACAATCTTTGCAACAGTCACAGTGCTCGACGTCAGCACCCAGTCCTCTGCCAACAGTAGCCAGTATAAGCACTCGCCACACAACGACCTATACAACCCGCATTTCGAGGACTGTAACCATTATCGCGACCACTACCACCCCAGCAACGTCATCATCGACTAGCCCTCCATACTACATTCCTCTCAATTCAAGTACGTTGACTTAGCCAACAAGCACGTCGGTCTCGGCCTTCAACGCGCGGGCGAGCAACAACATCGCCGTCTACTACACACAGAGCTCTGCGAGCAATAGCCAGACGGACCTCAGACTGCTCTGCGCAAAACCCGCCGTCGATATCATAACCCTGCCGCTCATCGCAACGCTCAACGGCCCCAACGGCTTCCCGACATTCGCCAACACGACAGATTGCCTTGGTCCGTCAGCTTCGCAACTTGCTGACGCACCCAACCTACGCGATTGCTCGAACCTGGCCGAAACCATCACGTACTGCCAATCTCTCGGCAAGAAAATCATCATCGGAATCCTAGGCACTACTATCGAGCCATACTCCCCTGCCACCAATAGCTCTACAATCACCGCTCGCACCGCCTTCAACAGCTTCGACCAGAGACCCCACTCAGCCGTCATGCTCCTATCTCTCTTCGGCCCACCGTCCACCTCTTCCAGGCAACTCACACACCTCCGCCCCTTCGGCCCCAACATCTCGGTCGATGGCTTCGATCTCGGGTTCGACCTCGACATGACCGTCCACGGCAGCAGAACTTCCGCCGACTTCGTCGCCACCCTGCGCGACCACACCGCCCAATCCGGCCAGGCCTTGTACGTCTCCGCCACCCGGCCCTGCCGGCGCCCAGCCAGCCCGCAGACCCTCGCAACCCTAGCCCTCGTCGATTTCGTCACCGTCATGTTCGCCCATGACCCCGCCTGCAGCATCGCCGGCCCGGGCTTCAACATCTGGGACTGGAGCAACGACCTTCGCCTCGCGGCGGCTGATGGTGCCGCCAACGGCTCGTCACAGGGCAACGGCACAGCGCCGCTGCGACCGAAGCTCTTCGCCGCCGCGCTGGCGTGGCCGTCGCCGGCTGCTACGGCGAACCGCACCCGAGAGGGCGATCCGGAGTATTTAGGTCAGAGCATCGGGCAGATATGGGAGAGTGGGCGGTTAGGGAATCTGGGTGGCGTTGCGCTGGTGGAGGGTGGGAGGGGTGTTGCGGGGGGAACGTGGGGGGAGGTTGGGGCGAGGAGTATTGAGGCTGTTGATGCTGCTATTGAGGAGGACTATAGGGAAAGGGGAAAGGATGGGAAGGTAATGGATTTATGAGATATATGGCTGTAATGAGTATGTGCCTCCGAGAGTTTGACGATTAGGCTTTATGAAGTCGCGCTCGGCGTCCTTGTTTTAAACCTAGCTCAAACTATTGGAATGAACTTCCAGATTCACCATGGTTTTCTGAACGTGCAAAATCTAGCAGGGCTATTGATTTTCGTTGGGAAACGGATAATTGTGGAGTGGTGACGGGAGATGTGCCTGCAGCTACTGCTCACGGGAGCGCTACGGCAGGGCAGAAGCACGTATGAGTTTGCTTCTGAGAGATTCGGCAGTTACTGAGCGAGAAAGGTAGGATCACTCAGTAGGGACAAACCAGCACGACCCTGGATAGGATATTGTCCCTTTGCAGGAACTCCTGTTCCATTTTTGTTGGTTTGATCTCTAAGACGTAACTACATCATGACGGGCATATGCCACCGCTAGTACGCCATAGTCCGCCACTGAGTCCGCCAGGATACAACAAGGAAACGCCAGACCCATCCTGATGCAAGCCGGGAGTCAGCCAGAAGCCCCCTCAAAAGTTGGTGGTAGGAACAGCAGTGAGAGAAAGCCCTGTCAGCTGCTCCTACCGCCGAAGTGGACTGTTCTCATGGAATGTAGCGTTTGCGTCCTTCCTGGAACCAACTCAAGGGTTCCGCAACGTCGGGCATAGAAAGAAATGTGGATGCGTCTCCGGTGAAAGTTATGGAGTCGTCTGTCCTTAGCCAAGGATATGCCGGGTCAATCTTGATATGAGATCTAGTGGTACACAGAAAGTAGTGGTGGATGTAGGCGACTGGCCGGTTCACGGAATTCTAGAACTCGAAGTCACCTGTCTGAATCAGGGGAGTATGCTGCAGCGCTCTACCACTCGAAGTCACCTGATGCCTTGTGGAACAAATAGCTGCAACATGTATTAGTGTACATCATGTCAAGGGATCATTTCGGGAGGGCTCACTCCTTGTTGTTGGCATGAAGGATACCGTCCTTAAGCGTGCACTTCCATTTGTTCTTGACGCGGTTGACCTTGTCGTACGTGCAGACCATATGGTCGCCCAGTGCAGCGAAAGTGTCATCGTCATTTTCCTCCACGATCGGGTCCTCGTCGGAGTCGTCTAGATCGGAGTTGATGGCATCTTCATCCAGTTCCTCTTTGACTTCCGAGTCCAACTCTCCATCGAGCTGCGGGATGCTTGGCGATTCCGACACGGTTTGAAGGTTGCTGCGAGCCTGGGTAGTTCGGCGCTTCTTACCCTTGCCTTTCGAAGGCTGATCGAGTGGAACGAACAAGCCGCTGTCCTGCTGCTCAGCCAGTTGCTCGAGCTTCTGACGCATAATGCCGTCGGCAGTGAGTCTGCCGTCGTTGCCGTGCGTGCGGCGGTCCGCTAGCACAGCATCCCACGACTCCAAAGCGTCGTCGGCGCCATCGTACTGAGAAGCGGCAGGATAGGCCTGTTGCGGGCGCTGGTAGTTCTGCTGAGTCTGTTGCGTTTGCGGAGTCTGCTGGGGTTGTTGCGGTTGTTGAGGACGGTGTTGGCCTTGACTGGGAAGCTGCAAGCCCATCGGCCTCTGCTGCTGGCCGGGCAGGGAAAGCCCGTTTGGCTGCGGGTTGAGCGGGTTGACAGAAGGGACTGAGCCCTTTGCCTGGTCGGCATATTGGTTCGCGATGTATGCTTGTGCCCGCTGGTGCGCCAGCTTCTGGTTCAGAGCAGAATGAGCGACCGGCTGCACGGGGCTGGCGTACTCCTGCTTGACGCTAGGTTCGACCTTGATATGAGGACTAGCAGAATAGCCATGCGGAGAGTTCATCTGCGGGGTGCCCAGGTTGGCGGGAAGCGGCGAGAGTTCATGCTTTGAAATATTGGACGGCACGGTTGGAGGGTTCGCGACCTGAGGAAGAACAGGAGGCGGATCCCAGGGGAAGTGGCTGACTCTCAGTTCCGACAGCCGTTTCTGCCATCCCTATACGACGTGTCAGTACTTAATGAAGGCTACAGAACAAAATTAAAAGAGATAAAAGGAATGATGAGACCAAAGGTAGATGCAGTAAAGTAGAATCACATGACCCGCTAGTCAAGCGGCAGGAAATTGGTGGGGGTGCTGGGGTACAAAACGAGCAAAAACAGCCAGCGCCCCGAGATCGCTGTCCGCTGCTCGCGGCTCAACCCCGCCTTTACTGGCCCACTGCGGTCCTCACCACCAGGCAGCCATACAGAGAACGAACAAACAACATTGCATTGTTTCTGCTCGACGACGGCGCAACCATAATCGGAACGGACGGAATAAACAGCAGGCGAAAGATACAAATTGCAGATGCCACGGAAGTCCCGTCCGACGAGAGGCAGTAGAGCGGAATGTCACCACATACCGAGCGAAGCTCTTGCAGCGTTTGGCTGTCGACACCGGCCTCTTCGAAGTCATTCTCCGAAGCTGCAATCACAGCTTCGATGACCTGAGCGTAGGTCGGTCCCTGTACGAAGTGCCATGTCAGCCCAGTGCTCCCGTAGAGGAAGTAGAGGCTGAAGCAAGGACTGCTGTCGGGCTCGCGAGGCAACCCACAACTATGTTCTCCGACATTGTGAATGCGCTGCCGTGGCGTCTTTGACGACCTTGGGCGACGGCGGAGACGAGGTTGCGAGGGTGGAGCTGTTGACTTGATGCGCGTTGAAGGCGCCCTGTCGTTTAACTTGTCGGATGAATAGCGAGCGATCTCAGCGCCGTCGACCTCCCACGCTCAAACCCCTTCCTATGCAAGAATCTCTATCCCGCTCATGCGACGCTTCCTCGGGCAGCAAGGCTTTCGCGCCGTTGATTGGCGTGCGTGATGCTGTTGCGGGGTTCCTTGGGTGCAGGTGGTTGTAGGTGGTTGTAGGTGGTTAGGTCGCGCTTCACAGATGGAACTGAAGGCCAGCTCTCGCTTAGCGGCAACAACTCTAGCGGAGCCGCATTTGGCAGTACCCTGAGACCTTGATGACCTCCACGTCGTTCTCAACACGCAGCTATGTAAAAACCTCACTCATTTGCTCGCATATGCATGTCGATAGCTTCATCAGTACATGCCGTTTTTGTTTCACACGGCGCACTTTTCCATCAGCAGCGTCAGGCTAAGCTGTAAAGAAAAAAATGCTCATCGAAGGTTCTAACTTTTTCTGATATTGCATGGCACAGCTTGCGTGTTCTGTGTCCCCAGTCTGTACTCATGCTCCATGTGTTTGTCACGGTCCCGCCTCCTGCTCCCTTTCCTCATCCTCAGCATCCTCGTCAACAAGCGGCACGAACCTGAAATCCACAAAACTGACCTTTCCCCCGTCAACCTCGATCATGAACTGCAAACTCAAAACGCCCTGCTCATCAGCCCTGATGCTCACCTTCGTCGCAACAGCCATCGCCCGGCTCGCCGCCCTGATCGATGCAAACTTATAACTATTCCTCAGCTTCCGCCCGGGCTTGTGGTACGTCGGAGCCAGCGTGAACGTCTCCAACAGTGACGAGAAGCCCGCCGACGACGCCGTCACCGTCGACGGCAAATCGCTCCTAAAGTCCATGACCGCACTGCCCAGACTGCCAGTCGCGCCCAAGGCGAACCCGACGGGATCCGCGCTCGCGGTCAACGTCAGCCGTTCAGGGCTTGTGCTCGCGAGCTCGGTGACGGCGTCGTGAAGCCAGCTGGCCCGCATGATAATCTTCAGCGCTAGCTGGTCGCGCGCAAATGGTATGTCGCCTGCCGCGGCGGCAGGCTCGTAGGTTGTCAGTTCGCAGGTCGTAGTTACGCCTGCTTCTTCGAGGATGACGCAGAGTGGGGCGCCGGGCTGGGCGTAGGAGAGCCGGCATGTGCTTGTTAGGCCTAAGACGCGGTTGTCGAAGGCCGTGGGCCCGGTGGTGAAGGATGACGGGTATCCTGGCCGGCCGCCCGGCGGGTCGGCGATGTTGAAGATTTGTAGAGTCTCTAGCAGCGCGACGAGGGAGATCTGGAATACGGGGGGGTCGTCGGATGTGGAAGCGTCTGAGACGGCGTCGTTAGTTGCTGCGGTCGAGGAGTGCGGCGCAAAGTTGTAGGACGTGAAGAGGGATTTGTCGAGGAAGGCGAGGCCTTCCATAATGCTGTGTTCCTCTACGGAGAAGCGTAGCCCCTCTTCGCTGATGCTGACTTGGGCTTTGGGCGCGAAGGCGATGCAGCGTAGTAGCTGGTAGAGCTGGCGCGCCGAACTCGATACTGCGCCGAAAAGAGGAGGGTCATCATCGCGGTCGGCGGAGGGTGTTGTAGCCATGGCGGTAAGATTTGATTACGAGGGTCGCGGTCAATGCCCCTCTTTTTATCACAACACTCGCGAGTTCACCGTGAGGGCCGCTATTGAGAGCAGTCGAACGCTTTTATTGCATCCAGAGGTATTATACACGGTAATTGATGATCGAGCCGAGCCGTATGCGACCCAGGGAAAGGAGACTAGACGTAAACGCCGACAGCGCAAATCATGTAGACGGCGCCAAAGCTGCTTTGACATCAGCACTGCGTAGGGTGAGGCTTCCGGGCGCAGACCTACCCGAAGGCCAGAGATGCAGGAACACCGAGTACAGGCAGGTTTGTCAATGACCGGTCTTCATGAACTGTTAGCTGTCGCCTAGGATAGCAGTCAACGACCAGGAGAAATCATACTCAATCCGAAGAGGCCTGATAAAACCAAGGCTATGAGTAGCAGGGTGAATCCGACGGTGAACTGAGCGTTCTTGCCTACTATCGGCTGGTACGGGTTGGCAGAGGCGGCCTCCCAGACGTCGTGGAGCGGTGTTGAAGACATGAAGTTGATAATGAGCGTGATGAAGTTCCCCGTTCTCGTGCCAGTTGATGTCGTCTCAAGACACAGCTGTCCTCGGGGAAATTCGTGATTGGATGACTAAGACGCTCGTTTACCTAGGTAGACCGTAGACCGGAGAGGCATTCCGCGGCTGTCAATTCAGAACGCGAGCGGCTTCGTTCAGTTCAGATGGGCAATCCGCAGCTGGAGATTCTGTATGCGGAGACTTTGGTCGGTTTGAACTGACGCTCCGCAGCGGTCAATGTAGGACGGGCAGGGCTTTATACACTTCAGACATGCAATCGGTAGCAATGGATTTTAGACATGAGAGACTTTGGTCAGCTCAGATAAGCACTTCCGCAGCTGTCAGATTCAGGAGGTGAAGGGCTCTGGACTTTAGGCATGTGCTTGCGATCCGCAGCAGCTGATCCTACGTGCGGAAGACTCCATTCACCTCACACAGGTATTCCGCAGCGGTCAACCCAGGATGCTGGAGACCTCATTCACTTCGGGCCAGCATATCGCAGGACCAGGTTCACGTCATGTGACTTTGTGGAAGTAGCTTAGGATGATCACTACCGGTAGCGCCCACGGACCCTGCGTCATCCATCTCCCGTTCGTTGCTCGGTAACAGGGATGCCAAGCTCTAAACAATAACACCTTCTACTTAACACTTTCTCCTTCCTTCCTTCCTTCCATCCACCTCATCCTCACACATCTTTCGTTTGCTTTCCTACGCGCAGCATTCTACACAACAACTCAACACCAGAGTAGATCTCAGCGCTAGAGGCATCATAGCAAGCACCCTTCATCGACTTCATCAGCAAAATGGCAACTTTAGCTATCTCGACCCCCGAAAAGCAATATGGCAGCAAAGCATTCTCAACCAAGCTGGCGGGCGGGCGGCTGCCGCTTCTTAGCAGCCCGAAACTCCCGTCGCCTCGGACGGAGACTATCCACGTACCGTCACCACCTCCCTCAACCCCCAGACCGCGGCGAAGCATCGTCACCGCCTCCCCCCGCCCGGCCTGGGAAGGCCTTCCCCAGTCTGAACGGACGCTGCTTCCTACCTCCGCCATCAGACGGAAGCCACGTACGAGGAAAGAGTACGGCAAGACGGACCGCTTCATCCCAAACCGGAGGGTAGATGAGGCTCCGATTCGTACTGTCCGCACGCCGAGGGCCACAAGCTCGAAGCAGCCACCATCAGTGCTGGCAGGCGCAGCGTACGGGTTGTCACTGGAAGGGCTCAGCTTGAATGACGATGATGATGACAACACGTCATCACACGACATACCACACTCCAAGCAGTCGCCGGACTCCATAGCCTATCAATCCTCACTCTCTTCCGCCTGCGACATGGCACCAACCACGCGCATCCTCTCCTTTCAGCCGAAGGCGCCTGAATCGTCGCGGCCAATCGACCTCCGAGCGGTGTACAACCGCCCTCTCATTCCACGTGCTCGGGGGGCTCAGCACCGTCGTCGCATCGCAACAGCCCCCGAACGCGTACTCGACGCACCAGGTCTCGTTGACGACTACTACCTCAACGTTCTCGATTGGTCGCGTGGCAACCAGATCGCAATCGCGCTTGAGCGGCAGGTATACATTTGGTCAGCGGAGACCGGGACGGTAGAAAACCTCTTCGAAACCAGCGCGGAGACATACGTTTCATCAGTCAAGTGGAGCAATGACGGCGCCCATCTGGGCGTCGGCCTCGGCACAGGAGAAGTTCAGATTTGGGACGTGGAGGATCAGACCAAGATCCGCAGCATGAACGGGCACGAGGAGCGCGTCGGGGTCATGGGCTGGAACAAGCACCTTCTCTCCACCGGTGACCGCAAGGGCCAGGTGTTCAATCACGATGTTCGAATCCGACAGCACAAGATCGCTGACTTGGTTTCGCACACACTGGAGGTCTGCGGGTTGGAGTGGAGGGCTGATGGAGCACGACTGGCTACCGGTGGGAACGACAATCTGGTCAGCATATGGGACGCGCGGAAGCTCGATGCGCCACAACACAGGAAGACGAACCACAACGCCGCCGTGAAGGCACTGGCCTGGTGCCCGTGGCGCAACAATCTCCTGGCGACCGGAGGTGGCAGTGCTGACGGCAAAATTCACTTTTGGAACTCGACAGAGGGCACCAGAGTTGACACCGTCGACACCAAGAGCCCAGTTACCGGCCTCCACTGGAGCCAGCACCACAAGGAGATCATGAGCACGGGCGGCTTTCCGAACAACAGTCTCACCGTCTGGACTTACCCCGAGCTCGTCAAGTCTTTCGAAGTCGGTGCCCACGAGGCGCGCATTCTCCACAGCTCGATGAGCCCTGATGGAACGGTCCTGGCAACGGCGGGGCCGGACGAGTCGATGAAGTTCTGGCGGGTCGGGGAGGGCACCAAGGGCGGGGAGCGGGGAGCAGGGCTGGTGAAGAAGGAGGGAGGTGAAGGGGATAGGTCGGGTATGGCGGGCCAGCTTGTAATTCGCTGAGGAGATGGTCTACTGTGTAGAGACAGCCATGTTCTATGCGGATAAGAGTTGCTTTTGAAGCATTCACTTAACTTACTTGCTTGCACTTATGTTCATTGAGAGCCGAAAAGCAGAGAACCTCAATTTCTTTAAGTGCAAGAGTAACCCGAAAAGCTCGTTGCCGCACCTATGCCCAACTTATTCAACACCACATTCACAATGGAAACGGCCACCTGATCTCGTCAAGAATGGAGTAGTTAGACAATCCCACCCACGGTGTTCTTCCTGATCGTGTCATTTGTAGAGCAGCCAGAGAATCCCATCCGAAAAGTTCGTTGCCGCATCTGTGCTCCAGCTTGTTCGACACCAGAGTCACGATTGAATTGAACTCATGACCCTGTCAGTCATAGAGCAGCAAGACAATTCCATCAACAGGAAGATGTTCGGCAATTCAGCTTTCTGATGCACCAATCACCCAAGGTGGCATTGATCTACAAGCTGTATGCCCTAACTATCCACCTCCAGGGGCACTTCTAGCTCTCCATGCGGCACCGTCCCGTTCGCATGGCCCTCAACCCCAGCCCTCGCCCTCTTAGCCGCCGCGATAACCTCCGCATCCCCCTCAATAGCATTCCGCACATGCCTCTCCCTAAGCTTCGCCTGCAACTCCACCAACGCCTCTCCATCTCCCATGAACGGCCTCAACTCCTCCTCCAACAACTCCCCCAGTTTCATATGCGCCCCCATGACCAATACCTCTTGCCTCGCCACCAACATCTGCAACCTCTCCGCCTCGCTCATCTGCGTCTTCGTCACCGGCCTCAGCAGCGGCGCAACCTGCTGCGACGCCACAAACACCGCGACCAGCACCTTCCTTGCCACGACAATCGCCTGGAAGGGGAGATACGCCGGGTGGCCCAGCACGCCGAACAGCGGGTTCAGCACCCGCGCGACCACGAACGGCAGCTCCGGCGCGCTGAGCACGCGGGCCTCGAACGCGGCCATGGAGGCGAAGGCGAGCCAGCGCCAGTACCGGCCCCATGCCATGTAGCCGAGCAGGTTGGCCAGGAGCATAAACGCGCCGGTGCTGAGGTAGAAGGGCAGGCACAGGTGCAGGAAGCCGAAGGAGACGAAGTCGTGCACCGTGATGCAGTTGCTCCACCCGGGCATCAGGACGTCCGGCCCGAAGCGGTCGTACGCGAAGCGTCTAGCGGGGGAGACAAGGGTGTCGCGTGCGAGCTGCAGGCGCACGAAGTGCGCATTTGCGGCGGCGGAGGCGGCGGGGGTGAGGGTTGGGGGGAGCTTGTCCGGGTGGAACTGTGCGGCGAGGCGGCGGAAGCGGGACTGGATGGTGCGCTCGTCTGCGTCGAGGGGGATGGAGAGGAGGCGGTAGAAATTCCCGGTGCGCTGGAGCTGCCAGTCCGCTTCGTAGATGGTGTAGAGGAGGTAGAGGACTACGACGGTGATGTGGATCGTGCGGCGGTGGGAGAGGTATTGGGGGCTCCCGGGGGCGGGCTTGCGGCTGCCGGCGCGGATGGTGAGGGAGTAGTAAATGTGCTGGAGCCAGTTGACTGCCTGAAACTCGGATATCAGTACAAAAGAGCTCGGAAGACGCGCATCGAAGAGCTCACACGGCCCAGGAAGAACCAGCCCGCGAAGGAGATCAACTGATCCGTTCCAAGGGAAAGATGCCCAGAGTAAGCCATGGTGAAAGGAGTGTTATCCTGGTATCATCTTGGAAAGAGAGAATGAAAGCCGAGAATCTATTCTATCCTATTAAATCATTACATTCGCCAGCGCCTGGAGGCCCGCGGTTCATCATCCCTTGGTCCCAGGATTCACACGCGCCAGATGGCCGTAGATATGCCGATAGGGCTGAATCTTTTTTCATCCCTACCACACAACGGCTATCACCACTTTCTCCCCCGCCAATTGCACCATGTCGGCCGCTCCAGAAACGCCCAAAAAGTTGAGAGACAAAAGCCAGCGCAAACCAAAAGACCCCTCTACCAAAGCGCTCAAAAACTCCTCAAAAAAGCGGCCCCGCGACGACGCCGAGTCCTCATCCCAACTCCTCCGCACCGAAGCCTCACCCTCGAAGCGGCAGCGCACCGCGCCACCCACCGGCGAGCCTTCCACCCAGCACCAACCCAACGCGAGCGCCACAGCACAACCACTACAATCGCCTCGACCAGAAGACTCCCCCTTCGTCCACCAGACAATCTCCCTCTACCTCCCCCTCTCCCCCATAACCTACGCGTCTCCGATCCCGGGGCTGTGCGCCGAACACCTGTCCCCGCTGCTCCTGACATACTACCCGCCTCTCCACGGCGTGGTCCTCTCGTACGCCAACGTGCGGCTGTCGGCCGAGCGGCCGTCCATCTCGCGCACCCCAGATCCCGCCGACATAGAGGAACCCGTTCTCGCCCTCAGCATAGACGAATACGCCGCCTCTTTCGTCTGGGCGACGGCCGACTTCGTGGTCCTGCGGCCTCGGCGCGGGGTGTGGTTGGAGGGGTACGTCAATCTGCTCAACGAGAGCTATTTGGGACTGGTCGTGTATAACCTCTTCTCGGCGAGCGTGCACCGGAATCGGCTGCCGAGGGATTGGCGGTGGGTTGAGGAGACTAGTGCGGGGGATAGGCAGGCGCTGGCGGGGGCTGAAGAGGGACATGTCCAGGGAGAGGAGGAGGTCGGGAGGGATACAGATGGCGACGTCAGGATGCGGAAGTGGCAGGGGAGGGGAAGGCAGGCCGAGGGCTATTACGTTGATGGGGAGGGGGAGAAGGTGGACGGGCTGATTCGGTTCCGGATCAAGGATTTTGAGAGCGGGGCCGGAGAAGGAGAGAAGGGGTTTCTGAGCATCGAGGGTACGATGCTAAGTGAAGATGAGGAGGAAGAGGCGGATGAGCAGGAGAGGGCGCAGGGAGGTGGCGCGCAAAGGGGTGCTAGGGGCAGGTCGAGACCGCAGACGTCGAGCACGAGAGGGAGGGGAGGGGTCAATGGGGTTAATTGGGGTGACAGGAGGAATGGGGCGGAGAGGAGTAGAGGTGCAAGGTCATGACTCGGCCAATCATGATACGTTCGACAAAGTCATAGCAGGCGGCGCAGCGAAACCCTACAGCCATGCTACCAAGCCCGAGACTAGTTCACCTTGCAGGATGGTCGTCTTGGACGGGAAGCCTCACTCGATTTCAATCCGTGCGGCTTGCGACACGGATGCTGGGGGAACGAACCATGTGAGGGGTATCAGCAACGATGTGAGACGTGAATGAGAGATCTGGATGGGGATCTAGAGGAAGCGATTGTATCTAGGTAGATCTTAAGACTCATGATGGATTCGTGACGTGATATGTTCAAGGCTCAAACAACAATGCACAACATGGTAGGTCTTGACAGGCGCTGAAAAGCTGCCTGGTTTTCTCTTTAAGCAGAATATCCACCTGGCAATGCCTAGTCCAACGCCTTCAAATACCAAGAAGTTCCGAGCGCCAGCGCCCTCGTTCTCCAGACTGTCCACAACGCCCGCTCAACTGATCATCCCAGAATACAAATCTCAAACAAGAAAGCAGATCCACCACTCACTCCTCCCATCCCCAACCCTCACCCACTTACTCCACTTCTCTTGCCCTTCAACACCCCATCTAACACCTGTCCCCACCTCAACCCCGCTTTCCAGCCTGTCCGCCAGCTCACCCAGCTCCTCTGGTGCCGTGCGCCCAAAATTCGCGCGAAGGTCTGTGTGAGAAGACGAAAGACTGGGTGAGACATATCTGATGACGTAGCCGCTGAGTACTGGTGTGTTGAACTCAGAAGAAGAGGAGGAAGAGGAAGGGGCGAAGACTAGAAAGTCTTGATGGTCGGACTGGATCTCGTGGCATAGACGGAGGAAGGCCAGCTCATCTGAAGCGACGTCGGTGGACTTTGTGAATGCGGCGGTGTCTGGTATGGCGGGAGGGTCGCCTCCAACGAAGTTGTGGGTGAGCTCGGTCGGGGAGAAACAAACGTCTGCTATAGGCGACGCGGCCGCTGCTTCGATCTCCGCATCGGAGAGGTCGAGCCATGTGAAGTCCGTCGCGACCGCTTTGAGCTCTGCCCCGCTGATTCCAAACGATGTTGGCAAGGTACACCAGGACAGCCTTTCACCACCACCCATGGATCCCTCGCTTTCTCCCGCCTCGAAATGTCTACCTTCGTCTTCAGCGCCCTCGTCAACCCACCTCTCCACGAGCCCCCAAACAGCCTCCGTAACGTCAACCTGGCTTGCCAGCAACATCTCTCCTCTTTCACTTTCCCTTCCCCTTCTCTTTCCACCAACGCTGACACAACGCATCGCGATCTCAAGCACACACCTCAGCCGTCCATCCCCACCCATGACAACATCTACCCCTACGCCCTGCCCCTCACCAAACGGCAAGTTCAGAAACATACACGCACCGACCTTCAGACCCCGCGGTCCAAGGCGGAAGGCGGCGCTGTGGAACTTGATTGGATCGCCTGGGATGTTGGGGTCGGTGATGCAGAGGGAGGTGAAGAGTTGGGGCATGGGCAGGCGGGGAACCTCAACGTCCGAGAAGCTGTGCGGAAAAGAGACGGATGAGTTGTAGGACTGAGATCGGAGGCCCTGCTGAATGGGATCAGAGAGCACGAATAGGCGCGCGAGATGCTCGATCTGCTGCTCCCTATGCGCAACTGCCAGAGCTGCGCACGTGAGCAAAGGCCTGGGCTGAAGATCTAACGATGTGGAACTCCCACGTGAGGCCGCGCATGCCGCTAGACTGACTGCGTCGCGGCGTGGGTGACACCTGGCGGATGATAAAGTTGGCGATCCTGGTGGCTTCATACGAGAGTCGATGCGCGCTGGTTGAGTCCGTGTATGCGGGTTTGTCGGCGAGATCTGCGGTGTGCTTGATGTTGAATCAGAGGAGCGTTTTGAGGGCGACAGGGAAGAGATCCAGTCAACATCGCGGAAGTGGCCGGGTGGAGAGGCGTCGCTGCTTGCTGTGGGGGAGGTGTCGGACGAGGACGATGAATACAAGGATGGAAGTGAAGTCATTGAGCTTATTGAGCAGAGACTGATAGCAGATGCTACTCTGTAAACCTGTTTGGCAGGCATAGTGGTAGTAGAGAGATTGGATAACGCTTCGCACTTAATCTTGGCTGAAACGATTGATGGTTGGAATTGATATCGATTGGAGTCGCTGAGTAGGTTGAAGGCAGGTTGTGGTACAACTCAAGGAGACTTTTGAGCGCTGCAGAAGAGTTGAAGTGATAGGAGCTCTCGAACAATACCTTTGTCTTACCATTTACGAGACATAATCGTCGGCCTGCAACCCTACAAAGACAGCTTGGCCTTTGTCCGCAACACGAGGAGATCGCCCCATTGATGATACGTGTGGAACACTTCCGGTGAACTATGGCCGTGTGTTGTCTCGTCTCCTATCTGCGCCATCAATGTTGGTCTGCTTAATCACCGGATCAGCGACTTCGCTATTGATGCTGAGCATCGGCAGCATCAGCTCGTCCCCACGTTGTTCAAAAACTCAACCACGGCAATCTGGCCTTCTCGCTTGGCCATTGCTTCCGTATGCAGTGCGCCAGGGACATCTTTGCGTCGGACTTGCAGTCCAAGCTCCCGACACAACTTTTCCAACTGATCCGCCTGATCCGGCGGCACAACTTCATCTCGACTCGCCGCAACAAGAAGAATTGGCATATCGCCCGGCTGTTTCCTTTCCGCAATCGTCCGCAGCGCCGCCTCGCTATCCCACCAATTCCGAAGAAAGGGCCACAGGTAACGATAGGGCAGCCACTTCTGCGGGTACAGCGCGACCAGCATGTTGCGTACGCTAACGAATGGCGTTTCGAGAATCAATCCGCGGATATTCAAAGGCTTAGAGGATGACTGAGTTTGTTGGAGGTACCTCGCTGCAGCGTCGGTTGCGACTCCCGCACCGATACTCTGCCCCCAGAGCACCAAAGACATGTCACGTGACAAGCCGCCGTATGTCTCCTGAACCCAAGCTAGGGCTGCGCTTGCATCTTGCTCGATGCCTTTCTGCGAGGCGCGGCCGCGGGATGTCCAGAAGCCGCGGTAGGACAGCGCGACTATGGTGTATTGTGTCCGGGGGTGCTGGCTCGCTGCGTGATGGTTAAGTGCTTTGAGGACATTTGACAGAGAAGGTAGTCTAGGCGGAAGCGATGAAGCGTTCCTGGATTCCTCAGCTCGTTGGCCCAGAAGCACCGTTCAGCTGGAAACGTACCCCTGGAAGTAGACCACGATGACCTCCTTGTTACTCCTATCCGCAGAAATCTCGATGCCGCCCACACAGAGAGCAACCTCGGTTCCATCAAGACTCCGTATGCGTTTTTCTTCCCAGTGAACAGGTTTGCAGATATTGGCGTAATCTGCCATCTTTTCTCGGCGTGAGAACGGAGGCACCGACGGCATGTAAATAATCTTGTTTTGGAAGAGAACCACCATACAGCACTTGTATGTCCACAACGTAACGACCAGGCCGCCGAAGACCACGGGCGGCACGAGGACAGCTGGGATGACATCGCTGAGAATGGTGCGCTTTTGCTGACGGACAGTGGAGACATTGGGTCCGAGACGGACGTTTTGTTTGGAAGCACTGAGATGGTACCGCTGGCGAGATGGAAAGTACTTGAGTAGTCTAACACCTCTTACCCTCATTACCTTGGGAACTGTCAGTTGAGGTTGATTTCTCAAGAGTGCTGAGTACTTTAGCCGTCTTGTGTTTCCTAGGTTCATGTGCTACTTCATGGCAACCTTGGAACAAGGCTTATGCGGAAAAGCCGTGGCCACGCAAAATGTATATCAAAAGTATTACCCCTCAGCAATAATATTATATGGATATCTTTATACCAAAACCATCGCTGTTCTATGCTTTCTACATACTATCATACTCTTGGGTAGATATATAGAGATTTGGGCGTGATGTGTGAATTTGAATGTTGTGTAGCTTAGTATGAGGCGGGGCGTCTTCGGCCATTTTGCGTGGCCATCATTTTCTGCGTGAGCCTTGGAAGGTCAAGCAGATTACGACGCATAGCGGCTGTGCAATGTAGATCCTTTAGCACAACTGGTCGGAATGCTGGAAGGTTGCGACTGGAACGCCTTCGGTGCTGACGTGCATAGCTTCCAAGACTCCAAGCCACACTCCAGCCTGCGCAAGAGATAACATTATGGTCTGCAGGCTGCAATCTTGTCCTAACATCTTCGCGGTTTTGTAAAGTAGAGCAAGTCTTCATTGTCGCGTTGAAGCCGCCTTCTTTCATGGCTGCTGCGTTCATGGCTTCGTCGCCTCGAAGTTCGGTCTCATTATATGCTCTTTCACCTGCCTCCGCGGCTCAACATGATTCTCATTATGGGAGGGTTTCGAGTGATGAAGTCTTGTCACTGCCTCTTTTCCCTTGGGAGGAGCCTTCCGCAAGATCCACCACAGCTGCTGATGATTCGGCGTCCATAAAACTCCCATCGGTCGGTAACCCTGGAACTTCACCCACGCGGAGTACTTCAGCTTCGACAAAGCGAGGAACACAAACGAATCATCCCGAGCGAAACCAACTCCTCAGGTGGCACATCGATTGGCGCTCGCCCTTTTTGATGATATTTTCCAGCGTTGCTGGAATCCTCCTCGCGGTCACCCATCACAGCTTCTACACCATCATGGATGGAAGGGAAGTAGCATCGCGGAGTCAACAGGAATGGTCGACACGGATCGGGTCCGGGCTTGCATTTTTGTCTCAAACCGCGATGGCGACAGCTGTGGGCCAAGCGCTGACTCAACAGCTTTGGACAGATCTCAAGCGCAAGGCGACTGACATCAAGACAATTGACAGTATGTTCTCTATCACAAAGGATCCAACGGCATTTTTCAACAAATCTTTACTCCTTCACACGAAGCTTATAGCTTTGCTGGCTGCAGTTGCCTGGTGTGTCTTCTTTCGTGAGCTCCAAGCTATTGTAATCGGAATTTTGTCGCTGACTGCGTGCATCTGAGATAGGCTACTTCCTATACTCGCTGTTGTAACGCCTGCAACGCTGTCAGTGACGTTACAAAACGTCACCACAATTCAGACCTTGAACGTCCCAGATGTGAATTGGAATGCGTCCGCATTCATGGACGTGTTCGGACGAGAAGGTGACTTTACGCTTGTCTCTGTCCAGGTGAAACGGGCTATCACGATCAGTGCCTACTCTGTAGAGATCCTGGCGATCACTCCATTATTCCCGGACTACAGCTACTCCCTAAACTTCTTCGGGCCCTCCTTTCGATGCCAAGACGTGAATGCTCCAGGAGAACAAGCGTTATTTGAATCCATTCGGCCATCTAATTACAACCAGACCATTCAAAACGTGCTTAACAACAACGGGACGCCTTTTATGGACACTTGGGATTTTGCAATGGACCTTCTCTACGTAGGAATTATCCCATTTCCGAGCGCCTACAACTCAATACTTCTTCTAACTCCTGATGTTAACATTTCCTGCACGTTGTGGAACACTTCATATGATGTCATATTCGATCTATCACAAGGGGCCCAGACAATACACGAGAGCAAGGTCATCCCCCAAGAGCCTTACCGGTACGATGATATTGACGACGATTTTACTTATGGAATGGTAGGAAGCATGGGCTTTGAGGCTGTTGCTGGATCCATGGCATCCATCCTAAAAGGCCACATCGAGGTCGCTGACTCGATGTGGCCTCATTTTGGCGCAGGCGGATCAAACGCCGACTTCACCAACAACACTGGGGTATGGGATCCCATCTATCACACCGGGTTGATCTTCTGTCCAGAGCTGGGCGAGCACATCGTCCAAATCAATATCGATGACCCAAGTAGCATGCCCCAAACGCTTACTGCAACCATGCCACGTTGGATGTGTCGGGCTGGGTCGCTGGCGAGAGCAGTCGAAGAGTTGTCCCGAAATATCACTTATAGCCTCTTCACTGTTCCAGATGTTGTGTGAGTTTGCAATCGAGCCATCAGTTCTCCACCATCTCCTCAGTAGAACTGACTTAACCCACAGGGAAGAACGGCCTATCCACGCGAATATAAGATCCGCTCGAAACGAATACTCCTACCGCAGCCGTTACCTACTTCTGAGCTACGGAATCGGTATACTCTTCACCATCTCTGGGATCGCCATCGGGGGCTTCGCGTACCATAGCAATGGCTACAGCGCAAGCACCTCATTCTCGACCATCCTGCTGACGACGCGCAAGAATCCGAATCTGGACGAGCTAAGCGAAGGTCAGTGTCTAGGGAAGCAACCGTTGGCGGAGGAGATCGGGCGGATAAAGCTCAGGTTTGGTGTCCTCAGTCCCGCGGGGAGTAGCGGTGTTGAGATTGGACACGCGGGTTTTGGACTAATGGGTGATACGCGGAGGTTGAGGAAGTACGAATATCTTAGGTAATATACTCGCGAGTGAATAAGAATGTTTTTCTATATCCCGTTTGGTGGTAAGACACGGTACGCTCGGTGTCCTATTCGTATTGGCATTGTGTATGTGTCACGTGATCGTCGAAGCGCAGCCACATGACAGCCGCAGGCTGGACTACACTGTGCTATTTATTGCACTTGGTCTGACCATATTAGGTGATCGTTAACAGCAGAGCTCAGCGCAAGCCATCAAGCATGAATTCACTGAAGAAGCAATTAACCATCCTCAAAATATCCATATTACTGATGTCCCCTTTCCCGCCATGCCCCCTTTCCCGCCATGCCCCCTTCCATGCAGCTGACAATCAAGGACCCAGTCCTTCAACGAAAGCAACGGCCAGCGCAAACGGCCAGCCATTTTATACACTTCAACACAAAGGGAATGGAACGCCCGTTCTCCCTTACACGCCGACGCTTCCGGAAAGAAAAAGAGAAGGTTGAGTATGAATCCATGCCGCTCGACCGCTTGGCCAAGAACGACCGCAATGCCCCAGGTTACATCGACACGAAAAGAAAGACGCCGCCCAATGCTGGAGGAGAAGAAGGTGTAGGGATGCCCGCCAAGAAACAAAACACAACAGACAACACAAAAGCAACAAGGAGGAACGGGTGAGAAACCAGCATATTAAGGCACCCCCCCCCGGCGCCGTTTCCCCAAACCCCTCCCCCGCCCAATCCTACAAATGCTCCCCTAGCAATCCCATCTATCCATGCCTATGCTAAAGACAGCACTCCCCGCCCCCATCGTCAATTTCCCCCCTCCCCACCCCCTCACCTCCTACGCCTCTTGAGCCTCCCACGCACAACCTCCCCGCCAATCTACGTCCTCCCCCGTCGCCTAAAAAAATCCATAACCTTCCGCGCAGCCCCAGTTCCGGACCCACTCCCCTCATACGCGTCATTAAACTTGCGATTCGGCTTCTGGAGCACACCCTGGCGTCTATCATTGCCCTGCTGCTGCTGCTGTTGCTGCTGGGGTGGGAGCGGCTGGGTTTGGCCGTCGTAGCTGTTGAAGCCTGGGGGGTAGAGGGGGCGCTGCTGGGTTTGCGCCTGTTGCTGGTGGTAGTGTTTGGGATCGGATTGGTCGGATTCGGTGCGGTAGTAGTGCGGGTCTTGTGGTGCCTCCATCTGCCCTTGCGGCAGCGGCTGCGCGTATGGCTGCGCATTCCGGCTGGGCTGCGTCGCGACCCCGTTCCCATTCCCGTGTCCATAGCTCGTCTGCCTCTGGCCCTCCGCCCCGGGCCCATAGTACGCCTGCGGGATCCCTGATCCCTGCTCTCCCGCACCCCTAACTTCCCGCATATGCGTCGCGGGACTGTCCCTCGCGCGTCGATCCAGCTGAGGATCATACAGCACCGGAATCGTCGAGTTCGTCGTACTGAGACTGGAGCGGGACTCGCCTCTCCCAAACGCCATGACAGGGCGGGATTTGCTCTGTGGGCGGCTCCGCGGTGGCTGCTGTGTAGAAGATCGGCGCGAGTCGGAGGGGTAGGGTGCGCCGGGCTGCTGTTGCTCCTTGTTGTGGGAGCTCGAGGAGATGCCTTTGAGGAAGGAGAAGCGGCGGGGTTTCTCGGCGGCGGAGGAGGGGTTGGCCATGTCGCTGTTCTTGCGGCTGAACATGCCGGAGATCCTTCTTCCTGACTCTGTTGATCGCCTTGGTGCGGCTTCGGCGGGGAGGGCGTTTTGCATGCTGACGGGTGGGTAGCTCTTCTTTTGCTGCTGCTGCTGCTGCTGTTGTTGCTGCATTTGCTGGGTATGGTCCCGCGAGCTCGTGCGTCCGAAGATGGAGGGGGTCCGCCCGAAGAGCTTCTCGCCGAGGCCGCTAGCCGTGTTGGAGCGCTTGTGGCCGCGGGACTGGTGGTCTTGCGATTCTTGGTGCAGCGCTTGATAGTCGGAGGGCGTGCGTTGGGTGCTTGGGCGACCCATTGTGGCATCGCCGCCTATAATGGGCTCGTGCTGGGGCATAGGAGCGGAGATGATGTATTGCTTGCTCTTCGGCTGGGCGAAGCGGCCTTGAGCGGTGGTAGCGGCGACGGTGGCGACGGCGGGTTGGCCGTAGGAGTTGCCGCGCGAGGGCAGTCGTGCGTTGCTGCCTAGAGTGCCGGCGGTCGACGGTCTGGCAGCCATCGAGGGTCCGCTTCCGAAAGCAGTTGAATCCGAGGCTGCGCGTTGGGCGTCTCTACCAGGTCGGGAGGGAGGTGGCATGCTAGCAGTGACATTTGTTTGCTGCAGCGGCGCTGACGTGGCATAACTGGCAGTTGAGGGTATCTCCACCGGACCCTGCCGGGTGTCCGCAGCCCGACTTCTGGGTGTGCCTTGCTGTGTCTGAATCGGAGCAGTCGCCGGAGCCGTTGCCGCGGGCGCTTCCCTGGTGGTCTGCGAGTGAGGGGCCACGTACTCGACTTGGACGGTGTTTCGCTTAACGTCTCTAGGCCCTTTCGGCGTGACTTCAGCTCGGTCAACATGGCCATGTTTGGGAGTCAGTCCTCCGACTGGTGATGCTGTCGTGTGTGGTTTGCCGGGCTCTCTGACCGAGGCGCTACGGTTTAATAACGGCGTCTCGAATGGATCTTCTGCTGACTCGTTAGACCTGTGTGGCATGGGGCCAATTCCTGCCTATACGCGACTTACCTGAAGGTACGGTAGCGTTCACAATGTCATTTGAGGTAGTAGTGCTACTGGTGATGAACCCGACAACATGAGCATATTCACTCAACCAGCTGTGTCGGGCAACTTCGAAAAGGTCGGCACGCTTCCTCGGATCGGGCACCAGGATGCGTTTTAGCAGGTCCCTGGCATGCGGTGTGACATACTCAGGGAAGGTGAGAGGTGTCGAGACAATGTACTTGTACAGCAGGTTGATGTTATCGCCTTCAGGGTTCGCCGGGTCGTCGTCAAATGGCAGGTAGCCGGCCAGCATAGCGTACTTGGTCGGGTCAGTCTTCAGACAGGTAAGCGCGTCAGATGGTTCCATGACTTACCAGAATGACACCACAACTCCAGACATCGACTTTCCTGCCCGTGTAGAGCGAATCGCTGACAACAAGTTCAGGAGCCGCGTAGCACGGGCTGCCACAACTTGTTTGCATTAGATCTCCTCTTCGGTGGCCAGCCGTGTCAGTTTGATCCAGGTTCATCCTCTTTACAAAGTCTTTACTTGTTAGGTTGTACTCGATCTCTTCTCCTAGCTCGTCCTCTGGGTTGAATGTATTCGCAAAGCCGAAGTCTGTAATTATGATGTTCCGGTTCCGGTCAAGAAGCAGATTTTCCAACTTCAGATCTCGATGGACGATGCCCTTCTTGTGCAGATAGCCCACGCCAGACACCAGCTGAGCGAAGAGCCGTCGTGCGGCGTTGTCTTTGAGGTATCGGTGGTTGAGTATGTAATCGAAAAGTTCACCTCCTGACGCGTATTCCAGAATGATGCCGATATGCCGCTCCGTCTGGACCATCTCGTGCAGTCGGACGATGTTTGGGTGCTGAAGGCCCTTCAGGATCTCAATCTCCCGGTAGATCTTCTGCAACCTGCTCTTGTTCGACCCGAGCGTCTCACGCCGAATCAACTTAATGGCGACCTGCACGCCGCCCTCCTTCTTCCAGCCCATCTTGACCTTGCCGAACTCGCCTTCTCCCAGCGTCTGGCCTAGTATGTAGTCCCCAAACTTGGTTTCTTTTCGGGACGTCCCTGACTTCGAGTAATCCTGCCGGCTCTTGCCTGCGCCTCGCCCGCCATCGTTCACTCCGTCGCTGCCGACGAGACCGAGGCCGGTTATTGGGGTGACATCGGTGCCGGCAGGCATGGGTTGCGACTCTGCTATGCGTGCTCGTTCACGGGCGATGTCTTCTTGTGGATCCCCCACCACCAATCGATCTATTATCGTGCTTTGTTCTCGGGGCAGCTCAGTGCCGATGGGTGTGGAGCCGACGGCCGTGGCGGAGCGGCTGTGTGCGGGAGACGGTCTCGATCTACTCGAACTGCCACCCTGCTGCTGCGGGCTGTCTTTTGGCGACTGATGGGCTCGCCGTCTTGTTTGAGCTGCTGCGGCTGCAGAGGATGCCGGGTCGTCCCGTACGCGTTCGCGATCGCTCCCGGTGTCATACTCGGCATTGTACTGAGCGGTTCTGGAGGGACCCGGCCGATCTTCCAGCGGTCTTGTGTATATTTGTGCGTCGGTGGCAGGCGCGGTCGCCGTTTGGCTTCGCTGATGGGAAGATGTGCGAGGAGGTGCTATCGGCGGACCACCGGCGTAATTCAGGGCTGTGGGTGAGACAGCTACAGGGACCATCGAAGGAGAACTGTGTGTAGAGGGAGGGAGGGCGTAGGCACGCGGTGTGGTCATGTTGGATGTGCTAGATCCAGCGGGTGAGTGGTATTGTTGTTGTTGCGGTGTGTGGGGGCTGTTGCTGTTTGACGCCGAAGCAGTCCCGCTGGGACCTCTTGCTGCTTTCCTCGACGAGGCGGGAGACGCAGCTACATTCGGCGCTGTCTGGGCGAAGTATTGGTCGCGGTTGTGATCGCGGTTGTGTGGAGGTTGCTGGTATTGGCGGTTTGTTGATAGGGCGGATGCCGTCGATTGCACCGCTGCCGAAGACATGCTCTGCTGGCGGGAAGCGCGAGATGGTCAACACCCCGACGGTCCAGCTTCCCTGTGCTGCAGAGGCCGTGGAGCAATGCGGCGCGCGGGTGACGGTTGGCAGCAGACGGCGATGCGAGGCTGTAGGGTATCACGCGAAAAGGGCTGGCTCGACGTGGATGCAGCTTTCACATGTATTTCTGCTTCAGTTAGTTAGAGTACTTGGGCACCCCGGAAGCGAGCGCCGATCCAAGGGCCAGCGAATCGCTCACCAGCCGCCTGGCTCGGGGGAAAACAGCAGCGAGCGACGGACGCGTTGGCGCAGCGTAGCCGTCTGCTCGAGCGACAGGTCAGGACGGCGGATGTTGGAGTTGACGTTGGCGGAGAAGAGACACGGCCGGGCTTGGAGCGTGAGGTTGGACCTGGTGCTCTTCCAGGCTGCGGCTGCTGCGGGAGAGCAGAGCGTCTGGTCGCAATCTCCCGTCGGGGCTGGCAGCAGGGCAGGGCAGGGCCCCTTTCCTTTCTGAAGCAGTCAAAACAAACGACGCGCCGCCTTGCCTGCCTGCACAGCAAGCGACAGTCCGATTCGTCGCTGCCAGGGATCAGTTCTGTCTGATGCCGCTCAAGCACGTGGATACAGAGATGCAGCGTATATCACGACTGTCTGTCTGTCTATCTCGCAGCCTCCGCTCCCCGCAGAAAGGGATAGGAACGTTGGCCGTGGGATCAAATCTCCGGAGCGGGCGGCGTCGAGCGTCGCAGGCCTGAAACTCGCTCCCGCCGACCGGCCAACCCGTTTCAAGAGCGGTCCAGCTGTGCCCGTTCAAAGTCGCATGGCGGGTCCGGTGGGTGAAACCGCGTGCCTGCTTGAACCTCATCCGGAGCCGCCTTCTCTGCATGACATGCCGCGCGCGCTTCTCGGCCGGCACGTGCGAGCCGCCGGGAGATGCACTTGAACGAGACAGGCGGTCCGCTGAGTTTTCTAGATGTTTGGGTTTTCGCGTGGTCTAGGCGGCGAAGTAATATAGAGTGATCTTGAGCAGATGATGATGTTTACGTCAAGCGTTGTTCTGTTCTATATGACCATGACACGATATTCCAGTCGTAATTAATAAATCCCCTCTCTTAAGCACCCATCCTATCCATGTGCGCAAGCCGTATACTTACAGCCCTCCGATGAGCCTCCAGCTCCTCCACCTTCGCCAGCTGCATCACCGCGCCGCCCACATTCCTCAGGCCCTCCGCCGTCAAGTTCGAACTCGTGATGTGCTTCACATACGACGCGAGGTTGACGCCCGAGTACTGCTTCGCGTAGCCGTACGTGGGCAGTGAGTGATTGACGCCCGCAGAGTAGTCGCCTACGCTCTCGGGCGTCCATGGCCCGACGAAGACACTACCGGCGTTCTCGACTAGCGACACTACGCTCGACGCGTCGCGGACTTGGAGGATGAGGTGTTCCGGCGCGTAGAGGTTGCTGAGGCGCATGGCCTCGCTAATGTCCTCGGTCACGAGAGTCACGGAATGCTCAATGGCGCCTCGGACGATGTCCACGCGTGGCAGCGCGCTCGCCTGTGCGTGAAGCTCGTCCTCGATTGCCTGCAACTGCTCCATAGTGAGGTCGACAGCGATGAGGATGACCTGGGAGTCAACACCATGTTCAGCCTGACTGAGCAGATCCGAAGCCACGAAAGCAGGGTTCGCCGTCGCGTCCGCCACGACCAGAACTTCGCTGGGTCCGGCCGGCATGTCGATGCTGACGCCTGCGGTGGTATCGTTCGAGACGAGCATCTTCGCCGCCGTCACGAACTGGTTCCCTGGGCCCAGAATCTTGTCGACCTTGCTGACGCTCTCGGTCCCGTACGCCATTGCCGCTACAGCTTGCGCACCGCCAGCCAGCACGATACTCTCGGCGCCTACCTTGTGCGCTACATAGACCACCTCTGGCGTTATCGAGCCATCTGATCGGGGCGGTGTCGCCATGACGATTTTCTTGCATCCTGCTACCATGGCCGGCACGCCGAGCATGAGTGCTGTTGAGGGAAGGACGGCTGTGCCTCCAGGTACGTATAGACCTACTCGCTCGATAGGCCTGGAGAAGCGAGAGCAGACGACGCCGGGCATTGTCTCGACGACCAGGGCTTTCTCCTCTTTTTGCGCGGCGTGGAAGCGGCGGATGTTCTCGAAGGAGATATCGATCGCCTCGATGGTCTCTGGCGGTAGTTGCATCATCGAATGTGGAAACGGCGCCTTCAGAACAGGAGAGGTCAGGGAAGTCGCTTTTTCGAACTTGTGTGTGTACTCTAGTACTGCAGCGTCGCCTCGCTCCTGGATGGCGCTAATGATGGGCTTCACTATACCCATGATCTTGTCGGTCGAGCGCTGTGATGGTCGCTTTAGGGCTTCCTGAACAGTCTCGGGCGCCTCTTCTGCTGTGATGTAACGCCTCATTCGGATCCTCCCATCCTTAACGCCTGCGCTGTCTTCCTTGCTCTTAGGTACTGACGCGGCTTCCTTGACCATCTCAGTCGTCCCATTGGTCTGTGCCGTGCCGTTGGTCCCGCTGGCGACGCCGAACTTGGCAGCGTAAGGCCCTTTCGCATCGCCTTTTCTCCGCTTGACTTTGACGCTCTTCGCGTCGAGGTTCCGCTCCACGTCTTCTAGCGTGACACCAGCGGCTATACACTTTGTCATAGCGAAGTAGAACAGGTCGGCTGCCTCAAATGCGACGTCCTCCTTGGTCTTGGCTTCACAGAGCTCGTTCGCTTCCTCCATAATCTTTGCCTTCAGCATCTGTGGATCGTTGAACAATCGCGCTGTATAGGATCCCTCGGGTGCGGAAGCTTTGCGGTTCTGCAGGGTTTTTTGTAGGCGAGAAAGGCCTTGATACTGTCCGAAACACGTCGCCGTGGCCAGATGGCAGAACCCTGGAGCGTATTAGCACGCAGTTTCGAATATCCCTGAGAACCACCTTTCGTACCTCTACCCTTTTGCCGCACAACGAAGCGCAGGCAGTCATGATCGCAGTCTAGTGATATCCTGACTAGCTCTTGGATGTCTCCGCTGCTCTCGCCCTTGTACCATAAACCCCTCTTCCGGCTCTGGTAAACCCCTCGCCCAGTGCGCAAGCTCTCCGACACACTTTCCTCGCTACTGTATACAAGGCCCAGAGCGACACCCCGTTCATCCGTGACTAGGGTTGTGAAGAGGCCATCAGGGCGGTCGCTGGTCGCATTGGCGACTAGGAGCCTCGCCGCGTTTATGAGTTGCGGCTGGGACTTGGAATCGATCGTCAGGAGAGTCGCAGGCACGACAGGCACAGCGGAGAGCCTCGATATCCGGAGCGCCGAATCCGCCGTAGGGCTTGCGAAAGACACGTAAACCTCCGGTCTCTCTGCGCCGTACTCCTTCAGCCATGACTCCACCAGGTCTACGTCTTGAACATCCTGGGTATAGATTCCGACAGACGTGCCGGCGATAGATTCAATGATGTCCTCTTTCGTCTGGCCGGAGATGCAGAGGACGATGCGATCAGCGTCTATGTTCTTCACGTCGCTCAATTGATCCAATTGCTGGCGATTCACGAAGACCTTTGAGGCGCCCGAGTCGAGGAGGGAGACGATACCGTCAATCGAAGGGAGGGCAGAGACATCGAAGCATGTGGCGAAGAGACCGGTGGTCTGCTGGAGGTAAAGGAAGGCATCATCGATTGACTGCGCGTCGAGTTTGGTGAAGACGCTGCCAATGTAGGAGAGGCCTTGAGGGCGCAGGCCGGAGGTTTGAGTGGTGTAGGTAGCGATGTCAACGGCAGGCAGCAGAGCAGAGGCCATTGCGAGGCTGCCGTGAGGGTTTGGATTTCAATATGGGAACAACGGAGTGCAAGGTTAAGGCTGTCGTGAGTCAATCGAGCTTTGATGGTGGGGGCATAAAATTCAGGGCTGCCGGGCCGCGATCGGCTTTGACGACATCATGGTGGCATCCTGTCGTGCCTAGGTATCTGTAACAAGATGAAATCTGCAACCTACCATCGCACAGAGCTTTGCTGTATGAGAGTCTGGAGAGTCTGCGGTGAGACTCTTCATAGAACCAACGTCAAGAAAGGGACCGCTTTCGGCTGACAGGGACAGGGGCCAGCTTGCCACGCGGGTGACAAGAATGCGCGGACACCATAACCAGGAGGCAGTAAATCACGACGTAAATAATCATTTATATAGCTTTCGATATATTAACTAGGGGCTATTACAGTTTCTCGTCTTAGTAGTTTGTATCTAAGAACATGCGCACGCTATAAAGAATTAATTTAACCTAGTCATCGATTTTATCTCGCAGCAGCTTCTGGGTTGACTGTTTGTGGAGTCCGCGCATTTGTGTCATCAGGGTGCTTGCCCAGATCCGACCTCTCGGGATGCCGAGCCCGGAAGAGAGGACGGGCCGATGAGGCTGAAACGGCGGTTGCATTCGGATTAGCGCGCTTTGAGCTTAACCTGTCCGGCTGGACTCCTGTCGAAGGCGCCAGACTTTGTTCTGGCAGCAACCACAACCACCACAACCACCACCACCCGCTTCTCCTCCGCTCTACGACACCGAAACACCCATAGAGCGCGCTGGAGGTTTAGCTGTTCAGTCCTTTCACGCTCATTCCTTCGCCTCACCAGAGAAGCGGCGCCCTTTGCTCGGTTTCGCCGACGCGCCACCGCGCGCTCTCTCCACTCGCCCTTCGCACCGCCTCTCCACCCGCTCCTACACCATCCATAGCTGTCATCTTAGCTGATACGACACCATCATGGGCGATTACGGGACCAGCGACTTTGAGGCGTCCAGGTACAATGACGAAGACACGAACATCATCACAGCCGAAGACTGCTGGGAGGTCATCAACTCTTTCTTCCGCGAGAAAGGCCTTGTGTCGCAACAGCTGGAGTCCTACAACGAGTTCGTCACGACGACGATAAACCAGATCGTGGCGGAAAACTCGCGCGTCATCATCGACCAGAACACCCCGCAGTCGGACGACGACGTTGATCCCATAATAAAGCGCCGCTACGAGATCAACTTTGGGTCGCTGAAATTCTTCGCCGCGTCCATGACGGAAAGCGATGGCACTACAAATCAAATATGGCCGCATGAATGCCGGTTGCGCAACCTGACATACTCGGCTCCCTTATGGTGCAAAATGTCAAAAAAGGTCATGGTGGCCAGGGAAAGACCCATCGGGTTTTCCAAAGACGGAGTAGATCCCGACGTAGAGATGGACGGAGAACAATCCGGAGCCACCGAGCTCGTCTGGCAGCGGGAAGACGAAGACGAGCCGCCGGTCGATGTCTTCCTGGGAAAGATTCCCATCATGCTCAAGTCCCAAACATGCTCCTTGAGAACTGCGACGGAGGACATCGCTACGATGCACAACGAGTGCCCCTACGATCAGGGCGGATACTTTATCATCAACGGTTCAGAGAAGGTCCTGATTGCCCAGGAACGAAGTGCGGCCAACATAGTGCAGGTTTTCCACAAGAAGGGTACCCCGACGCCGTGGGTTGCTGAGATTCGCAGCGCGATCGAAGGAGGCTCCAGGCTCATCTCGGCCATGCAGGTCAAATATCTGGCGAAGCGTCCTCAAAAGAAAGTGCAAGGAAAGGAGTCGAGCCTGCAAGAGGGACCTATCATAAACGCAACTTTACCTTACATCAAGGCGGACATCCCGATTGTCTGGATCTTCCGCGCGCTGGGCATCGGCTCCGATCAGGATATCTTAGATATCATTGTTTACGATAGTACCGACACTCAGATGCTGGAACTGCTGAGACCCTCCCTTATAGAGTCGCAGAGCCTCCAGCACCAGGAAGACTGTTTGGATATGATCGGCAGACGCGGCGCGCAAGCCGGTTCGAAGGCGAAACGTATCAAGTATGCGAGGGACATCCTGCAGAAAGAGTTCCTCCCTCACATTTCCCAGCAAGAGGGCAGCGAGACGAGGAAAGCGTTCTTCTTGGGCTACATGGTCCACAGGCTGCTGAAATGCGCACTTGGCAGACAGGTTGAGGATGATCGCGACCATTTCGGAAAGAAGCGCCTGGATCTTGCCGGCCCTCTGCTAGCCAACCTCTTCCGCATGTTGTGGCTGAAGCTGACCCGCGACGCCTCCAAGTACCTCCAGAAGTGCGTCGAGAACAATCGGAGCTTCAACTTACATCTAGCGGTCAAATCCTCTACAATCACCAACGGACTGAAGTATTCTCTCGCAACCGGAAATTGGGCCGAACAAAAGAAGGCCGCGAACGGCAAGGCTGGAGTGTCCCAGGTGCTCAATAGATATACGTATGCCTCGACGTTATCCCATCTCCGGCGGACGAATACTCCGATAGGTCGTGACGGGAAGATTGCCAAGCCGCGCCAGCTGCACAACACTCACTGGGGCTTGGTCTGTCCCGCCGAAACTCCAGAAGGCCAGGCTTGCGGACTGGTCAAGAACCTCTCGTTGATGTGCTATGTAACCGTCGGTTACCCAACCGAACACAGCGGCATCGTGAGTTTCTTGAAGGATCGAGGAATGGACTATCTGGAGGAGATTGAGCCTCGACTAGACCTGCGCAGATCTACGAAAGTCTTCCTCAATGGTGTTTGGCTTGGCATCCACCGTGACCCAGGGCAGCTAACCGCTGCATTGCAAGGCATCCGCAGAGAGCCCGTCACCAGGGGCGACCACAATGAGTTGAGCATTGTTCGTAACATTCGAGATCGTGAGATCAAACTTTTCACTGATGCCGGCCGGGTCTGCCGCCCACTCTTCATCGTCGAGAATCGCCCCACAAGTGCCAACAAGGGAAACCTCGTTCTGAATAGGGAAATTTTGGACCGCCTAAGCACAGACGCCCAGATCGACACTACGGGCATGAAAGAAGAGGACAGAAGGGCAATGATTTTTGGCTGGGAAAACCTGCTTCAGAACGGTGTGGTTGAATACATCGACGCCGAAGAGGAGGAGACCTGCATGATCGTCATGACCCCCGAGGACCTCGAAGAGCATCACCGGATTAGATCTGGACAGTCAGTGTATGAGATGGACCAAGACGACCCACTCAAGAGAGTCAAGGCCAAGCCGAACCCCAGTATATCTGCTTTCACTCACTGCGAGATCCATCCTGCCATGCTTCTTGGAATATGCGCAAGCATCATTCCGTTTCCCGATCACAATCAGGTATGTCTCCTTTCTCGTCGCCCTCGAACTCGATGCTAATCTGTCTTTAGTCTCCTCGTAACACCTATCAGTCGGCTATGGGTAAACAAGCCATGGGTGTCATGCTTACAAATTACCAGTCCCGGATGGATACCATGGTCAATGTGCTATACTACCCCCAGAAGCCGCTGGCGACTACCCGATCCATGGAGTTCCTCAGATTCCGAGAACTGCCCGCTGGTCAAAACGCCATTGTGGCTATTGCATGCTATTCCGGCTACAACCAAGAAGACTCCGTCATCATGAACCAGAGCAGCATCGACAGAGGTCTCTTCCGCAGTCTCTTCTACCGATCCTACATCGACCAAGAGAAGAAGGTCGGCATCCACGACGTGGAGAAATTCCTGAAGCCCCGGCGAGGAACGACTCTGCGGATGAAGCATGGCACCTACGACAAGCTCGACGACGACGGCCTCATCGCGCCTGGTGTGCGTGTCTCCGGCGACGACGTTATCATCGGCAAAGTCGCGCCCATCGCACCAGACGCGGACGAGCTTGGACAGCGCACCAAAGCGCACGAGTATCGCGACGTCTCGACACCTCTCCGCTCAACCGAGAACGGCATCGTCGACTGCGTAGCCCTAACCACCAACGCCGAGAACCTCAAATTTGTCAAAATCCGGACCCGCACAACCAAGGTACCCCAGATCGGCGACAAGTTTGCCTCCCGGCACGGCCAAAAAGGCACAATCGGCATCACATACCGCCAAGAGGACATGCCCTTCACGCGCGAAGGCCTAACCCCCGACCTAATCATCAACCCGCACGCCATCCCGTCCCGCATGACCATCGCGCATCTAATCGAGTGTCTCCTCTCCAAAGTCGGCGCCATCAAGGGCCAGGAGGGCGACGCAACCCCCTTCACAGACGTAACCGTCCAGAACATCTCCGACCTGCTCATCCAACACGGCTACCAGAGCCGCGGCTTCGAGGTCATGTATAACGGACACACGGGCCAGAAGCTGCGCGCGCAGGTGTTCTTGGGCCCGACGTACTATCAGCGGTTGCGGCATATGGTTGATGACAAGATCCATGCGCGGGCAAGAGGGCCAGTGCAGATTTTGACAAGGCAGCCTGTGGAGGGCCGTGCGAGGGATGGTGGCCTGAGGTTCGGAGAGATGGAGCGCGACTGCATGATTGCGCACGGTGCGAGTGCGTTCCTGAAGGAGAGGCTGTTTGAGGTCTCGGATGCGTATCGGGTGCACATTTGCGAGATTTGTGGGCTCATGACGCCGATTGCGCAAGTTGCTCCCTTCCATTGTCGCACTGCATTACAGAGTCGTGACTGACAATTTTCTAGGAGTCTCAAGAACCAGCAGTTCGAGTGTCGGCCTTGCAAGAACAAGACGAAGATCGCGCAGGTCCATATCCCGTATGCGGCGAAGCTGCTGTTCCAGGAGTTGGCAAGCATGAATATCGCGACGAGGATGTACACCAAGCGCAGCGGTGTCTCGATTCGGTAGTCACTCATCACTGATCATGAGGATAATCTCGTCTTTCTACTAATTTACGGAGCATGGTTGGTTTGCATTCGCAAGGCGTTTGGATCAAGGTTCGTGGAGCGTTTTCCGGAAATTGGGGTTGTAGGACGCACAGCCAGGGAGACATTGCTGTGGCAAACTTTCAGATTCTCTCAAAACCAGGAGCTTGAGCTCTGTACACTAGACTACTGCACGATCGTATTTTTAGCAAGCGCAGGCCGATGCTGGACTCGGCTTCGATAGAACTCGAAGTACTTGAGTGATATGACCAGGCAGTCTCCTCGTTCATGCATCCCACAAGCAAGCGGCCACTCTTACCGTCGACCACGATAACCTCGGCCTTGATCACGCTCCCTACTCCTACTTCTCCGCCTTTCCCTACTCCGACTCCTTTGCCTCCTTCCTCCATCCCGATAATCCTCGCGCCTTCCACCTCTACCGTCACGATCCCTTTTCTCACCCTTCGGACTCCTACTCCTACTCCGCTCTCTCGCACCGCCCCTCCCCCCTCTTCCCCCTTCATCCCTCCTCCTCGACTCCCCCTTATCGAAGACATAGCCATACCGCCCCTCCCTCGCCCTGGGCGCATCCTCATTCCGATACTGCCTTCGTTTCTCCAACCCTTCAATGCCCCCAAACCCACCCCTCCCTCGTTCCTGCCATCTCTTAAAACTCCCACTCTCCCTCCAGCTCTCCGGCAGCCGACTCACACTCTGGCTGAAATCAACCCGTATGCGCTTGTCATCGATCAGCACGCCGTCCATCTTGAAGTACGCCTGCTCGCAGCTCGCGCGGTCGGCGAACTCGATGAACGCGTATTGGAGGCTGTCGCCCGTGCGCCGGTCGCGGATCACTTCGCAGGAGAGGATGGAACCGAAGCGAGAGAAGATTAGGGAGAGGTCGTCGGAGGTGGTTACCGGGTTGAGTTGGCAGACGAAGAGGACGTTTTCGGGTGGGGCGATCTCGGCGAAGGGGAGGTCGCCGACCATTTCGAGAGTTAGGGCTTGCGCGCGGGCTTCGCGCTGAAGTTGGGAGGCGAGGGTTAGCTGAGTGAGGGAGGTGGTGGGGAGGGTACGGCACGCACCTCTCGCCGCCGCTTCTCGACTTCTTCTGGGTCGGCATTCTCGTCAATCTCCTCGTCGTCTGCTATTCGCACAGTCGCGAGCTGTGCTTGGGATGGAACTGGACTCTCGGGTGGCTCGACAAGGCCGTCTGGGTCGGGGTATGGGTCTTCGAGAACGTGGGCATGCCGTATGCGGATGTCCTTGAGTGGACGTCCTTCGTCGTCTACAAAGGCGCCGTTGATTCTCTCAAGCGTGTCGAAGCCCTCGACGACCTTGCCGAAGATCGCCGCCTTCCCATCCAGGAAATCTAAGTTGTCTCCCAGCGTCACGATGAACTGACTGCCCGCCAGGCGTCCATCAGGGTCGTTGGGCGCCGGAGCCGTAGCCATGCTCACGGTGCCTCGCTCGGCATGTCTCAGCCTCTTGTGGAATTCCGGCTTGAACGTCTTCCTGGACGGCCCGTTGAGCAGGCCCCAGATGGAGGATCCGCCATCGCTATCCTTGGATCCGGGGCCGATGGGGTCGCCGGTCTGGAAGGAGAAGTCTTTCTGCACGCCGTAGATGGGGGCGAAGTTGTAATACTTGACTTTGCATAGCTTCAGGAAGCTAGAAGTAAGGTCGCATGTCTTAGTTTCATGCTCAGCGTTCTTCGTACGTGTGGGATGTGGGGGAGTAGGGAAGGATGTGGCTTACTTTTCACAGCACTTTGGCGCCTCGTCGACCAGAAGGTCTATGACTAGCTCCCCAAGGGACGTCTCGACGAGCACCGACATGGTGGAGGGTCGCAGACTGGACGGATGATGTTGGCGTTGACGCGCGCGGCTCCGCGGGTAAGGCTCGGGTTAAGGCAACCTTGGAAGTTCTGTCACACTGTCACAATGCGGGAGGTCGCCGGGCGCGTACCGGCCCGTCCCACGAGCAAGCTGGAAGTCGACTAAGCAAGTAACTAAGTGGGTTGGCGGGCCGCAGTCACGAGCTGCCCAGCCGCTGCACCTCCTTCTGAGTCGTATCTCACTTCCTCCTTCCTCCCTCGCACCCTTCGTCGTCGAAGCGAGTCAAACACGGACGCAAGAAGTGTCATATTTCGAAAACATGCGCGGTAAGGTACCTCCGAGCCTGGCCTGCTACTGTACACCGACCGCCCCTTGGCCTTCAGCTCGTGCGCCGTGCACCCTATTGGAAGAGACTCAACCCTAAAGGCGCCCACGGCGCCCTACTGCGGGGCCGGCACCTAACTGACCAAACACAACCAAGGCGGAGCTTATGTACATCATCCGGCGCATTGTTGCATTCGACCGCGATGATCTGCCTGAGGGCGAGCTCTACCTGTCACTTGCAGCGTTCAGCTGCGGTGCTGCTGTCCGGATCCTCTCCGTGGCTGCATCTTCCGCGGACATAACGCATGCCGAGGGCGCACCCACACATACCAGACCAAGGACTCCGTTCTGCAAAGCCCATCAGCTTGCCGCATCATCGATCTGATCGCTCTCAGAGCCGTTCGGCATTCTCAAAGTACCTTGGTGCATCTTACCTACGGCATATGGCCGGGCCAAACAGCGGAACGGTCCTCTCGCCAGGTCTCGTACCTGAGGAACCGCCTAGGCTTGGCATTGCAATGCAGCACTGCAGCACTTCGACCTCATCGCATGATAGCCGGACACCACCTGCAGGTTGTACGGCCCAGGCAGGGGATGCTGTTCTCGATTTGCATGGAGCCCCCTCTGCTGCCGCAACAGCTACTGCTGTAGTGGTATCAGCCACCTATTCGTTAGCTCCGATGGCTGCTAGGTCTTCTTTCTTATTTCCTTCCATTCTTTTGTGATGATCTGAACAAGCCTCCTCTCGAATTCTTCAGCCACGTGCTACCGCGCTTTTGACAGGTTGATTCTGCATCATCTGAAGCAGATGCACGCGATACTCGGCGTCGTAAGTGTTGGGATGTTTGTCCCACTTACGTTCATGAACAACGTTTTGTTGAAAGACAAGGGGCCACTTCTCTCTGACCGGAGGCGGTGGCGCCTAAGGTATAATATCGGTCTGATATAGGTTGTGTGCGACAAGTGCGCATCCATTGTTTAGTCAAGATTAGGCTTGGAGAGATGCGCGTCCGCTCGAAACGTTCTCTATTGGCTCTGAGGCGAGAGCACGCAATACGGAAAGAAGACCATGTTGTTACATCCTCAGTTGTCATGATTAGATGACCCCACGGTCTTGCAGGTCAGGAAAGATGGACATATCGAGAAGTTGCGAGGCCGAACGCGACGTCTCGTCAATCCAAAGTTGCAGGTCATCGCAACGCCATCGGACGTCTTACCTAATTACCACCGTAATCGGATAACGACCACTTGAGTCTCCCTCCTCACCCCACGTTGGCCCCATTAGGACGGGCTTCCTGATGGGCTCACCTTTCTTGGAAAACCCACTCAATGCTTGGCTGTTAGGCAGTTTGGCATCAACCTAGGTATCCTATCAGTATCGCTCGGGTAAGTCGCCAAGCGTGACATCCACCCAATCTGGCCCTCTACGGCGCGTGCAGGTATCCAGGCTACTGGTCGGGACCGCGCAGCCGTCCGAACCCCTGTTTGGCACGGTGCCAATAGAATAGAGGGCGATCGAGCAAGGAATGTTTTACCGCCAGTATCCTTACGCAGATTGAATCGTCATGGTGCTGCTGACAGTGGAAGTTGGAGGTCGGGCTTTGTTTTGAGCCGACACGCAAGCAAGAGCGCCTGAGACCCCATGATAGTCAAGGGCAATCGGTTAGCGGGTCGAGAACCTACAGAGAGCTCGCATAGGGGACTGGCGCGACCCGGTTCATGGGTGGACCCGCAGGCCAGGCGGCCCAGGGCCAACAGCAGCTTGCGAAGCCCATCAATCGATCAGCATCTGGAGTTGCGTTTGCTACCGGCAGGGTATTGCGCCAACAAAGGATTGAATCAGATCAGACTTTCAAACCAGCGTGTCAGCATTTGCCAGCCATCGGTGATCGTCAAGGACGTCCCGTTTTCGTTCAAACACTCAGCTCTGCTGTTATGAAATTGAGGGGTCCTACCATCTTCGCTCTGTTTCATCATTTTGCAACGGTGCCAGGTGTGGCTAAGGCACGCTGACCGGATCGCAGCAATTAGTTCTCCACTGCATCGCTCGTGCTGATCTGCCGTGGCACAAGTCCGGCTGATCAAAACGCAAGTGATTGATCCTCTACATGAACTCTGGAGGACGAGACGCTGAGCAGTGTGTCCCAGATGCGTCCGAGCAAGAGCTGCGCCTCTCTGGTCCGACCCAGTTGTCCTTCGTTTCACAGGAGACATGTCGGCAATGTGATCGAGAGAAGCCGATTTGGGAGGCTGATTGAAATACCTAAAGACGTGTCAATAAATTCGAATACGCTTCAGGTCAAAGGCTCCGCTTGTATTCCTCGCACGTTCCAACCGCTGGAGACAGATATGCAAGAGCTGGCTGTGGCACGTTCCACTTAGCCTTGTGAGAAGGCGCAAACAACAACGGGCTTGGCCTTGACGGCGTTCGAGCCTCTAGGTACACAGAGAGGTGAAGCAGCCACCCGAGATTCCGTCTTCCTGCAACTCCCCATGACTAGTTTGCTCCACCCCTTGTGTCCAACAAGAGCGAACCCACTTCAGAACGGTTCTCCAGAGGAGAATCGGAGTAGGCAGAGAAAGGGCTCAGAGTTGCTTGATCATAAGCAGGCAGACTGGAAAGCTGACGGCTCACATTCTTCGACCACGTTGATGGCGAAAAGCCCAGAAACAAGACTTGCAGGCATTTTTAAATGGCGAGAGGCACTCTTGACGCTCTTGCTATATCATCCAACCGCCAGTTTCCAGCCGTGCCGTTTCTTTGTTCTCCGTTTGCAATATTCAGCACTTGCAGATTGTTCCAGTCTGTACTGGAACCAACGCTTCGACGAGGGAAAGATTACCCTGAGTGCATCTTCGGCGACTGAAGGTATATTCTGCACTTCACGTTGCAAGCAAACACCCTTTCTCACCGTCTTTTGCAAAACCTGCCTCTCTCTGTCAGCGGATGAGCATTAGTTGTATTTCCCTTGATGCCTTTCTGAGGGTTGTCTAGATGTTGAGCATGACCCGCGCCTTTTACGGCTCTAACGACTTTGAGCGATTCGGCCGCTGTTCTCCGCTGGGCTCGTTCGGACCATACTACAACGACCGGAGCTTACCAATGTCTCTCTCTCACTCGAATCGTCAAGACTTTCGAGCATGTCCCGTCTCGCGACAAGATCAGAGTCCACCGCAAGCACCGGAACAGGAGATGGGCAACAACCCACCCAGACGACGCATCGCTGTAGCTGTAAGTAGGACTTCCTGAGATCTATTCGATGCCATCGGTGCACCACGCAAGGCATGGACAGAGGACGACGGTTGGATAGCAGCGTCCGCTTTCTCAGCTGTAGTACTAACCAGTACTCCAAATTTGCAGTGTGGCCGATGCCGGAAGCGGAAAATTCGGTGTAGTGGTGATCCAGGCAATGGACAAGGCTGCCAGAACTGTCGAACAGCTGGTGCAGATATCCATGCTTGTACCTTTCACAGGGTACGTCCCCCTTTCGAGTGGCTGAAATCTATGTACTGACATCGGTTCAGGTCGGCACTGTTGTCGGCTCGTTCGAGACGCCATCTGCACATCCAGTGGGACCTCAAGGTCTGACTGGTCATTACGGTGCCTACGGAACTGCGCCGTATCACGCAATGGGCACAATGCATGGACTACCAAACGCATTTCCAGCGCAGGCAAAACTGGTCGGGCAGTACCCTATGGTAGCGCAAAGAACAGTGTACCCGCCCACTTGGAGCTCGAACCCCTATGGCGAGGAATCCTCTGTCGAGTCCTATAGTCTCCAGTCATCAGGCTATCTGCCAGGCCAGAGCACTATGTCTGGCCTCTATGGGAGCCATGATGGCAGCAACGATGCGAGGAACTACGGCTTAGGATCCAGACCATCGATGAACCCGTCTGGGATCTATCTTGACCAAGAGAGCGCAGCGGCTTACTCCTCAGCTCCTTCGGCATATTTCACCACGCCGGTCACTCGACAGCCTACTGTCACCACCGAAAGCACTTCTCCTTTCGGCATGACCTCGCTGCAGTCTGCTCTCACAGGCAGACAGCTACCTATGCCAACAGCCAACAGGATGCAAGGCTCGTCAATGACTGACGGCCTGACAGCCCGCATGCTGCTGTCGACTCAAAGCACAGGTCTAAGCGACCCGAACGCTGCTGCTAACTACAACCGGGCCGCCATGGCATGGAACCAAGAGGGTGTGGCACCCAACGAACGTCAGGGATCGATAGACGTCATGGCACAGTCTTCAGCTAAAGGATCTTCTATTTCGTCCTCAATCCCCGAGGCCAGCGGTATGGCATATATCCCGATCACCAGCAGCCCTGAGCACTCGCCAACGACTGGCCCGTCGCTAGGCTACAGCTCAACGGCCAGTTCCATGCCTGCACCTTTGCTCAGCGGGAGATCTTCCGGCCCTTCCAGCGCCATGCTCACGGCGAGTTCAGGAAGCGACACTTCCAACATGTACACTTATTCAGCCAACAGCTCTTCAAGGCATGATTCTACCGGAGCAAGCTCACCAACCGACGATACACTCGTCAGCGGTCAACGCTACGCCCCGATCGCTCAGCCACAATCACAGCAGCCTATGAGTGTCGAGACACTTGGGAGTGAATCCTTTGAGAACAGATCCCTGACTGGTCATCGGGCGTCGGTATCCAGCTTGAGGGGCGCAGCGTACTGAATATTTTTTTCTCCGACTCGGCGTCTGAGCCAGGTGTCTTAGCCTCTCCGCGCCAAGTGCTGCACCCACGCCGGTGCCTTTTCCATCCCACCTGAAGGACGCGGCGTAAGGCGTAAGGAAAATCTGGAATGGTCTTTGGGCTTCCTGTTCCGGTGTATCTATACAGTTTCTCTATCTGGTAACGAACTCTCCCTGCTTTTCGGTCTTGGCGCAATTACAAGAGAAGGACGCTCACAGCAACCCCCGGCCCGGCGTGGCACGAAATGGCAGTAATCGGTCAGCATCTGTAGGGGGGCTATCACAAGAACTATAGGACAGGAGATGTGTGTATTCACTCGAGGGCTGATGCCCTCTGAGTTTTGGCGAAGCTTTGGCGTACAGGCGACGAGGGCACAGATGTAGTACGGCAAATGCATATGAGACATGGCGCTGTCGGATTACGGAACGAGGGAACGGGAACGGGCCTCCGCCGCTATGATCGGAATGGCTTCGGTGCATGGATGGAATGGCATGGTTGAAATGGCGTTATCTTCATCTCCAGGAGATCTCGGCAGCGTTCTATATCGGCTTGCCCTCATTTTATCCGGTCTTTCTTTCTTGCCTCTGGGTGGTCTTCTGCTTTTAAGTAAGATCACGTCAGGGCCACTCCTTCAGTGCTACTCTCGATCTCACAGGAACAACTGTCGGCGGTCTTGTATGTAATCTTACTTGGCTGGTATAGGTGTAGAGAATCGAGGGCGCTGTCTATTCGAGATATTCAGGTGCCTTAACAGTAGCGGGACACTAACATAGTGGATCTCCGAAGTTTCGCGTCAGTTGAGACAAATATGGTCACGTGACATCATCAGGAATATACCTCAATTCAATCCGTTCGAGCCAGCCATTCTTCCCTACACCCAAACAAAGCGGAAAGCAAACGGCTGCAAACCATCGCACCAGCCCAGCAACCGAGTTTAAGACTCATACGAACGACCGAGCACCATACTATCCCAATACAGAAGCCTTGACCTCTCACCCATCCCCTAGACTCTCCCGCAACGCCTCAACATCCAGTCCTTCGACCGTGACCTGACACGGCACCTTGAGCGGCGAACCGAGGCCCAGAACCGAACCGCTCTGATTTACGCCCAGAGGTCTCGGCCGTGGGACCTTGTCTGGCAACGACTGCGCTGCCGCTCTTCCTTGCGCCACTTTGACCGGCGTGCCAGGCGTCGCAGACGTGTTCTCCTTACGAACAGACGCCTCACTTGCACTTGCCGCCACCCTCACAAGGGTAGAAGCGGGAGCAGGAGCGGAAGCAGGACCCCCACTCCACCGTCCCCAAACCCACCCTCCAACCTTCTGGCCGAGCGTCCTATCGCTGCCCCTCTTCCTCACGCCTCCGCGCTGCTCTACCGCCCCGCCGGCGAGCAATAGCGAGCGGGCGTCGCTTTTGCGTGGTACAGCTGGTCTGGCGGCCGTAGCGGTCGTGGCACTCAAAATGGGACCGCTTGATAGCGCTGCCGCTGTAGAGACGGGAGCGATGCTGGGTTTGAAGGTGAAGCTAGAGGTTGCGAGTAGGTAAGGAGGCCGGGAGGGGAGGGTCGGGATGTCGAGACAGTGGAGGGAGAGAAGAGATTCGTGGGAGGCGGCGCGACGGAGGGGTGGGCGGGTGGTGCGGATTTGTGTGTGATAGTCTGTGCTGCCGGTGAGGTCCTGGAAGGGGGGTGGCGGTGGTTCAGGCTCTGGTACATCTGAGGTCTCTTCTGGGATGGTGGCCTGCACTTTTGGCGTAGAGAGTGAGACTGATTTGTCGGCGCCTGCTTGCGTCTGCAGCTCATTCAAGGGGCCGTCTGCAATCCCCTCTGCAGGCTCCGCTGCACTTTCCGCCAGCTGGTCACGCCCTGGAGCGGAAAAGCCACACAGTGGTCCCGTCAATCCGCACTTGATCTGTAGTGGCTCAAACACAGGAGAATCCGGGGGTTCGCTACCATCTGGACTCGTTGGGCTTGAAGAGTCCTGCGTAGCGTCGCTGAAGACTCGGTCAAAAAATGACGAGGTGCGATTCGTGGAGGCGTAGGGGGAGCTCGGAACTGATGAGGCCACAGATGGTCCGGTCTGACTGGATTGTGTAGACCAGCGGTCCTTCCCCAGCGCTCGCTGTGGAGTCGTGACTGCCGTCTGAGTCGCTATTGCTGGAGTCAAGGCCGGAGCGGTTCGCCCGAAAGCAGGGGCTTCGGAGCGCGGTATATGCTGTCCGGATGGACTGAAGATGCCTGGAGATGCAACGTTCCGTTTCTTCTTTACACGACGCTGGACGGTGGTCCTGCCCCTTGCAATTTCAGGCCCAGGAGCGGTTGCTGGCGCGTGATAGTGGTGGTGCACATGCAGGGCCTGGTTCAAGACTGGCTCAAACCCGAGCTCTTCCCGAAGCGTTGGTGTTTGGTTGCCATCTGCGCTGTAGCCGACTGGCTGATGCAGCATGAGCTGTTCTCGCAGTCTCTCCACCTCTTCATTCGAGTTTAGCAGCAGTTCCCTTAGTTCCACAACGCCAAGCTGCAGGTTCGCGTTGTCCTGCAAGATGTCTTTGACGAAGTGCGATACCACATCGCCACGGTTCTTGCTCATGCCACCCGTTTTCCCCTTCCCAGCATCCGCCTCAAGCTCCTGCTCCACAGCTCTTCTCCACTCCATGCGACCAACCGCCTCGACATGTCGCTCACGCTCTTCTCTGGCCTCGCGCTCGATACGGTCGACCTGGTCCTGTAGCTCTGCGATCGTGCGCTCCGCCTTGCGCCAACGCATTACGGCGCTTCGTTCGTTCTCGGTGGTCATCGCCAGCGTCTCATGGAGACTAGCCTGCTCGGTTTCCAGCTCCGCCAACTGGCGCTCCAGCGCTCTGGTCCGCGACTCAAGGAGTGTCAATCTCTGGAGCTCTTGTTGCGTGGACCTTAGCGTAGCGGTCAAAGACTTGATATGATCGTCGGACTCCGAGACGGTGTTGTTAAGATACTCGAGCTGATCGAGTAATGATCTGTTCTCTTCGATCGTCTGCGCATTCCTGGCTTCCAGCTCCCTCTTGTCGCGCTCCAGCTGCTCAATCGTCGCGCTCATCCGCACCCGCTCCTGCTCGGCATCTGCCATGTAGGACTCATGGCGGACGAGTAGGGCCTGTAACGCGAATGTTAGACTCATGCTGTGCCTCTAGCGATGCAGAAACCCTGAAAGGATATGGACGGGATACGGAGCGCTTCGTAACGGCTCACTGAAGCTCGGCAGATTTTATCGAGGACGCCAAAAGAAGAGGCAGGCGCATACCTGACCAAGCTGGGCGGCGAGCTGGACGTCGCGCTCGAGGCCTTCCAGAAGCGTGCTGGTATGTGCCAAGTACGGGCAATCGTCCTTCCCGCAACAACATTGAGTTTGAGGAATGCTGTGGGAGGCCTGGAGTATACACTGTGGCATAGCTACCGCGACAAAAGGGCGAGGCTAGGAGGAGCAGCAGTCGGTGTTGAGAAGCGGAACATTATCGTTACTATGTAGATAGAAGGGCGAGTAAGGATACCTTATCGAGTGAGGTGGGGGATAGTGATGTTGTTGACCTCGGTGTTGTGGCAGGGTTCCATGATTGCCTTGCGCTTTGGTGCTGCTAGCCGCTCGCACTAAGGTAGGTACCGATGTTGCGCATGCTTGGTGTTCCGCATTAAGACTTTGACTTCTAGCATAAAGGGTAGAGGACCAGACATGGGGGCTATATAAGACATCTTCGAGCATGGAAGTAATTCTGCGTGGGGATAGCATTCAAAAGGGTCGACAGTATCCTTCGGTAATATATAGTGGTAGTCATCGGAAGGAGAGCAGATGGAACATAAAAGTGTGGATTCGTCTAGGGTATCTCATTGTGTCTACAAACGCCAATCTTCCATCTACACCTGGTCTCTCAGAATGCCCGTCATTTCCATATAGGTGAGTGACCCAAACGCTTGACTTCATGCTGAACTCCCATGCCGAGCTTCAGACCAGGCAAAACCCAGCCCTGGGGCTGTCTCTGCATACCCTCTCTACTGCCATCGACAAGTGTGGTGCCGGTTGTTGCGCGTGATACGCATCCGCGATTGACCAATAGTAGTGCTCATACCTCATAGGTCATACATGAAAGGCGCATGGTCCCTGAAAGGGGCCTGCGAAACGGGAGTGAGCGAAGGAAGTTTCTCAAGCCATGGGGGCCTCAACGGCGTCCTCGGGTAGCTGTTTACCGCCGCTGCTACTGCCCTGGCTATTTAGGTAGCTGAGGTAGCAGTTCCATGCTGGCGAATGTATCAGTACATTCTGTCTAATAGAGGTTGTAAAAGCAGATAAACCACTTACCCAGTGAAACCACATTGACAACAAGCACCCGATGCTCCAACGGCACATATTTGAAGTTTACCGCCTGCACCGCCGGCCAAACCATCCAGTTCTTGGTCAGCGCCTGCCCGTATGTGCTCTCAATCTTCTTCTTCGGGTCGCTGCCCTCCATCAGCGCCATGCTGTTCAGGAAGATGAACAGGTTGGTCGGTGCGAAGAACATCTGATCGGCGGCAACGCGAGCGGCGATTGTGCCATTCGGGCGGGAGGGGAAGTTGATGCGAGTGGAGAGAAATTTGAACCAAGTTGTAGCGGCAGGGCCGAAGATGGCTGTAGGATATGGGATGTTAGTCTACTAGGCTTTGAAAAGTGGAAGGCGTGTTGAGTTTGGTTGGAGCTAGGGACTGTAGTAAGTGTAATGTAGGAGTGGTGAACGGGTGAGGGACGGAGTACGAACCGCCGCCGTATAGAGCCATGCGTCCTGTACGTGCGAAGTCGTGCTTCTGAAGGCCGACGCCCTCAACGATTTGTTGCGCCATGGTGTCGCCCGTGGCGAAGAGGACCTGGAGGCCCAACCGGAGCCGTTAGCTGAGTTTTACCTCATACCTTTGCGTCCTGTCCTCGTATGGGTGTATGTATTTGTAGATATGGCGGGCCGGTAGAGTGACAAGTGGGATGATTCGAGGCAGGTTTGCGGAAGTGGGCTTACCGCCGTCGTCACGCTCTGGGTCAGCAGCGGGCGCTGAGCGAGCTTTGCCTGATACCTGGGCTCGTCATGTCAGCAACTGGAAGCTGGGAGACAGAAAGTGCCACTGGAGGCTCACCAGCGGAGCGCCATGTTATCCGCTTGTATCAGATCTGGGGCGTGAATATAGGTGTACTGTGATAGGATAGATTGAGGAATTTTACTGTTGGATGAGTGGAAGTGAGTTGAGAATGAAGATCTATTCGAGTACTGGGAAGAAGAATTGCAGCGGTCGAGGAAGCCTGCGAAGGGCGAGCGCGTTGCGGAGTTTCCTAAACAGACTCTCGGGATTGACTGAGGCCATGACGCACAGGGCAGACAGCTTGCGGATCGCAGGAACGGGGAACGGGGAACGCTTTGCCCAAAGAGGAAGCGGTGAACTTTGCGGCTCTACTAGTCGGCACGCTTAATATTCGGACATCGGATGGACATCGGAGCATGCAAATAAACCTAACATCAGCACTATTTATCAACCATCTTGCCTTATATAGGGCACCACACACTTTAGTTTCTGTTGCAGTAGTAACTTAAATACTTATTCGATACTGCTTTATGTATCTAGCTATAAATATCAAGTAGTTTTATATCATCTCTACTATGAATATGTATTTGGATGTTTTAGTCATATAGAGAAAGAATACAGTAACTATAATAGAAGCTATAGCTCTAAGGATCTAACTTTTGTATCAAATCAAGATCATATCCTAAAGCTCTAGTTCCCTTAATATGAAGTTTATAACTATCGCCGTTGCAGTGTTATGGTTGATCGAACTGCTCACAAGATTCTGTCCGAATATTAAGCGGCCCGACCGCGTAACGTTCTTTGGAGACCCGAGCACATTAGGATTGTGCATTAAAATGTTTTTGTTACGAACAAGGGCCAGCGGACCAGTCGTACGCCGGCCAGCACGGGCTGACACGTGATGCGCTCTGCGAATCTTAGCGCGCTCTGTCTGATCTGCAGCAGAGCACGCCAAGACGAACAGAGCAGACAGAGCAGGCAGAGCAAGGTACGGAGGTACCTGCCCCGGCCTGCAGTATATAGGAGACACCGTTCTCACTCATTAGAACGGTGTGCTCAACTCAAATAAGAATCTAGTATTCTTTGTAACTTGATCTGATCTCACTACGTGATATCAATCCTCACCTTGTTGACTGTATCTTGGCACTGTTCCCTATCTCCTTGATCAGGACCCCAACCATCACAGTAACTTCTCGTTATCTGGTGATAGCACCTCGTTACAGTTTTGCGACAATCTCAGCTCGCTCAGATAGGTGTCACTCATATGGTACTGCTCGAATGACCAGCTCAGACAACAGTCATAGTTCTTGTAGTACCTGCGCACCGCTGGAAGGTGCTGTGCCAGAAACAGGGTATATATTGGACCGCCTTCTGATAGCTGTTTGAGCAACCACACGTCTCGCCTACCCCGTAAAAGTGTTGGTGTCCCCATAATGATGACATTACGTCTGCTTCCCTTTATACTTGCCGATATCATCTCTTGTTCCTTCTAGAGTTTCTTCGGCACGCCACGGAAACATGAAGGCAGAGCTGGTACTCGTACAGAAGAGCAAGCGTACAGAATGATTCCTTTGCTGAGCAACAACGAATCTAACAAATAGGAAATAGTCTGAAACTGCCAGGGTTTACCTAGTACCCGTTGGTTAGAGCGGCCCGGGAGTCACAATAGCCGCACAGCGCTTATGCCACATGTTTGCCAAGCCCTGAGACCCCATTCCTCGACACCCAACCTCCTTCATGTGCGGGATCACGCAACGTGTGATGGGTGCGGTGCTGCTGCAGCCCTATCCCTACAGGGCATAGAACGCAATTTGATCAGTACTTCTTCTCACCTAACAAGCAGCTTTCCTGATCGCCCACTGACTTATGTGGATTACCTGCTGGACATGTCACGGTACTATATCGCCAAATGTCGATATAGACGGTACAGTCACAAGAGGAACCCGGGTAAAAGATACCAGATCCAATGGCAAAGACACGGGCTGCGGTTTTGCTTCTAACCGTCATGCTCAAGAGCTGCAGCTTCTGGCTGAGAGCATTTTGTGGCTAGTCTCATCGGAGATCATAGTATGTATTTCCAGTCAGGACGGAGTGACCGCCCAATCCACATCGCGCGAGTTACAGGGGTTTGCGCTCACTCAGCGCGGCTATGGCTCGCGATATTGCCAAGCATAATACGGCTATCACATTCGTCCGCTGAAAGACGGCGATAGGGCTGATAGCGTGCCACGACTGATCCCCTTGCTTTGGTGGATATCTTCTGTTTCGTATTCGAGACTTGTTTGGCTAGTCGACTACAAGCCAGGCTGTCCAACGATGTTATTTCGATGGCCGGATCCCGCTCCTCACGACCTTTCCAGCTCCAAGATGTTACGCGGGTATCACTGTAATATAGCGCCTAACAAGATCAACATGTATATGTTCAGATATCGCGGAATCTTCCTTTTCCAACGCCATCTGCCGAGGCATATCAACGGAGAACGCCTTCTCGGACGCAAATCCCAGCGATTGCTTGTGGAGGTGTGACCGAAAGCCTTTCGCTGAACTTGTCGAGCCGTGCAGAGTATCACAACACCTACTGGGATTGGGGAAGCAGTGCAATGCTAAGCTCAGATTTCACCGCTTAGACTCGATATCAGGCGAAACGTGGGGCCGCAGGGATGGTCTGGGGCTGACGGGAGCCCATGTAGCAAGTCTTAGCCACCACATGGTTTCGTCGCAGCGAGCCACGAGGAACGCATGGAGATGGCTAGGTTGTTTCCGTTTGATCAGCCCTGCGGGTTGATGGCCATTGACTTTGCTGGCTGATCCCACCACCAGCTGGACTCCCCACTCAGCTTGCTGTTGAGCCAAAAACCTCCAGACTTTACTCATCCTCCAAGTCTTCCTGAATACGATCATAGCAAAATGATTCATTCGAGTGACCGCCGAACAAGGCTCTGCCTGCTCGTTGTTGTCTTTTCTCTCCTCGTGAGATGTATGGCCTTGGAGGATGACTTCGACGTTGTGCGTGACAGGTGTACGCGCTGGCATCATTCATGTTAGTTGAGCCTCATAGTCAAATGCGCGTCCTTACTCTAATCATCTCAGCTATGCTCAGGGACAAGTCGGTGTTCGTTGACGGCGGAGTGCAGCTGTTTCGCAACGAAGAAGAAACATGGCTCGGGTTTAGTAAGTCATCAGCTCTCAGAGCCGCAGTCTGGCTTACATGCACATGCAGGCAAATACATATTCGAAATTGACATGAGCGACTCGTGGGACGCGACCACCAACTTTACAGAAAAAAGAATCGGAAGGTTCGGAGACCGTTCCATGGGCTCCAATCCTCCGAACATGGTTCGAGGGGCTCTGTGGCGAGGACTTGCCAACGATTCGAGGCTCTACACCTTCGCCGGATCCACATTCTTGGCCAACCAAAGCGACCCAGACTGGCGACCGCCTAGCTTTGACGACTACTCCTTGTGGTCGTACGATACCTCACTGATGACATGGGGCCAATACGACGTATCTTATGCCATCCCTCGACGTCCGAACTGGGGCGCATGGACTGAAGCAATTCCGATTGGCCTTGGATTCTTCTTGAATGGACAGGTTGATCGAGGCTCTTCGTATGTGCTGTACACCACGTCGGAGTACGTGGGCGGTACGCTATCCAACGCTACGGACAATCAAATCACCTACCTAGGTGGAATGGCCATCGTAGACCTGGTGACACAAACCGCGAGGAACGTGTCGACAGAGTCCCTGGGCGCTCCCCGTGTAGCCGGCGGGTTGATCCACAGCCCAAGATTCGGCAAGACGAAGAACGGTACTTTGATAGCCCTTGGCGGCATGCGGAGCGCGGATGAAAGAAACAACACGTTCACAAATGGCATTCTGGTACCTGACTGTTATGGAGAACCTTTTAGGTTAAGCACTGACGTTGTTAGATTGACTTCAGCAGCGTCTCCTTATGCGACACGTTCAGCGAGGACAATGTGACCTGGGTCAACCAGTCAACCACAGGCGAGACGCCTCCTCCCCGCATCGATTTCTGCGTTCTACCAGGCACAAAGTCTTCAAAAGACAACTCGAGCCACAACTTGTATGCGCGGGGTGAGAGGCTTTGAACTAAAGGCTGACGCGATCACAGCTATATCTACGGGGGCTACGATCCAATACAATCGATCATGTATGACGACGTCTATGTACTGTCCCTTCCATCCTTCACCTGGACAAAGGTCTACGAAGGGCCGAGTCCCCGGTTCGGACACACATGCCACACAGCCGGCAAACGCCAGATGATGGCCGTGGGAGGGTCGCTCGACGCCAGCATGTACGGCGTAGAAACGACCGGCCAATTACCCAATCTCACCACCTTGCAATGCGACCGGAGGGCAGGTGTGGCGCTATTCGATCTGACTGCGCTGACGTGGGGCTCGTTCTTCGATGCCTACGCCCCAGCGTACCAGGTCCCGCGGAAGGTAGTGAAGGTGATTGGTGGATCGTGAGTGCCTGAATCCGTGATCCATGACAGCTATCTCACAGTAGTAGGGGAGACGGCAAGGCGACCATGACGAAGCCGCTCGGGGGCTTTGCCCATCCTGCCATCTCGACAATGTTCAATCCTCCACCGACCGAGAGTCCTGCGGCCAAGAATTTGACGAGTGATCCTTCAACGGTTCCCCCAAGCTCCGAGCCCCACCGCGACAGCAACACCGCTGAGATTGTCGGTGGCGTGGTCGGAGGCGTGGTGGGCTTGGCCATCATTGGCGGCCTAATCGTCTGGATCATGCGCTCGAAATCAAGGAAACACCGCCGCCAGCGTTCGTCTGCTCAAGAGCTAGCTGGTGAATCTGCATGTAGGGGGCTGGCTGCAAAACCTCCGTGTGAAGAATTGCCCGGAGACATGTCGCAGTTAAAGGCGGACGCTGAACTGGAAACCCCTGTGACGAAGTATGTTAAGGAGCCGATGAGAGATCCTGTCGAGCTTCCTGCCGGGGATTGATCAGTAGGTTGTGTAGTGGGTTGTGAGATTGAAGTTTGAATAGAGGCTCCGCTGAGCAGGTCGAAGAGAGACCGGTTGTAGCGCGTCAAGGTAAGTGGAGAGGGAGAACCCCATAGGGCTACTGTGATTGGTGCGGTACAAACAACAAGCAGGCATCCGGTAATGATCGAGTGTATATAGTCACTCTCTTTCTCTATTTTTGGTAGTCTGAGTGGCTAAGGGGGGAGCTAGTAAGATCACGGAGTCTCTCCAGAGGACACCACGCACTCAAATTGTTACTCAAATCGGTCTACAGAGCTGCAGGTTGCTGACCTATTGTACTCGGCGTCGGCCATCAGCCCATTGCCTCCGCGCCGATCATGAGCATTCCACCCTTGGAAGAAAGAGAGGATTTGAAACGGAGTGGATACATTGAGTCCCGAGTAGCGGCTGTAGAGAGAAATCCCATCACGCATGACCTGTGACTACTTCATGGGAAAGAAAAAGTAGAGGCCTCACAGTTCTCTCTTGTACAGACAGATACACACAAAACGTTTAGAAATGGAGACAGATGATATCATCGCTCGAACAGAAGGAGAAAGCTCTTTCGCTCCCCCTCTCGTTCCATTCACAACGCTAGTAAAACACAAGAAGGAACAATCCGACATGGTATTCGCCGCTACGCCCCCTCACTTTCCAGTCGAATCACGCTACGCTTTCCACATGAACCAAGGCAAATACACAAAAAACCCACTCCCCACTACCCCGTTCTTACACCTCCCTAATCAATAGTCATCCGGCTAGTCCCAAAGCCCTGTCCCCCGCTCCCGCTCCCGCCCCCATAGGTCGGCATCTCCGTCTGCTGATAATACTTTGGTTCGTTCACATCGGGCACCTTGCGTTTCGAGATGTGCGGCTTGAGCCCTTTGTTGAAATTGTTCGCGCAGGAGCACGCGACCGCGATCGTGATGATCAGCAGCAGGATCGTGATGACCGCGAAGGTGGTCAGGGAGCGGCGCGCAGGGAAGTAGTCAGCGCGGCGTTTGTCGTTGGCCGTGTACATGCGGATTAGCTTGAAGAAGAAGTAGGCCAGGGCTGCGAAGTAAATTATCTGTGTGGGGGGGGTGGGGTTAGCTGGGGACAGAATGTGGGACAGGAAGGGGGGACGCACGATTGTGCAAACCATGCCGAAGACGCTCTCCCGGCGCGTCCAGTACGCGGCGAGGAGGAGTAAGACGATTGTGATGGGGACGGCCGCGATAGTGAGGTAGAACTCGGCGTCGGTCGTGTTGCCGACTACGACGAGGAACTGGACGGTAAAGCCGAGGAAGAAGAAGAAATCGAACTTGAGAAGGGCGATGTAAATCTGTGGTGTGGCGTCAGTCCCGTTACATGCTTGTTGTGAGCCATGCGCAACCTACCTGGTAGGTCAAATATCTCCGCTTCAACCTCAGATCGGCGCTAATGTGCTTGTAGATCGTCCACGCAAACTCATCATATAGCTTCCACGCAACCACGGACAGCAACACCGTCCCGACGGCCATGAGACAAGGCAGCGCGATCAAAAACGGCTGCACATCCTTCCAGAACTCCGGCTCGATGAATCTCGACTTGTTGAGCGCCGTCACCGCGTCCTGGAGCTGGTCGATTTGGATGGATGCGTAGACCAGAATGCCGACATTGTAGAGGCACAGCCCGATGACCTGAATCGTGTTCTTGAGCCGCAGAGCGTCATAGACCAGAACCAGCTGGTACAGGTAGCCGAACATGAAGACGGCGAGGTAGGTCGGTATTGTTTTCGACTCGCTCTCCTTCTTCGCTTCTTTGTGGATGCCTAACTGGAATCTGGCGAATACATAGCTGCACACATTAGGTCAGCTCTTGTGCTTCCTCGATCTCAGAGCAAACACCCAAGCGCTCACTGCGCGCTAGTTCATGCGGCCGAGGGGAGAGACGTACGCTTCCAACGCCAGCGCTATCAGCGCCTGTAACATGGATATAATGAGGAAGGACCACGTCCAGACGGTGTTGGGTTTGTACATGACGGACTGGCTCGGCCTGACGCCGGGGCTGCTGGAGAGGCCTTCGCGGTCGTGGTAGCCGCCGGGGGTGTACGGGTGGTAGTTCCGATCCAGAGGCTGACCTCCGAGGAGGGAAGCTCTCGACTCGTGCTGGTGAATTTTGGCGGTGGGAAAGCCGCTCGCGGCGGCGGCGGACCGAGAGTTCGTACTGCTGGGAGAGAGCGTGGGAGAGAGCGTGGGCGTGAGGGTGCGGCTGAGACGGAGGTTGTCGCACGCGACGTGCGACAAAGTCGTGCGGCAGTCTAGGAACTGGTCCGGGAAGTGTTTGTTTGATCAAAAAGAAGGACAGCCAAAGGAAGAGGGCTCTGAATCTTTGGGCAAGCTCGTGTGCTCAACCGCTCACTGCCCGCTGCTCACTGCGTGTTGCTAGCAGCGCCTGGCTGGGGTGTCGGATTGGGGACGCAGGGAGTTCGGGGACGGCGGCGCGGCAGGCTTGGCTCAAACGAGTGTCGCTAACGGGCGTTGAGGATGGTGAAGATGCTGGTCAAAATGCTGGTGGTATTTGATGCGAAAAACGACAGGTTCCAGTTGAAGGCGGCCGTCAGGTGTCGACGAAGGGCTGTCGAGTTGTTTGCGGTGGGGAAGTTGTCTGCTGTCAGGGCTGGAGCGCTTCGTTGGTTTGGTTAACTAAGTATGTAACGTTGGCCCTCTCGGCGGGAACAAGCGACGCAGAGTTTGCCAATCGTTAAATTCGGGGAATCACAGGGTCTCGAACGGGGACTGAAGTGGATGGTTGGTGCTGCGATTGTGCGCTCTCGATGCAGACTTCAGCGCGCTGAGAGGGAGAAGAGTATCCAGCGGCACTCCTGGCTATTATGCTACATGTCATATCTTACACGGTGCTCTCCACCATTGCCCTGACCGCAGCGGTCGAAATGGGGAGAGGCTGACACTGACCGACACCTGAGGCGCAGCTGCGTGAGGCTTGTAGGTCACCTATTTTCTGCGCATGCCCAGGTGGACCGTTGCAACTGCAAGGCTGAGCCGCAGCCACAAACTGCGCGTGGAAACTCTTCCAGGTGGAAACTCCCGTCGACTGCCAAATGGCCATTATTTGCATGCCCTCCAGCGGTTGAACTGTTACTAGCAGAGAGGGGCGGGAGCAGTCCTTTTGCGGGAGCTCGATGCTTTGCCATCAGCCCCAAGCTTGACAGTTTTGGCAGCCCGTCGGCGAACCTGACACTTGCATGCGTAAAGCTTTCGGCGGCGCCGACGCAACAAGCTTCCCCGACGCGCTCCTTCGCATTCCGCTTGCACGAAACGCGTCTGCACACGACCCTCTGCTGATTCGGGAGCAGCCATGGTTTCGAGTGAGACTCCTTCTCTTTGCTTGCTTGCCTGCCTGATCGCGTGGTCGCTCATTCACCTGACATAACTCATAGGCCAAGAACTTCTGCAGAGCGCCGCAAAGTTTGGCTCTATAGAGACGTGCGTCAGGGCCGTATATCTCAGAGCTACTCGCAAGCTGACCAAGTCCCGCAGCGACGACTGGCCGCGCATTCTGGAGGACGTCCTAGCACGACTCGAGAATGTTCGCTAGGCCTCACCCTAGACTGTCGCAAGACCCTGCTCACCGAAGTGCAGGCAATTCGCGACTTTCCCGCCGTAATCGTCCCTGCGCCCGATCTCCCACCAGCACGACCGCCGCCAATATTAGCATCGCCCCTCAAAGCAGACGAACCATCAAGCCAGGACTCGCACGTCACAGACAAGGAGAATGCCCCGCCCGCAACCCCCTCTCCGCGCCCGCCAGTCCCAGCCTTTGCGCAGCGAACCCCCCAGTCCTCCGACATATCCACCCCAGCTCTCCCCAGCGCCCCTGACAGCGATCTCGTCTCCGCTCTCTCCGCCCTCCCCGTCGAGCTGCGCCCCCTCTACGTCTCCATCGTTGATAGCCTGACCAAGAACTTCCCCAAACAGGCCCCACACACTGTCCAGCGCCTCGCGGAACTGATCCTCAACCCAAAGCAGCACTACCGCTTCCTCCCGCCCTACCTCCGCGCCCTCGACCGCGTCGTCTGCGTCTCAAGCAGTATCTCTGTCTTCCCCCTCCCCCAAGCCGCTGTCCCGTCTGGCGGCCTGCTGAACGGCACCACGAGCCCCGTCTCTAATAGCGCCGCGGCAGCTCTGGGCAGCGACGAAAGTCTCGGCGGCGCACTGCTCACACCGATCCCCTGGCTGCGACCCGACCACGAGCGGTTGGGGTCAGCAGTTGCGGCAGCGGCAGGCGGCGCAGGTGGACCTAGTCAGAGCGAGCTCAAGTCCGAGAGCTCCCATATTGTCGATGGCCCCAATGGCGCGGGTCGCATCGAGACCGTCACGGTTGTGAACGGCGTCATCACTACTGCTACCTCAACCACTACGACATCAGCAGTCCCCACTTCCAGCGCGACGACGATCAGCAACCCGGCACCCTCAGCAGCCCCCGCCGCGGGCGAGTTAGAAGAGTCCCTCCGCGCAGGCGGCGCAGTGACCCAGGGCGAGCTCTTGCGGCAGGAGCAAGAAGCGGGCGTCGTGCCCGTCGCACAGACCTCACCACGCCGATCACTGCTCTCCAGCACTGGTATCAGCACCAATTCTACTTCAGATTCATCAACAATTGCGGACGGCGCCCCTGAAGCCGGCACCGACGCAGACGAACACCCAGAAGAACACCCTCACGCACGCGGCCCCAATGAGATCGGCATGGAGGACATGGGACCGCAGGAGCGGGCGCTGGGCGGGGAGCTAGATATGGAGGCGGCGGTTGGGAGAGCGGTGGGGAGGAGTGAGGGACACGGGAGCAGGGAAGAGGGGAGAGCGGGCGCGGCTCAGAGCGCGGAGGTACAGGCAGACACGGAGATGACGGACGCGGACGCGGATGGGGAGGTTGAAGCGGAGGTTGGGATGGTGGATGCCGGTGTGGTTGGGGAGGCGGATGCGAAGTAGGGCGTATGCTCAACTGACCTCGGGAGGGATGGCTCGAGGAGAATAGAAGAAGATCGTCACGTGGCCGCTTGGATAACACTTTGCTTGAACATGGGCATTTGGGATGCCCCGACGGGGGAGTATCCACAGAAATGAGGATCCTAAGTGAATGGAATCGTGAACAGCTGAATGACTCTGACCTGGGCGGAAAGTGCCCCGGAAACTAACCTGGAGAACTCCGAACGCCCTCCAGGCTAAATGCCAAGCCGACAAACACGTCCAACGCAAAAATCGCTAGCAAAGTTCCCTACATCCATAGACACGCAATGAAAAAGAGTGATTCGCGCCTCCCAGGCGATCCACTCTGCCCCAAAACTCCCCTAACGCCTCTCACCAATCCACCGCAAGATAATTCTTGTACGAACAACCACACGCCCCACGCACCCCATCCATCTCCCCCGCCGTAATCCCCTCAACCCGCTCCCCCCGCCGCCCATCCACCATGCGATAGCACTCCGGCGTGCCTCCGTCGCCGCCCGCGACCTGCCTCACACTCACGGCGAACGGCCACTCCGGGAACGCCTCGCCTGCACCCCCGCTCTCAGAGGCCGGCGGGTACTCCCTCGGCATCTTGGTATACAACGTCGCCTCGAAGGTCGTGCGGGCGTAATAGCACGTCGCGGCGCCGCCGTCGTCGGTGATGGCGACGCGCGGCGTCACCTCCTTGGGGAGATAGAGCCAGAAGCTGAAGGCTTCATTCGGCAAGCCGGGGAAATCTAGTCGGAGGGGCGTGGGTGGGATGGAGAGAGTGAGCGGGTTCGGGGTGCTGGAGATTATGTAGGAGTTCTCTGATGGCTGGGAGGAGGAATCGGTGGAGGAGATGATCCATTGGAAGGTCGCGCGCGAGTTTGTGGGGGAGTCGGCGTAGGTGGTGTATGGGTAGCAGGCCCAGGTTGCTGGGTTCGAGGTGCAGTTTGTGACGACTTCGTCGAGGAAAAGGGGGAGGGAGTAGGATCCTGCTGGGAAGTTGGGGGCGGGGGAGGTGCTGGG